CGATAGCTCAAGTGGTAGAGCAGCGGCGTTAGCCGAAGATCGTGGGTTCGAATCCCGCTCGTGCCATTGACTTTTTTATCTCAACTAAAAACTTTAATTAATTCTAAAAAAATTATATATAATAAAAAAAGTTGATGAACTAATTAATAAGAAAGATGTAAACAAAACCAGGATTGTACAAAAATTAAAAAACATTAATTAACTCAAACTAATATCCATTAAAAATGTAACGTTTCATAACAAATTGTTTTTATAACGGCATGAAAAGAAAGAAAAGGAAAAAAAAACAGTGTAAAATTGTTTGTAATAATGAGCACAGTAGTGATTATAATAAAAATTTGATTCGATACCTGAAGCAGATAAATGTAGAGTCGCATGTAGAAAGCCCTTTGACAAACATTGGTTGAAATAATTCCTTAATTTGACCGAATGTATGTATTAGCGTAAATTTGGTCTATGATCGGATGTGTTTGTGATGGAATATCGAGTTAGTTTCGTATCTATTTGCTGAGTGATTAGGGAACAGTCGCTTAATATCAAAATGCCTATTGACTACCCAATTGTGTGAATGTATTTATTTGCGTGAGTGGTTAAGTGTGTATGAAATGTTTGGAATATTGAATACACACTTACCTTTCTAACCAATTAGGTTAACTAGTATGTTGAATGCGTTATTTTTATTCTATGGGTGAATGTATTTATTGGCGTGAAAATGAAGGTGAAAAACGCCTTGGCATCCTACCTACCGTAGTATTGGTACAAAAATTTTAGTGCAGTAGTAGGAGCGGGGCTCAGCAGTACATCGAGAACTCCCGAGTCCCGCTAAACTTAAGTTATCCTCTTAATAGTACGAAGTTTCTTTCAATTTACTTACCACATTTGAAACAAGTCTAGAAGGGTTAAACATCAAAGATACAGGTAAAAAAACAATTGCGAGATGAACAAACCGTGACGAGTAGACAATGGCCAAAACAAAATAATAATAATAATAATAATAGGAGTGCAATAAACAATATAATTTAAAATTCAAAACGTTATGCTGGTTGGCCCCCTATTAAACTTGTACACAAGTGATGTTTTGTAAAAAAAAATTTAAAACCTTTACTAAAAAATAATAAGTTCTGCTTACAAATTGAGCAACAGGATGAATGCTGGAGGAAAAATCGATATTTATTTAAATATGGCATTCTTACCCCTTCTGAAAGCTTCTGATGAGAAGCACCTGGACGTTGTCTGACGGGACAAGGTTACCATTGGCCGTGAGGCTGGGAATCGTTGATTGAATCGACGTCATCATCTTCCAATTACAAACTTTCGGGACCTAATGAACCTATCTCGCCCCATTCCCCCGAAGAGAGGACTTGTAAAACTTAATCTCGACGTCCAATCAACGCGAGTTTGTAAACAGCGTTTGACAAATCATTCAGTCAACCCTTCAAACTTTAATAAACAAGAATATAATAAAGACCTTAGAGAAAAAGAAAATACTTTAATGCAAGAACTTCAATAATTAAGAAGTTGTGCCCCCTCTTTTCCAAAAAATACTGTCAACGGAGAAAAACGACGAGAAGAGGCGAGGAAGAGTTCACAAAACCAGACAAGAAATCCATTTGAACATAAAAGGGTTAATTTTAATCTTTGATTATCTTTATGCTTGATTAACTAACAAAATTAGTATACAAAAGGATATTAAAGTACCATAAAAAGGTTTAAATGCTTTGAGGTAAACGAGTAAAATTTAAACTTTTCTGACAATCAGAACGAGATAAAATGGAAATTCAACAATAAAATAATATTAAAAATACCGTAAAGTTAATAAAATCGAAATTAAAAAGTTCAAATGGAAAAAAGTACCGTAGAAAAGCGGTTTGCAGTTAACGGCGGCCTGAGCAACCATAACGCAATACCTGCACGTCTGGCGGGTTGCATAACCGCCACCCCTTTTCACAATGTACAAACATTTTTATTTCATACTTAATAACTTCATGTTTTTCATTTCACTTCATTTCATACTTACTTAGCCTAGAATTAAGTTTCAAGTCATTTAGTCAACATGATTTACCGAGTTATTTTAATCGGGATTACTTTTCAAGGCGAACGTTGAGATTCACCTAACACGGTGATGTTGGCAAGTCGTGTCCGTTATAGGCTCTGGGTCTACAGATAACTAGGTCATTTCATCCCTTCAGTGCATGCAAATTACGCTAAGCATACATCATTCATTCTGTCGTCCATTTTGCTATGTACGTAAAGGCTCGATATTCCTTCATCACTCAACACACAATGCGTATAACTCACCTAACTTAAGGATCGACGGGTGATTCATATTCCCCCTCATCAGAAGATCCGTACTAATAAAACCATTAATCAGCACACCTTGGTACACCAAAATATCAAAAAAAAAAATTTCATGCAAAGAAATCAATACGGGCGACAGAAACGTGCTGTTATTCACAACGACATATAGTATGTGGCTTCAAAATTCTTCACTTTATGCAAAACATATCGCCTAATCTTTTCCAACATGGCCTGAGACTTTTGCGGAACAAAAATTAGTATTCTTATGTCAACCGTGTATGGCCTAACCCGAATCGAGAGAGAAACTTATCCAACTCCGGAACACGATGATGTTTTAAACACTTCAATTCAGATTTTCAACAAGGATTTTTTTCCGGAGGAAGGAAGCAGTGAAGACATTTCAGCCCCTCAAAAACACACGCGCGCGCGCACACGCATGTTACATCAAATTAACCTTCTTTTAATTTGAATTTTTTTTAACGAGGGTTCGCAACAGCAGAGGTCATGTCAACCCTCGAGGTGCCGGTGTTTTTAAAAAAAGCCCAGTAAGCCAAGTATGTCGGGTTCGAAGCAGGGCCGCTGGATTCGAACCCCGGACCTCTACCTTTCAGTAATGAGCACCGTGTCAACTCCTAAACCGTTGCGGCCACCGACTCCCCTAAAATTAACTCTTAAAAAACCATTTGCAAATTAACTAAAATCTAAAGTAATTCTCATTAAGTACTTTAATTAAAATTAGCCCTTTTTAACTAAAAATAAATTTTGAAATTTTAAATTAACTTATTTTCATTTCAAATTAAAACTTTTTAAATGTTAAATTTACTTTTTTAAATTTCAAATTAACTATTTTAAATTAGACTTTTCTTTAAATCATTAAACAATCCTTCGGGAATGGTATGAAGTGTTAAATTCCGCACGTAAAGTACTATTTGTCCTCTACTTCCTAGAAAAAAAACCTATTAGAAAAACCATTTGCTAATTAATGAAAATTTAAAGTAATTCTCATTAAGTACTCACGGGCTACAATTTGAAAGACACTGGTGTACGTTCACAAGGGTACGATTTAGCGGCCTTTGTAAAACCATCGGTGCCCAATGCTTGACCTCCTACCCTCTCCTTTTTTTGTGGTTAGATTGGCTATTTTTATTGATCTAATTACCACTTGAGTACATGAAAATTCCTTATAAACTGGCAGGCAAAAAATTCCACCCATTAGTAGCATAACTTCATTTGTATATATTTTATATATTAATCAAAATTTCACTTTTTTAACGTTTAATAATTGAATCTATGTCTAAAAAAGTTTAAAAAAATGTAAATTCCTAAGGAAAATTAAAAAAAGACGAACAAATAAAAAAAATTTCATTTTGTTTTGGATTTTTAATTAGCATTTCAATATCGCATATTTCCTCCTCTTGTCTTAATTACATCTCGAAGATGCCTCGGCCTAATTTGTACCAGTCTGGAAATATCTCTTGCTGGAAATTAGCCCATTCTTCACGAAGAGACCTTTCAAGATCGTGGAGTGTATCAAGATGTATTTCATCAGGATCGATAGACGGATTCGACTTTTGAGGTAGTCCCATAAATGTTCGATGGGGTTCGAGTCTGGAAAACGGGCTAGCCAGTCTAAGATCCTGATGTCATGCTTTTGAAGGTACGTTTGTACTATGCCAGCGACTGCGGACGGGCGTTATCGTGCATTAGGATAGGATTGTCGTACGATTTCATAAAGGATAGGCAATGCATGATGTCCCAAAATTTCATCCATTTAGTCAGTGGCCGTTTAAGACCCTCCACGAACAACAACCCACTCTGTCGACTCTCCATTACAATTCCCGCCCACACCATCACTGAGCTGCGTTGAAAAGGTTGGCTCTGGGAAAAATTACAAGCTTCATACCTTTCATTTCGCCTTCTCCAAACTCTTTCATGCCCATCTGCAGATTGTAGAGCAAATCTACACTCATCTGTAAAAAGTACGGCAGACCAATCGTTCAAAGACCAGTGGCTGTGTCCTCGAGCAAATGCGAGCCGTGCAATTCTGTGTGTTCTGGTCAATTCTGGACCTCTTAAGGGGCGAAAAGCTATCAGTCTATACTGATTTAATCTTCTTCGAACAGTGCTTTCATAAATTTGGACACCTCGAAGATGCCGGTTTCGCAAAATTCTCAAAGTAAAAAAACGGTCATCCTGTGGTTCTGTTACGCTAGGGCGTCCAGAACCGGGCCTTCTATTGACCCAGTTACTCGAAAACGTCTAACGGCGTCTCTCAGAGTTTCGTAGGGAACACCGATGGCAACAGCCGCATACCTGTTGGAACGTCCATCATCACAAATGCCACACTACGCGCAACATCCTCAGCACTAAGTGGCATTTTTAAGTTTAAAATTGAAATTTAGAAAACAAAGATGAAAACTAAATAGTTTAATCAGGATTCAAATGAGACTGAACAAACATTTTAAATTCCGTAAAAAGTACACATTAAAAAAATCTTTTATAATTGTTTTGGATTAAGGATTAAGTGTTTAACCTCTAATTGATATTCCAAATTAAAACCAAGCATAAACAAATATTTATTGGTAAAAACAATGAGACAATTTAAGGGCAGAATTTTCTTTTGTCGAGAAAATGGAGAAAAATAATCTTTTTTTTGCCTGTCGGTGTATTTATAATAAATAATTCGGTTGTTTGTCTGACAGGGGTATTGGGAAGCAGCACGACACAGTCGCCGACGAACGGTCTCTGGCTGCCTTCGAGCTGCTGCCGCGAGCCTACGACCCCTTTGGTGGCCGCTGCCCTCCGCAACTTCCACTACGCACTCTCTTCGACGTCGACGACGACGACCGTCTCGCCGCTCCTAGACGCGACGATCCCGCCGCAGCACGTGACGCAAAAGGGCGGACAGGAAGGTCGCCAGGGCCAGCCGAGGTGCGTATCCGGCGGCTCTGCACATCAGTCGCCCTGCCAACACAACATCCTCGCCTGGCTCACGCAGACGGCGCACATCCTCTTCGTCATCGGCTATTGCGTAATAGCATTCATAAAGCTATGCTTTCTAGGAATTCTCAGGTAAGTTCAAACAAAACTTTACACATACAAAAATATCAACAATCAAATTTGAGCCTTGAGTATTTAATAATTGAGCAGTACGCTTGAACAATTCGTAACTGACACGTAGAAAAGTCATTTCTCAAACTCAAAAGCTCAATCTAATGATTTCGTGACTTACACTGGTATAAAGTTGGTTGTACATTCTACACGAACCGAAATTGACGTTTCAAATAAACAACCGAAAACCTTCGTGCAGAGAATCATTTGAAAAACAATCCGTTCAATTAAAAATAAACAATCTATTGCGATAATAAAATATCAAACTTTTTCTGGGTTTTTTTATGCTATAAACCTGCTCAAATGTAGCAGTTAACGTAAGGCAAATATTATTTTCTAAAATCTTGTGAGTAAATTTTCATTTTTCGACAAGGTTTCCTTAGTAACCCAACTTGTTCTCACTGTATGTTAAGATCTAATTAATATACATAATCAGCCGCAGCTCTACTAATATCATAAATCAAATTCGATATCAATAACACACAAAACATATAATGCAACATATAAAACAATCATTACATTCCAGACATCAAACAATTTCTACATAGTCTAAATCAGTAACCATTTATCCTTCCTTTCCCTAATAATCCCGTCTATAATAACCCTGAAAAGATAAGCCCGAACGACAAACCATTACCCTTTTTTTCCCATTGTCGGCCCCTTTCACCTCAAAGAAGTCGACTTCTCATAGAAAAATGAATTTCTATCCCTACTTCCTTCCCTCTTCCTTCAAAATCAAACATATGTAAACCAAAAAAAAACCTTTATTCCTCATTGACACATCTACACAGAAAACATACATTTTGAATGAGTACAAATACTTTGACCTAAAATTTCTGCTTTGTGTATATCATTGTTGCATACATTTTCACATCTTATATATATATATATATTTATTTATTTATTTGTGGTGATTAGTCACCGTTAATCGATATTTATTTAGAAATCGTGAGATGCGGTCTGGTGTGATGTAGGTTTCAGAAAAACATTTTCTTTATCGTGCCNCATAACCAACACATTTTTTCCCTTCGTCGGCTCTTTTCACCTCAAAGAAGCCGACGCCTTATATAAAAATGTCTTTTCTATACCGACATCTTTCCCCACCCTTCAAAATCCAACGTATATAAACACAAAATAGTAAAATCTCACTGGCACTCTCGACACGACACGCAAGAATGACACAATTACACAGAAGACAAACACTTTGAGTGAGTAGAAATACTTTGATTGAATACATAAAAAAAAATATATTTTGCATTGTATAAATTCACTTTTCCACATCCAAAATGTAATTGTTATATGTAAACAATGTTTGTGAAGGCTGAAGATGATCTAAATAAAGATCGAAATGTTGGCACGATAAAGAAAATATTTTTCTACGATGTTGATTGGGATTCGGGATGTGGTCTTCAAACATACAATGTTTTTATATCAACGCCCAAGCTTTCGACAAGTTTTATTGCCTTCTTCAGGGGATCTACGGAGACATAGGGACACAATCTTTTAAATAGTTATAAATTACTGTAAATTACAATAATTGTACTTACAGATACAAAGTTTTAACTCAAACACATTACACATTTCACGATATGTATATATACAAACTGTATACATATATACTGCATACTTATGTTGCCGCACACGTTCAGATAAATATTGTTTCGTTTGGCCGTAATGCACAGTGGGACATTGTGCACATTTGATGCGATAGACTACATTAGATTTTTGTAGTAGAGGTACTAGGTAGTACTTTTAAGTTTTGTGTAAAAATTCTTACCCACTTTATTGCTAAATTTGTAAACAATTTTTACATTATCTATTTTTTCTTTCAACAGTTTTTTTAACTTACTTGATGTTCCGGCTACATATGTAACTGGTTGATAAAGTTTCCGCTCGACAGTTATATTCTCATCCCTTGTTGCTCTTGTCCTATTTTCCATTAATCTATTTATTAATGATCTTGGATAACCATTGTCTATTAATATAGAGCGCACTTTTTTCTTGTTCTCACTATGGAACCGATCATCACTCAATTTCAGAGTCCTATCAATGAGGTTAAAAACTATGTTAGCTTTCATTTGAAAGGAATGGATGGATGAGAAATGTAGCATCCTGTCCGAGCTGGTTGGTTTCCAATACCAGTTAGTTATTAATTTACCATTATCTCTAATGACAACTACGTCAAGAAAAGGAAGTTTCCCATCCACCTCAGTTTCTTGCGTAAATTGTAGTGACGGATGGAAAGAATTAAACGCCTTCAAAATGTCCACCAGCTCACTCTTTTTTATAATCAAAAACAAGTCATCAACATATTTCTTAAGAAATTTGATGTGAAATCCAAAATTAAGTCCAATCCAATCCAGTAGCTCGTTCATTACAAGGTCCGCAAGCATCGGTGAACAATACTTGCGTACATATTTATTTATTTATCTATTTATTTATTTATTTATTATAACAGGCTGTGATAACGTAGAATTACCAATGTATTAGAAATTAAGATCTTGTTTTTAAAAATTGTGGGAAATGATTGTTATCAGTAGGTGATAGTGTGGGGAACCTCCCACCTGATAACGTGATAAACACAATTTTCTACTCAAACGCCTGTGATATGTATGTACCAAAAGAATATAAACTGTTAAGTAATTGTTTCTGGTTTAAAAAATGCCTATATATGTAAGAGGCTTTAAGAAGAGGTTTTTATTTATTTATTTATTATGTATGTATATAGTTTGTATATATATATACATATCGTGTAATGTGCAATGTGTTTAAGTTTTGACTTTGTATCTGTAAGTAACAAAAAACTGATATTTTATAACTATTTATACAACTTATAACTATCTAAATGATTATGTCCCTATGTCTCTGTAGATCCCTTGAAGAAGGCAATAAAACTTGTCGAAAGCTTGGGCGTCACAACCACAACCCGAATCCCAATCAACATCGTATGAAGGCTGGTTGATCGCACAACAAGCAAATATTTTTCTAAGCCTACATCACACAAGACCTCATCTCACGATCTCCAAATAATCATTAATTAACGGTCACAATATACATAATATTAAAATGACAAAATACAGAAAAAAATACGTACTTGGTATAAAATGGCGAATGAACAATTTTCAATTGATTTTTTTTCTATCAATTTTAGCTTATTGCAGTAATGAAAATTCCATCGATACACGCACTTACCGCCTTGCAATTAACAGTATCTCTTTCGTAAATCACGCCATGTAAAATATCAACCCACGCGAATGTTCTATTGTGGTGATTCACAACTACAGTGAACAATTTTAAAAGGGCGATTGATTAGATTGCCCACGGTGATATTTCAGTCATGAGGCCAATAGAAAGTTGGAACGGCAAAGTAATAAAAGCAGAAGGCATTTGACAAAACCCCTGGCGTTTGAATTTTTTAATTACAATATAAAACATCCGAAGGTACATATGTATGGATAGTAAGGTTGAATACGAAGTAGGGCAATATTTCGAAAAATTTTGGACTGGAGAGATTAGATTCTTTAAAGATTGAAACGCTTAGTTAAACCCTATAAATCAGTTCCGTTTATTTTGTATTGAGAGTTTCGATCGGTTAGATTTTGACGATGTGAGGTCCAAAATAGCGGACCAGATTGGATGCTGGAATAGTAACAGAATTTTAGCAGAATAGCGGAGTTATTCGGCAAAGGGTGAACGTTATTTGGCATTGTTGAGGCTGATCCTCCTATTTGAACCATTCTCCAAAACAATAAATATGGTCCTGAAGGATTCGTACTTTAAAATACCTATCAGACAGATTGGATTTTAGGATGATGTTATAATAAGAACTAAAACGATGTGCTGACCCAAATAGTGGACAACATTGGTTACTGGAAGAGGAACAGTGCTGTAGAAGATTGGAAGAAGTGATACAGCAGAAGGTGGAGGATTTTAGCTGGGATAGGGTTTCGTTGAGTCTGGTCCTCTGGGTTTGGGCCTGCTGAAATGATGGTGGTATCATTTTCATATGTGGGGAGTAATTATCATATTGATAGGAATGTCTGCAGTGTATACTGAATGGAAAGTTAAAATATCTAGCCCAACAGGGCCAATGGATGACATTGGCTGCTGAAAGAGAAACAGAGTTGTAGTAACATGGAAAAGAGGTGATGCGACGAAAAAGTGAAGGTTATTAGCTAGGATTTGAAATCGTTGAGTCTGATTCTCCATTTCTTGAATCTTTCGTCCAAACTGAAGCGCTGGTTCTGAAGGTTTCTCAAGGCCACTGGGTCCACTGAAAGGGTGGCTTTATCTTCTTCTGCGTATGCGAGGAGTACTTTATCTGTATTGATAGGAAAGTCTGCAGTGTGAACTGAGTAGAGACCGGCACCAGGATGCTGCCTTGAAGAACACCCGCTTCGGCATGGTGGATGGAGGATAAGGATGGTCCGATTTGCACTTGAAAATACTCATAGGACAGTAAGGACAATGTGATTTATCCCTTTAGTTTCGAGGGCAAGCCTTGACCTAAGTCATGCCTCTCGTCTAGGAAAACATCCGATCGTCGTTCCTTCCACTCAGGAGAGGATGCGATTGTCTACCACCTGTGACAATATTGAACGGTAGAGTAATATCTCCTGAACCCTCATGTGAGGAAATGACTATAGCTTTCAAGAATGGATGCTCCAGGAGAGTTTTTCAAGGATTTTTCCAAGTAATGGCATTAATTTTATAGGCCAATATACATAGGTAGATTTTAATGCTTACGGAAGCTTATGGCTGATAATTTCCATTGGATTGGGAATTAAATAGTTCTACGGGCTGTTCTATATGGTGATAAGGAAAATTAAAGCTTTTATAGGAAGATTTCGGACGAATTTTGAGGAATTTAGAATTAAAATGAAAATTGTATGTTCACTTTGATCATGTATTGCTAGAAACATAGAACCAATATAACCGAAGTACAACTATCAAATTTAATTTATTGCAAAATAATTATTTTTTATTAAGATGTCATTAAATAAGTTAATATGTGAATAAAAGCCCTAACATCTCAATTTTTTTAAACCTATTCATGCTTGTCAAATAGTTTGCATTTTGTTAATTATCTTCCTTCGATCTCCTTTTAAATATGACTGTATATAATATTGTACATTTCCCGCTTAGTTGAATCGATCGAGAGAGGTAATCCGATAGTAGTCGTTGCCCCCATTGCCATCCTCGTAACATGATTAACTCGCCCCGAGAATTTGATCAACACAAAATCACCCGGTTTTGGACAAATCCCCCTCCTCGCCATAATCGGCTCAACCTACATTAAGATAGATTCCGAGAATGGACGAAGACCGGAAACGTCCTGGAACGGAAACCTCTGGGGCGGTCGCTCAATGGTGCAATTAACTTAACAAGTCCCACTAATGGTTTCACGCCTATTCCAGTCGTCTTTGCTCAAATTAATGCATTAACTAATTTATAAAGTTGCCGTATGCTATAAATCAAGTCCAAACACTTCTTGGACTACTGAGAATTTTAGAGCGCTTTCAATCGGTAAAATAAGTAAGATTTCTGACAAAAACTAGACAGCATCGATTTATCAATTCAAATTGTTATCAAAAAACCTTATAGAATATTTTTACAAGAGTTGTCCAATAAAAACCGACAATCATTTAAAAAAGTGTTGAAAACTTGATTTTTATTTAATTTCTGTTGATATCTTACCGATAAATCTTTATAAATAAAACGTTTCAGTCGTTTCTGAAATATAAAAATCTAAAGATCAATAAAAACTACATTTATCTCTAAGTGGTTTAATAACGGGAGACGTGTGAGCACTGATTGGTTTTGAAAGTTCCAGTTCGGTCTTTGCTATTTTAGACACGTTAAGTATCTCGATCACTGTTGGATCACTTTTTAAAATAAAGTTTAATTAAGTAAAATATAAATAAAAACCTGTCACAATATGATTCTGTGTTCGGCTTTCTAAGCATTATTTACCATATTACTGTACTGTTTTGCATATTTCTCACAGTCTCTCTTCAGGTGACGACATGGGATCACCTATTTCTATAATCTTTCTTTTAGTGGCACGATGTGATATGAAGTTTACGTAGGAAAATAAAAATAATATATAAGATGCAAATGCAAGAGTCTATGCTCTATGGAGCTATGTTGTGCGGGATAACTTTGGAATGCTATGTGTTTTAGTTTGATCTTGGCTATTTTGGTCTATCCACACGTTTAAGTTCAGTTTAGTCAAGAACAGTTATGTTCAGTATTGGATCAGTTTTTTTAATATTAATAATTAATTAAGCAAATTTTAAAATATAAATGAAAAAGTGTCAAAATCTGACTTCTGTGTTCGGCGGGGACGCTTTCTGAGCACATTTCTATTTTCCATATTAATGTACCGTTTTAAGTCGCATATTTCTCACAAGATGAGGACGTAGTATCACATTTTTTATGATCTTTTCTTTCGTGATAATAAGTCGTAAAATATTAGACTCGGGACCAAGTGCCTTCTTGACAATAGGCCCTAGGAGCCGAAAAAAAAGTATTTCAAGGTTATTACATATCAATCTCATATCAATCTTTTCGCTTTTTTTCGTACGATAATAAAATAATGTATAAGATGCGAGTGTCTACGGGAGCTATGACGTCCAGGCTAAATTTGGAATGCTATGTGTTTTAGTTTGATCTTGGCTATTTTGGTCTGTCCAAATGTTTAGGCCTCTCGCCATATTCAGAAATGGGTCAGTTTTTTATTAATAAATAATTAAGCAATTATAAATGAAAAAGTGTCAGAATCTGACTTCTGTGTTCGGCAGGGACGCTTTTTGAGCACATTTCTTTTTACATATTAATGTACCGTTTTATGACCCGTGGTGTCACCTTTTTTATGATCTTTTCTTTAGTGATAATAAGTGGGAAAATATTAGACAAAGTTCAAGTAATTTAAATAAATTTTTGTAAATGACGTTATCTGCCTTTGCTGTGAATATATGTAAAAATAATTTTAGGCGATTTGTTTTTACCTAGGATAAGAAAATGATTTGGAGAATTTTACGATTCAAAAAATTTCGACGTACACTTAATTTTTGCACCACCACTAAATCATCTTATCTACAACAATGAAAAAATTGTATTTGTCTGATAACGTATTGATTAGAGCAATTTAGTTTATATAGGTTTTTTTATTGCTTATTAATTCGCTTGTAAAACGGGAAAATTAACCTAGTTACTATGTTAATTATTCTTTAATTTTTTTTTTATGCCGCTATTGTTTTGTTCAAACGATCCTCTAATCGATTTAAATCAACATTAATCTATTTGGTTTTTACCCTGGCGTTTATTTATACTTCGTTTAAAATAAACAAAAAAGAAATCTAGAAGTTCAACGTACGAGAAGCCGGGGTGCATACCAGAAATTCCGTTTCAGGCTGTTCCCCTCCGAGGGCAAGTCTGTAATTTTATTTGTAAAACTCCACCCTGCTGCTCTAGTAGTTTCCGTTTATATCAAATCCTCGCGCCAAGTCCACTTGCCACAAAGCAATTTCAACAGGAAGGCAGGAAAATTCTGATCAAAATTGATTCCCCCCGCCGACGATTCTCTCCTATTTAATATACGGAGCGTTCCGTTCATAAGGGGAATTTTCCTTTCTGCCAGAAAGTTCAAGGCGAATGGCGTTTCTGAATATTTACGCTGTGCTTGTTTAAGACTCGAAATTGAAAATCCTCGGATCCCTTTTGCTATAATAGTATTTGCTTTCAATTTGCATATGTACCAAATATGCATAATTCTCAGACTTTGTTAAATAGGGCAAAGGCAAACGCGTGTAGATCATCTATTTATTCGCAAGTTCAAAGCCAGTTCAATTACAGTCGGCAAGCCTCAGATAACCCATTTTCCTGGTATATGTATTTGGCCTGGATAATCTCGACATTCAGATATCGATCAACATGTCGAAAAAATATCGGTACGTGCAACGAGGAAGAGGATATATTTGATATGTGTGTGTGTGTGTGTGTGTGTGTGTGTGTGTGTATCTCCCTCTGTTGTTTATAGTGTATAATGAAATTGAACATTGGATACATATTCTTCTGATAATTAAATAAATTGATCGACATTTCAACATTAGCAATCTACTTTTCATCTCCACGACCTTAGATGAAAAGTGTAATTAATTTGATCATTAATACGGTCAATTATGACTACTAAATATATATCGTGAGTATTGGTCAAGAATGAGGTAGTTCGGAAAAACACCTTTTTCATTTTGTTGCCGACGTGCCGACCTTTATTCCGGCCATCTTCAGGTCCTGGGTGAATAAAGGCCCTGAATATGACCCGAATAAAGGTCGAAACGAAAAATAAGAAACTGATGTTTTTCTAAACTACCTCATTCTTGACCATTTTTTGCCGATATTTCGACCTTTATTCCTGCCATCTTCAGGGCCTGGGTGAATAAAGGCCGTGAATATGACCCGAATAAAGATCGAAACGAAAATTAAGAAACGGATGTTTTTCTAAACTACCTCATTCTTGACCATTTTTTGCCGATATTTCGACCTTTATTCCTGCCATCTTCAGGGCCTCGGTGAATAAAGGCCGTGAATATGACCCGAATAAAGATCGAAACGAAAATTAAGAAACGGATGTTTTTCTAAACCACCTCATTCTTGACCGCTCCTCACGAATCCAACAAATTATTAAACAACCGGTCATTAAAAAACACATACTAAAATCTTTATGGATTAATATGATCAATATATTTACTATAACAAAATATCTATTTTTTATTACACATCCTTGTAACCTTCTTAAATAATATTAATAAATTCAACAAAAATCATGATTCATGATTTTCTTAATTACATAATTATTCTGTTTATAAAAGTATCCATAAGTAAAACTAATCGATTATTACATTCGATTATTACATATTTTCGATATATATACATTTATTATTCTCCAATACACGAATGGATATGCCGCGATATGATCATGTATCGATATTGCTATTTTACCTAAGTTGTACCTTAATCAGAATAAATGTATATCATAAAAATAACCAGCTGGAAGTTGTAGGTCCCGTTCCTTTATCAACTCGAAAATTTAAAATATTTTATTTAAAGAATATGAATAAATGAAAGTGGCAGCGAACCACGTACAACCCGATTAAGAATAGGCAAAGGTGACACCACACGGACACATATTTTCGGTCCAAAACCCGCGTATGTGTCCAGCATGAACATAAATGTGTTTTTTAGGTTTAATCAAAGTATTTATTCACAGAAAACACACACTTCGAGTGAGTACAAATACTTTAATTAAACCTAAAATTTCTATTGTGTCATTGTACAAATTCATAGTATATCTCACTATCTCAAAATAATCATTACATAACGATCAGTAAATATTGCACATTATTGTTATTAATAGGTGTAAAGGGTGTTAGAATAATATCTTGTACTCAACTCTAACTGAGTGAATGGTATGTAAATAAGTAAGAATGTTTTAAAGTCTGAATGAAAGTGTGAATGGATTTGGGAACCGACTGCGTTGGGGGTCGACCTAGCTGTTGATGACCCCTGAAACCCGACCATTGTGGTTGGACGCATAAGACCAAAGGTCTGACCCCGGACTGCCAACACCCCTTGGTGGGTGATTCCCGAGGTCTCGAATTTTACCTATATATTTATCGATATGATCGTGAATCGATTATTGCGCATAATATCGATATTTTTGTTCACAGTTTTATAAACTCTATAAAATAACATCTTTATTAAGTTAAAAAATACAAATTTTTAAAAACAAAAAAGTATGACAGATATTGATCAATTATTAATCCAAATACGAATCGATTTATACATATAAAATATATGACACCATGTTTATTGATATGATTGTGTATCGATATTTGCACACATGGTTATTTTATTATCTTCAATTTGGATTCCGACCTCTCCACTCCACCGTTCAGCAGCTGAGTAGTCGACACGATATCCTCGGCTCTAGAAAACAATCAATACTGCTCAGCTGTATTTTTGGACATTACGGAAGCATTTGACTGAGTGTGGCACCCAAGCCTCCTTAATAAAGTTAAAACGTATCCTCCGCCATACCTAATATCTTATCCTGAAGTCCTTCCTTCGGAACGATGGTTTAAAGTGAGAATGGGCAACGATTTTTCACCCAAAAGGCCAATCAAAGAGGGCTTTCCACAAGGAAGTATCCTAGGCGCAATCCTCTACACCATCTACACTGCTGGTATGACATACCCACATATCCTAATACACAACTCATAACCTATGCCGACGACACCGCAATCTAATCAACACACTCTAATCCAATACTAGCCTAAGAAGCAATCGAACATCTGAACCCAATACCGACTGTGCAGTCGGTGGCGAATCAGGTTGAACGAGCAAAAAAGCCAAGTTACATTTACGCTAAAACTTCAAACTTGCCCACCAATAAGGATAGGAATAGAAAAGGCGGCTACAAAGCATACTGCACCTCGACCTGAATAGATCTATTGTTCTCCCCTGTTATTTATCACTCACTGGCCAGCTTCAGGTTATTAATCAGCCTCCACAGCTTTGCCAGCGGCTCCTTTGCATAAGATTTTGCTTGTGGTTTTTCTTGTCCTGGTTGCTAGAACTTGCACCTACATAGACCTTCACAGAAACATAGAATGGGTTCTGCGGTCTCCTCCTCTTCCTGGCAGTTTCTTCCCAGTGTTTCTTTTGTCTGTACTCCTATCCGGTCCATGTGCCTTCTTAAGTGGCAGTGTCCTGTCAGGACACTTTCCGTCGTATGCGGAGGTGCGTCAGCTCTCATCTTGAGAATCAATACGTCCGATAAGGCCGAATAGGCCAGGTGCGGACGCTAAAGATCCTCCAGTCTTGTGACGACGAGTACTCGGGAATGACATGTCCTGTCAGTAGAAGTGTAGTTTAGTGTAGGTTTTTTGGCATCCCGCTCGTGACGCCAAAAAAAACTACCCACAGGGACATCTTCCCTGTGGGCCCAGACAAAGTCCGACCATCAACCCTGGTGTCTGGGGGTAACCAATGATGGAGGCATTATCCCTATTACCTTCCTTACCTTTCCTACACCTTTCCTTTTCCCTCCCTCTCCCCCCTCTGCTTTGATCGAGGATTCCTGGGTTACTGAACCCGACACCTCAGGCAATAGTAGGGTGTTCATATGACCTCCCGGGTAGGCGATCAGTCCCACCTTAAAAATAATACTAAATCACGGGAGTGGAGTATCCAAGCGGCTCCACTAATTGAGGTTGGACTCATAGTGGTCGTGGTTTGTAAACAAATTGTACCTTAGCTAGAGGGTACCGGCTAACCGGAACTGGAATTAGAGTGCCTTCTCTATCTATCCGGGGGTGGTGAAAGGCATGGCCAAAAGGCCTTTTCACGGCACTTCTGAACTTGGCTAGTATTGCACCACCTCGCTGGCCAAGGGATGTGACAAGTCCATGCATGTAAAATCTCCCTGGTGTTCTTTCGAGAACACTAGGCGTCTGAGAAGTCCCTTGGGGATGTCCGGACGTTAAAGATCCTCATAGGTCCAACGCCCATGAGTAAAGATGGGAACATCTGTCCTGTCAGGAGTCCAACCAGAATCCTGATTCCTTTGGCCTTCCAGTAATTCTTTTGTAACTTTTGCGGATGGTCCTTCTACGAATCTCTTTGCGTGCCTCATACCTGTGGTATTGTTCCACCAGGTTTTGGACTCATTAAGGATTCATTTTAAGATGTATCTAATTTGCTGGCAGGCTGCTAAGCCACATTAGGGTTCAGGACACCCAGAGAGTCCATGTTGCCCCCCCCCCCCTTTTTGGCCTTGTCTTTTCGTTGCTTTTATACCCCGAATGTCCAGGGACCCATGCCAGGGTCAGGTCATTAGTATCACTGACCTCCGTCAGGGCCTCCATGCATTTCCAAACACTCTTGCCCACCATTGCACATTAACAACAAGATAATAGCACAAGACCGCTACCTTGGGTTTTATTTAGTAGCAGACTTACATTTAATCCACATACAAGATTAAAACGACAGAACTGAACAAAAGATACGGATTATTCAAACACCAACTGGGACCAAAATCAACACTAAGCATACCTAACAAACTAACCGCTTACAAAATACTCCTCAGACCTGGACTTACTGAATCGTACTATGTGGCTCGGCAAAACATCCAACGAATTCAATCTGTTCAATCTAAAGTTCTCCGCCGTATTCTCAATGCTTCCTTCTACGTCGCAAACCAAACGATCCATAAAGATCTTAAAATCCCTTTCGTGAAAGATCTTATCCGAACACTCTTCCTCAATTTGCACTCTAAACTGTCCTCCGCCCTAACCCACTATCTCCAACTCTTTCTTCAACATCTCACCCTTACAATCATCCATGCCGTTTAAAAGGACATGGTCTCGTGACCCCACCCAATTAAATAAAAGAGAGTTCCAGGACTGGTTAGTTTCTCTCCCAACTGCCTGGTCTACGCGACTAGAATTTTATATTTTAACCAATAAGTTCTCCCAACTAAGATTTGTGTAAATAAATCACGGACGGATTTGCGAATCGAATTCAATTCAAAGCTTTAACAACAACTTAAGACGGATCTCTACTCATTGGTAATTTTCCTTTTATCACGCCGTCATAAGTATCGGTGTGCTTAAGGTGGAAATTCTGAAGACGAAACAAAAGACAGAAAGACAAAACAAGTAATGGAAAGTAAAGATCCATTGTCTAACAATCGCTTCCAACCAACATCAAGCGAATCAGTGACGACATGAAAATTATAATAACTTAGACACAAACAAAAACAAAGTGTTGTCAGAAAATTATCAAAAATACAAACCCTATAAAATCACACAGAAACTTTTATCTCTTAAATTGTACTGTGATAAATTTGATTAAAATATTTTTTGGTGACGTACTTCAAAATATGACACCTCTGACCTTATTTATTATTATTAAGCTTTAAAACTGTTAAGTTTGAAATACTGGTTGTGGTTGAATTGGAAGTTCGTGCGGTTACTTTTTTTTAAAAAAACACCTAATGCAATTTTAGCCGAACAAGTATGAAGCACACCTACCAGAGCTGCAATTTTTTTACCTCATTTTTGTGTGTTTTTAGGTTAGCAATTTAAAAATTTTAGCATATAACTGCACTAAATTTAAAGTAAATTGAAAGCGAGTCAATTAGCTTTCTTAAATTGCTGGGCAATAATGCAAAGACCGACTTTTTAATCACTGAGAGAAAGTGAAAAGCGTGTTAGAGGGCAAACTGAGGTATTTCCCGGGTGACCCCTCTATTTTAACTGTCTTCATAATTAGAGTTATTTACAAACTTTTCCTCTTAACTGCTTAATAAGAGAAATTCGACGGAATAAGTTCTAGCATCGTTACTTAAAACGGCTATTTTTCCGGCCGTTTAAAAGAAAACTGGTAAAGGTGCTGATGTCAATTTTGCATTTTGTTCCAGGTACGAAATCAAAGAGATGATCCAGAAAATAAAGCTAGTCCAGGAGTCGTCGGAAAAGGCCGAAGGAGAAATGTCAAAATGTTCTAAGCAGAATAATGGGACCATTCTCCAAGCTCCTCAGCAGATGAACAGCATTGGTATTTTGTTTGAACATTTTACTATGTACATTTGTTTTTCGCTTTCCTTAACAGGATCAGAATCAAAAGCTTTCAATGCTACATCGAAACATTCCTCAGAAGGCCATAGTATTATTATCCACATTGTACAATGTCATCCTATACTGACTCCTAACTTTCCTTTGTTCTTCCGTTGTTATTCTCATTCCCAAAGCTCACAAACCTCCAAACCATACGTTTACCTCCGTTGGAACCTGGATAAGAAGCGACGATCAATGATTTATTTCATGAACAAGTAATCAATAACCTCGGTGTACCACTTCCTCCTCATCTCCCTCTCAAACCTTTTCATCCTTCTATAGTACAGACATCCTTAAGAAGAGAATGCCCATGACACGACCTAATTACACCCAATATACCAAGTTTTAACCACAATATCCAATGCCACCCCTAAGCACTACTCACTTTCCACTTTTATGGAGGTATTCCGTCGTTATTCTCATTCTTAAAGTTCACAAACCTTTCAACCACATATCCTCCTACAGTCCCATCGGCCTTCTTCCTGAGATGTCCAAACATCCTCGATAGGGATAGGACAAAAGAGGCGGTCACAAGGCCAACTGCATCTCGACCTGAATAGATCTATTGTGCTACCCTGTTATTTATAACTCACTAGCGAGCTTCAGGTTATTAATCAGCCTGTAATTAATCCTTAGTGTAGGATCTTGCTTGTATTTTTTCTTGTCCTGGTTGCAAGAACTTGCACCTACCTAGACCTTCACAGAAACATAGAATGTGTTCTGCGATCTCCTCCTCTTCCTGGCAGTATCTTCCCAGTGTTTCTTCTGTCTGTACTCCTACCCGGTGCATGTGCTTTGTCAGGAGTCCAACCAAAATCCTGGTTAGGTTGCGGTTGCCTTCCAGTAATTCTTTTGTAAGTTTTTGTAAGCTTCTATAAATCTCTTCGCGTGCCATTCATTAAGGATCCATTTTAAGATGTATCCTCTTTTGTGGCAGGCTGCTAAACCACTATAGGGTTCAGGCCCCAGGCCGCCTTTTTGGCCAGCATGTCAACCTTTTCGTTGTCTCTATGCCCCGAATGTCCAGGGACCCATAGCAGGGTCAAGTCATTAGTGTCACTGACTTCCGTCAGGGCCTCCATGCAGTTCCAAACACTCTTTGCCTTCGCCTCGCATGAGGCTAGGACCTTTCTGTCAGAGAAAATGGCTATCTTCCGGGAATGTATTCTTAGCTTTTTTATTTCTCTGGCGCATTGTTCAATCGCTATGATTTCAGACTGAAAAACTGTAGCATATTTACCTAAGTTTACCGTCAGTTCGGTCTTTGGGTTTATCCCGAAGACTCCAGCTACCGTACTCTTGTCGGTTTTGTTACCGCCAGTATACCAGTAGGATTTCCATATCATTCAAGATTGATATTAAATCATTCCTTCTCTCCAATTTTGCATCGGTCCCATTCATTTCAATATACTGCAAGGTTTCAATTGACACCATATCTCCACACTAGAGAAAAAAGAAAATGCCTTGAGTGCGCTCAAGAAAGTGGCACAGGCTTTTTAATAGGCATCCTCTACAAACGTAAACACCTCCTATTAACTCATTATTATCTTATCCTTGAATCCTACTTAACTGAACGCTTCAGAGCGAGGTGCGACGAGTACTCGATACCAGAGCAGTACAGGCGTGCGTTTCACAAGGGAGCATTCTAGGTCCCATCCTTTCATATCGCTGACTTTGCTTACATCCTAATACCACCACCATAAATGATATACTAATCCTATCCAAGCAACCACATCAAAATATACCTTGAACTTGCCAAAAGGTGCAAAAAGTGAAGTACAAGATAGAATGAGGAAAAATGTACACAAAGTAAACTGAAAAAAAATCGCCCTCCACTGTACATCAATAATAAGACCTACCGACTTCAAGTCAGATACTTAGTACTATATCTAGACAGCAGACTGACTTGGTAAATTAAGAGAAAACAACAAAAGATTGAGACAATGTGATGCTTAGAAAGGGGCGAAATCAGTTTTAAATAACAAAACCCGACTAAATCTACACAAGCAGTTGTTCTGCGACCACTTTGGGCATATGGAGTGGAACTGTGGGGTTCCGCCAAATCAGCCAATCATTCCAATCAAAAGACCTCAGACAAATTGTCGAAGCTCATTACTATCTCACTATGCACACTGCTTCCGAAATTTCCGGACCATCCTATCAATCTAACCGTACTGCTCAATCCTCCCTACACTTTCCTACCCCGAGAACCTGCCACACGTAAACCTCGATGGCCACAAAACCAAATTATGTCCTGTTGCAGACCTGGCCATGGTGTGGCGTACAGGCTACAAATAAATTATTATTTAAAAAATACACAATTTGTACAACAATACAACTTAAAGAATTGAAAAATCTTTTACGCCGAATAGTCGGAAAAAATGAACCACGATGAAAAAGGCAAGATCCGTATAGCAGATGAGAGAGGAAAATTGTTGAACCGCGGGATTCCCGCCGGTAGGGAAATTAGTTGCTTAATTTCGAGTTATCTTCCCCGGCTTGATGAGAAGCGTGGAAATCTAATGAAACATAATTTTTCCCGTCATCCGAGTGCTGCCAGCGGAATACCCCCTGCTTCAAAGAGGGAACTAATTCCAGCCGGGTGAGTTCACAAAGCCCATCCCCAATCTCGGCGGCTCGAATACCTTTTCCCCTGATAAAGTAAGGCAAACTTCGCTTCTTTTGAACCATAGGTAATGTCAAAGTGGTGGAAAATTAAAAAGAAATATGCATGGAACCATAGCACAGCGAAAGTCGGCGTTTTTGCTTAAATATCAACTATTTCAAAAACATAAATTAAACAATTGGTTTCCTAACAAATTTATTATAATTATCCGTGTAAAACAAAATTATAAATAATATTCAGGAAATGATCACAATATAAAATTTAAATCTGCAGTTTAACATCGCTCTGCATTACTTTCCCATTCAAAGTAACAGCAAAATACTTTTCTCTTACAAAATAGAGATTATTTTGTGCCTTAATTGTCGTCCTAAAACCCGCAACTGGACACTAACTGCATCAAGTCATACTCACCGAGAGGGGGAAATTTAAACAATCTCCTTCCAGTGATGATGGTCCACTGCCCAAAAGAAAAGGTCTTCCCCTGCGGAAAATTTTTCACCCAATAAACCTAAAATGATGATAAGCACAAGGGCTCGAAATACAAAAAATCACCGTCAGATACATAAAACCAACCAGACAACTTCAGCTATGGCCTCTGGTGACAGTGCCTACCACCTCAACTTCATCACCATTGATGAGCTAAGTAAAAATGCTTTTATTGCTATAAGGCCCTTTGCAACTTTATTTGTACCTGATAAAAAGAAAAATATAAGCCACCTATATATGTAAAAAATTACGTTGCATTATGCAATGCACTAAAACACATCAGATGGGTACATAGTTGTCAAAAGATAACCAGCCAAAGAAAAATCTATAACTTGCAGAACACATTCGGCTTTTTGAACTTATTGTGATGATAATGATGATGGTGATGAATATGGATGCTAGGAAGCTGGAGCTTTTTGTTCCTGAAACACTAGCCTTCAGGCTTATTGTTCTTTCCTAATTCTTAGTTCAGTGCAATTGACTCCCTTCTTCTAACGAATACTTGGTCATTAACTCTCGGTGCTTTCCTTTCTCTGGGTTTTCTTTATATCCTAGGTTATGTCTCTATTGAGCGATTGTTTTGCGTTCAAGGTGGTGTCTTCCTCCTCATTGTATAACCTACAAATATTGAATATATCCATGTTATGTAGATGTTCACTCAGATGCCAGTGACCAGTATAGTCCTATCACTCCTGTCACTTCTCTGAGTTTAGCCCTCTCTAACTGTAGCAGTGCGTTTGCCAGTCTTGGTGAGGGTTGTTTTAACATAAGCTTACTGAGTCTAGTTATTATTAATCCACTTGTCTTTTTGCCTTTTTTGGATTCAGTCTGAGATGGAGGATTCTGTGTTTGTTTCTGTTATCTCAAGAAAAGGTTCAGGGCCTATTTGGTCTTGGAGATCCTCCTCTGGCCAGTTGTCTGCCTTTTTGTTACCCGAAATTCCCTTGTGTCCTGGATACAAAATATCTCCAAGTTGTTGTGTTTCCCCAGGTTTTGGAGATTTTGGATGTTATTGATTAAATCGGCTAATGAATTTTTTTAAGCTGCTTGGTTATCCGATCTTATGAGGATTTTTATATCAGCTTGAAAGATTGAGGTGTACTTCCTCAATGAGTCTGATCATATTTTAGGATTGTTCAAAAAAACGCCTGATTCAATTCCTTCGATTTGTTTTGGTACCACTTGTAAACCATATCACCTCTACTCCAATCTACTACACAACACTATTCCTCTCCGACCAATGTCATCTGTTATTTGGGACTTTTGGGATTGACAAAAGTCTTACTTGGAACCAGCCACACTTGAAGCAAAGAATAGAACTGAACAGATGACAAACTACTCAAAAGACTATTTGACAAGAGATTGAAACTATCACTACAAAATAAACACTTCATCTATACATCATCACTACTACAAACCTGGGCATACAAAATTGAACTGTGGAGTTCATCCAAAGGTTCCAACCTTCAAAGAATCCAGTCAATTCAGGGCCATTGTCCATCCCATTTGACCTTGAAACAACAGGAAGTCACTACACATATGCTTACTTAATACCCTGGACTCTGTCATCCGGACCTCGTAGTCCAACATCTAAACCCTTGAACCCTTCAATCCTCCTAGAAGCCTAAAGCACCTAATGGCCTCGGGATTTCCTCCCTAGTACAGAAAATGAAGTATTTTCTAAGTAAGCACTTATTATAAAAGCGTAACTATAACATGTTACTTCTTCACTCTTATAAAATACAATAACATAAATACAGAAAAGTTGCTTGTAGTGCTTTAACGTTGTTGAAAACAAAAAGATTGATCACATTTACTTAAAACTTGTTACTATAATGTTTCTAAAACAGATTGTGTCAATTTTTATTGCAACTATATTTTTTCCCATATGATGCATCAAATACTGATTCACCCTTTATAACAAATAAATAGTCGATTACTTATTGTTTCCTTTTGTTGCAGTACGGGAGAGTGGAGACACTCCAGTTAGAGTGGGTCCTGGCAAGCGGCACGTGAGCACCGTTTTGACCCAGGACGCAGGGACTGACTCTGATACGAACAGCCATTGTGCTCTCATCCTCTGCGATGCGAGTGAGCCCGGGGGAGGAGGTGGGCCGACGCTCAGCGGTGGGGCCAACGGGAACAACAATTACGAAATGGGAGACCTCACATCCAGGCTCAGGACCTGACTACTCTATTTCGTCTACATATTCCTCGGCCTTCAACCAAGCCCAAAACGCCCCGTATAATTTATTAGGCTGCATAACTTCCCTTGGGTTTATTTGTGTGATGTCGACATGAATGCCTGGAGAGAGAGTGTGTGATAATTAGAAACATTAACTAGTTTGGTGATGTATGGGCCAGGTTTTATGCAGTAATGTGCTTTTATTTTGTTAGGCTTTAAATTCAAGAAATGAATGAGAAACTTCATATAATATCGCCAGGGTTATCACTAGGACAATTTATGATAACAGTGACATTCTAGTAACATGTAAAATATGCTTCTTTTCTTTTTCTAGATTAATTGATATATAGTATTTGCCTAGTATATTGATTTATATAAAAGTTAAACCTGACAACTCTTGACAAAATTAAATTATATAACACAGCAAAGACAGTTCTCATTAAATAGGAAAAAAATTAATTTATTATTCAAACAATTCTTTTAAAAATGTGTTTAATATTAATTTTTAATAAGAAACTCCTCCAGAAATTCACTGATTTAAACTAAAAAGTATATTCATGCTGAATCAGCAATGGGTAACTTATTGGGTCCGTCTTCACTTGTGGGTTTGTTGAACTACTCAAACGCATTTTGACAATGTAAAAATTGATCATCCGTCGGCACAATGCCGAAACTGTTTGACAACAACAAACCCACAAGTGAAGATGGATCCAATAAGTGACCAGTACCGGTTCAGCATGAGTTCACCGACTCGCAGACCAACTCCTGTTCCGTTGTTTTTGAACAGATCACAGACCCATTGAAAACTTGCAAACCAGAGTTCTGTAGTCTGTGAGTTTGCATTTAAAATGGTAAATTAAATGTGTACAAAAAAACTAAAATATACATTTGATGAGGCACAATACTGGAAAAACTTGGCAGATAAAAAAAAACTCTATTTGTCTTTTTTACCCTCTGTATTTTTGAAATGTATACAGTTTCTAGTAGTTAAAATTATATATTTGATATTTTTGTTTTTTTTATTAAGAATGTTTTCTTATAGTATAGTAAGATATTAATTTTAAATGCCTATTGGATCTGGCATTGAATATATTATTTTAGAACTACACCAAAATAATAAGCATGATGTAAGTGCATCTTAAAAAGCTTTTATCGATGTCTATATTATTCCTGAAATTAGAAATCGTAAGTGCATGTATTGAGCATTTTATTTTATATATTTTAATACATTTCCAAGTCGGTAAATTAAAATTTCACAATTATTGTAAATGCATAATTATAAAACTAAATGTTTAAATTGGATTTAAAAATAACAAATTAGTATTTGAATCATTTATGTAAGTGTAATTAAATGTTGATATTATATAAGAGAAATATGAAAATTACTATTTTTTAGGTGAGAATAATTGTTAACACCAATAGCCTAAAAATTATATTAATTCCATTTACATTTATAAAAAAAATTAATATTAAAAAGTTTAAAAAAAATACAAGTCACATAATAACTTAGTTAAGCCATACGCACCGTTATTTTTATATTTAGCAAAAGAGATTTTGATTTTTCTTTCTTTTTTTCTTTTTTTTAAATAAATATATGTCTTAAAATTTAATATGAAAAAGAATGCACGATCATTGAAATAAACTGAATCAATGGTGCTACTACAAAATAATCTAGATATTAGTAAGGAGTTTTAGATATTTTATTAGGTTTTGCTTATTAAATATTTAAAAAATGGAAAGAAGTGAAAGTTTCATAACCTTTTTTTCTTATAAATTAGTCTTTTACTTAAAATTTAAACTGTGAATTTAATACTGTTGAGAGTAAAACTTTCTTTTTAATTTTTTAATAAGAATATTTAATTCTAATCATTATTATGAGATAACAAAAACAAAAGCCTGTATTAATGGACGACCATACTACATAATAAAAACAGATGTTTAAAAAGATTTAAAATCTTTTTATTATAAATTTATATGCAAACAAGGTTGGTAAAAAACAGATGAGCGTATTTTAAATTCATTTTTGTAATATAAATGTATTATATTTCAAAATAGCTATAAAATTATATGTAAACGTCGGTAAATATGTCTTTAAAATAAAATAAAAGTGTAGTATCTTTTGAATCAGACGGTGGATCTGAAAAGATACAACGCAGTACTACAACAGAGTATAGTTATATTATGCTTGAGCTTATATTTCGTAATAAGTATGCAGTTATTGGCTGTGACTGTTCAAAGTTCTTTTCTTTTTTTTACTTTTTTTAAGTAGGATTTCTTTTGTGCACTCTGTAGAAAATAAGTAATACAACTTTTAACTGCTGTATTGTACAATTTACACAATATTTGTAGTGTTGGATTTTCGATTTAGTTTAATATACTAAATAGCTGTGATCGGTGATTTTTTTTTTTTTTTTTTTTTTTTTTTGATAAATGTTATCAAGCAGTTTATTTAGTCGGGACTTAGAAGAAATTTTGGACGATAATAAGAACCTAAATTTAATCAATTTCATTCCAGAATAAAGATAAATTGATAGCATTCAACTTTTCCCATGAAATAGCAATGTAAGACGTGTTTTCATGACAAATCTTTTTTTAAATAAAACTAGAAGAGGAATAAAATATCAAAATAACAAGAACAATAATAAAGAAATTAATCTTACAATGAAATAGTCAATTTTTCAAAATGAACTAAACAACTTCAAAGGATAAAAGTTCATCAAACACGTACAGTTTAAAGAAAAAAGATTGAAAAATTTATAACATATCTACATTTGCAACAACAAAGGATGGACATTCAAAATATTGTAGCTTTGCAAAACAGCTTTTATAGCCTAAAATTTATAATTTTTTTTTATTATTATTCCACAGTTTTAGGGAAAGATTGGGATGTAAGCCCGGAAAAATATCCAAAAAATGGGGGTCCATGTAGAAAAATATTATATACAAAATTTATATGAATATAGACATTGTAAATGTACGATGTTAGTTTAAAAAAAACCTTACTAAACAAAAAGAAGTATGTATATATTATAAATGTAATAAAATATATCCTTAAATGGGCAGAACACAAACGCAGTGTAAGAACACATATATATACATGTGTATGTACAACTGTAAACCCCTTGTAACTAAAATATGTAGAAGCAAATACTGTACAGGTTATTTTCGTGTAGAACGCACCTATAGTTCATGGAAACTATAAAACGAAGAAAATACAAAATGTAGAAAATGGTCAAAAAAATTTTTTGAGTATATAGTCGATGCTGTAGGTACACAGGGTTACCCAAGAGAGAAAAAAAATACATACACATAAGAGACATAGCAGAAAAAGTCAGCAAATATGTGTGTAAATACATAAATATTTTTCTTATTAATTTAGAGCTTTGAGTGTTTCCTTTGTTAATTACCATTCATTTTTACCACTACTGTCATTTAACTATCATATCTATTATGTTAAACATAAATATATTTTATAAATATAATGCTGTTTTTATAGTTATTGTGTGTATTTTTTTCTATAATCTACCCACAAATTCTAAAATTATATAATGGCCTAGTTTGATCTTTCCTATTAGCACAAGTACAGTTTTTATTTTTCCTTATTGCCGTTTACAAATATTTAGAGCTGTCTCGTCAAATCAACGCTATGCTGTACAATTCACTAGTTTAGTGGTCCGCTTGAACAATTAATATATTAAATTAATTAAGGTTTTCAGTTGAGATAAAAAAGTCAATGGCACGAGCGGGATTCGAACCCACGATCTTCGGCTTGATACGTTGCTGCTCTACCACTTGAGCTATCGTGAACTCGATCCACTCAGACATCAACTTCCCATCTCAACCACACCTTTTTGAATTTTCCTTTTTTGTTTTATCTCAACTGAAAACCTTAATTAATTGTAATATATTAATTGGTCAAACGGACCACTAAACTAGTGAATTGAATAAGTTTAAAATGAAGTATACCTTCACTAAAGCTCTCCGTGGCCATTTCATTTGTCGCCGAGAATCAAATTGATTACACGACATTTGAAAGATGGCAAAAAGGAGGGAAAATTCAAAAAGGTGTGGTTGAGATGGGAAGTTGATGTCTGAGTGAATTGAGTTCACAATAGCTCAAGTGGTAGAGCAGCGGCATATCAAGCCGAAGATCGTGGGTTCGAATCCTGCTCGTGCCATTGACTTTTTTTATCTCAATTAAAAACCTTAATTAATTGTAATATATTAAATGGTTAAGCGGACAACAAAATTAGTGAATTTAATAATATTAAAATAAATTATATTGTTTTCGTTGTTTCTACCCGGTCTTAAGTGTTAAGGTTAGGGTTAGAATTAGGATTAGGGTTAGGAACGAATTTCAATATTTTAAAAAATAATTATTCAGAAATCGTGAGATGCGGTCTTGTGTGATGTCGGTTTCAGAAAAACATTTTCATTATCGTGCCAACGTTTCGATCTTTATTGAGATCATCTTCAGGGCTCAAAGTCTTCTGTGTAATTGTGCCATTCTTGCGTGTCGTGTTGAGAGTGCCAGTGAACGACGTTATGCCAACACGACACGCAAGAATGGCACAATTACACAGAAGACAAACACTTTGAGCCCTAAAGATGATCTCAATAAAGATGGAAACGTTGGCACGATAAAGAAAATGTTTTTCTAAAACCTACATCATACCAGACTGCATCTCACGATTTCTGAATAATTATTTTTATATATCAATTGACCAAGTTACTTCTTTCAATTAATTATTATTTTTACGTAAGGTCTTGTGGTTGAGATAAAAAAGTCAGTGTCACAAGTGGGATTCGAACTCACGACCTTTGGCTAAATACACCGCTGCTCTACCACTAGCTATCGTGACTTCACAACTATGACTTGAAGTCACGATAGATCAATTGGTACAGCAGCGGTGTATTTAGCCAAAGGTCGTGGGTTCAAATCCCACTTGTAACACTGACTTTTTTATCTCAACCAAGACCTTATGTAAAAATAATAATTAATAGAAAGAAGTATAATTAAACTTTAACAGACCCTTCTTCTGGGTTTTTAAACAAATATAGTCATAGATAACAGAGATGTTTGGAATAAAAACAACACTAAGTTTCAAATAGGAGCCTACAAGGTACAAAGATGATAATAGGAGAAGTAAAGGTAAAATAACTAACTTACACCCTAGCAAAACACCTTTGGTTCCAACTATCTTCCAAGCTGAGGTCAGAGGTAATAAAGAATAAAAGGAGTGCCTAGATCCATTTATTTTCAAACCAACAGGCAGCTATAAAGGCAATAAATTCACGTGCTTGTAGCTCCGACTAGACTGGGAAGGTCTAAATTGCCTAATGTACCCAGGACATGAAAGTTGAGAGGAAACAAACAGGCTGATTAACTAAAGACAGGGCCAGCACACCGGAGTGTGCTAAAGTTGGAACTAGAAAAATGGCCGGAGAAAGAAAAGCTAGAATATTTCCAGACCAGCACAATGTACAAGGCAAACTAAGAGGTTTATAAATATCTCAAAAAAGAAGAAGGAACACTCCCTCATCAGGCAAATTTCTTGTCATAATTACTTGGTCTTGTACGATGATTTCCACTGTGACACTTTCTATTGTGCTAATGTTGGATCTGGAAAAAATGACAACTAAAAGAAAAACTCCAGAACTGGAGAAAATCACTTGGTACGAGGTAAGAGATTTAAAATCTATCAAAAAAGAAATTGAAGAAACACCTCTCTCCCAGCAGGAAGATGGGAAAGCAGACAGAAACATGCTGATTCTGTCAAGAGAAACCAGACATTGGGTAAATATCCTTCGTGATTCACTAGCCCACTAGTGTTCGTGATTAATTTTTTCTTGTTATTGATGAATAGAATAGTTTTTCAGATATATTTTCTAAATTTTGTGTTTTTTTAGTATTGTATCGTTTGAATGTATGCTAAATTTCTTTTTTTTTAAGTATTTATCTTTGTTAATTTGTTGTATATTTATATGTTAAAGTCAAGCAAGGATTCAAACCATTACTCCACTGAACTATTGAATTCTGTGGAACGATACCATGGAAAGTGTGATTTTTTCCCACAAAACTAAGTGATTCTCTTGGTGTGAAAATTGCCTTAACAAAGTGGCTATCCCTTGGCAGAGGCTACAGTCCTTGGCAATTTTAGGACAGTCGGTCTTCAAGGAAATTTAAGATCGCCTGCAAAAAAACTTAAATATGTCAATCTGTGGGCATATTTAAGATTGATTTGCCCTGATGACCTTAAAATAAGTCAAAAATTGGTAAAAACTTCTGTCTGCAAGACCGTACATTGATCCAGTGTTCATGAGTGAAAAAGTTGTTGATACTTCTAATACTGAAAAATTAATACTGGCTGTGACAATTCAAATCGTACACAAATAAAGGGAACTAAATAAATGTGTCAATTGTGCATTATACCGATTAAAATTTAAATTCACGATGTCTTTTTTGGAGGATAAAAATTTTAAGTCATATTCATTCCACTTACCTGCAACTCGTCACAAATGGTTAAAGCACAGTCGAGCACCGATCCACCGATGACGACCTTCAAGAACAACAAACAGTTAAAACAACTTCGACAGAGTTCTGGAAAAGGATAAATCAGCACAGCACTATGACTTTTTTCCAAAAGTCAAACAATAATAACTCAAAGAGAGAATTAAAAAAAAAAAAAAAATGGAATTTTAGAGAAATGATGGAGTGAGTGCAGTGTTCAATTCTTTTAAAAAAGATAGTTCTTACTCACAGTTACTCAACTAGCCGGATTTCAAGCCCTTAGCTCATCATCAGGTTGAAGTTCTACAACCATATCTCTCGACATGAAGAAGAAGAAAAGAATTGCAAAAGAAAACTCAAGCAATTCCTGTCGAGAGACGTTGTTGTAGAACTCCTTCAAGTTGTTGTGCAATGTTGTTCAAGTTGTGCAAAACAACTTACTATGAGTAGGAACTATCTTTTTAAAAAGGATGGAAATTTAGTTCATTTCTCACCCTCTAGCATTTTTGTTAATGGCACAATTTTAATCCTTTTGTACATTAAATTATTTTCTGTGTAAAATATACTGATTTTATGCCCAGGATTGGTTTTTGACATTTCTTTTATAAAAATTCTGTCAATATTTATGACGATATATAAAGAAAATCTTGTTTCAACAAGACACAGAGGAAATATAAAGCAAAAACATTCTCAAACAGATAGAATCAAGCTTTTCATCTGCTTCAATGACGCCCACCCCAAGTCCTTACCTTGTCCCGTACTATTGTTTCAAATATAAGCCCACAACTTTAACAAAAAATACATTTCATATACTTAAAATTCAAATAGGATATTATTTTCAAACAATCGAGATGAATGGGCCATGATTTAAAATATGTGATTTTTGTATTGTAATACAAAATAAATTTTAATTTTGAACTTTTAGAATTTCTACATTTACATAAATTATTTCATAGAAAATAATAACACTTCATTAATCAAACCTTGATGTTTGTAGAAGAAATAGTAATAAATTCCTTTATTCTGGTATAGACAATAAAGGACAAACGGCAATTAAAGGTAAAACAGAATAGCACAATCAATTAAACATTACAAATTAATATAATAAATAAAAAGTAAAGCATAGAATGTTTTATTAAAGAAAAAACTTGCAAATTCACACTGAAACCTAGAGATCGAGAAAAAAAATTCTCTTGTCAAAAATTAATATCATTCTCTTAAAGTCATTAATAAATTGAGGACAATAAAATTGCACAATAAAAAAATTATCTCAGATTTTCATACCGGTCTCTTGTTGTCCTTTTGAATCACTGGTGGTACTCCAGGGGGACTCCTGAAAAATTATAAAGTTATTTTTATCAAAATCCAAATTAAATATTGTTTTTAATAGTGTCAAGTAATCCCGGAACACATTCAACAGGACCTAGTCTGCCCATTGCTACTCCTCCTACCTTTAAAATCCTATGAAATCTTCCTAAAAAAGGCTAACTTTACCACTCAGTCCTTAGAACTAACTACTTCCCAATCCAATGGAAATTATCAATAATGAAACCCACTTCCAAACCTCAAAAACTTCATCATAACCCTATGACATGTACCATCAAATTGCTATCGTTACTTGACAAAATTCCTGAAACACTTTCCATCCTTGATCCAACATCCTTCAGCCTTCAAAGACTAATGTCCATCAATTTGGCTTCATGTGACATCACTTTACCATTAAGCCCCAAAGGTAGATATCGCATTCTCCCTTGAGTAGAAGGAATGCTGTTCTTTCCTAGACGAGTGGGATAGCCTTAATAGAGATGAGCCTAGATGAGGCAAGACCGAAGAGTGTGGCTTGCACTTGATGACTTAATACATCAACCTAACATCCTACTTACTTTCAAGTATGAAAAGGAACATCCTTCTCAATATCCACAATTTCAAAGCAGGTGTTCTGCAAGGCAGCATCTTTAGTTCCATATTCTTTTCAGTATGCGCTGTAAACATCCCGATACAATACTCCTCACAAATACAGACAATATCCTTTCAGTTTACCCAGACCTAAGTGTGACCAGAAACCTCCAGGTCAATCTCTCCTGTTAATTTTTCAAGAAATGGAGGATCAACTTCAACAAAATCAAATCCATTCTTCTATTCATTTATAACCTCATTCTAATTTCCAAACTGTTTCAAGTATGAATCAGAATATCCTTCTCCCCAATCCACTATGCTGAAGCGGGTGTTCCACGAGGCAGCATCTTGGGCCCAATTCTTTTTTCAGTATACTCTGCATTCATATCAATCCTCATATATTCCACATATTATATAGCCCAGACCCTAAGATCAGATTCCATACAAAAAAAAGAAAAATCCTCTTTAGCCCAAAATGTTTCAAAACATTGCCCAAACTCCTTACTTTGTAACCAACTTTTCTATCCATAGATCTTTAAATCCAATTTGTCTTCTCGAAACCACAAGAAGTCAATACAGATAAATAAAACTTGGACCCTCAGCCCAACAGCTTAGTCCAATATCATTCATCCCAAGCCCTTCCCAAATAAGGTGTAATATAACTAAAACGCCAATGGCCCCCTAGTGAGGAAAGTGAATTAGGAGTGTAATTAATGATCACTCGTATAATTAAAAAAAAATTATAAATAAAACAGTCACTTATAGCACCACCATTTTACTGTGATAATATAACAAACAAAAATCATGTCACAACTTACATCTTGTTTAATTTTGTATATTCCACAGCCACTTTTGCACCAATATGTGCATTATTTTTAATAAGAGCAATATCTATCAAATTGTTAAGATAATAATAAATGTAATAAAAGACTTTCGTTCAACATTAACAACAGCAGACAAAAATTGTTGCAGTTTTTTTAATCACAAATCAGTTAAATTTTAATTTGTATTCAAAGCAAAAAGGCAAAATATATATAATAAAATTTAAAATTATAAAGCAAGGATACTCGTTTCCAGACTTTTTCCTTTTGTAAGCTGGCTAACTTTGTCGAGGACGAAAGGCGTGACATTTTTGCCGTTAATGCCCTGCTGTTCGGCAGCATCCAAAGCCAAATTTATAACCGTGTTCATTTCCTTTACTATAAAGGAACAAAGTTAGGTTAGTAGAAATCAGTTGCCCGATAATTACCAAGCTTACAATCAATGGAGAACTGATTGGGAACAGGTACTGCCAGAAGAATACCAGAGTCTAGACCAATTTGCTTACTGCTATGTAGTAACTTTGCCGCCTGGTGCGGTTCCATTACATGGTATGGTGACAACTGACCTGATTCTTCGCTGTAGAAAGCAGGGAAATTTTTACTTGACCCATATGTCACAACACATACTCCTTCTGTTTCCTGTTTATTTAAAAAAAATATTTTTTTTCTTGGTTTATATTATTTTTTAAAAAAACTCTCATAGAAATTGACTAACAAGATATTCCAAAGTTCTCTCAATGTCAAGAATACTTTTGACACCACTTGAGACAACCATTATAGAATGCCTGCCGAGTTCTACTAAGTCAGCACTGATGTCTAATGACACTTCACCATCCCTATGTACACCACCAATACCACCTACAAAAAAACAAAATTCAAAAACACAATTAATTTAAAAAATAAATTTGCGAAGTAATTTACCTGTTACGAAAATATCAATGCCAACGGAACTGCAGACAAACAGAGTGCCAGAAACTGTAGTTCCCCCGTTAAGTTTCTAAAAACAGAGGTGGACCAATGAATAATTTATATGATAGTTTTTTTAGCTTGTTTTTTGGTACGTCAGTTTTTGACTTTCGGTAGTGGGTAAACTTATCTGACAAACTCAGCATCACACTAATGGATCATCACATCATACATTTCAAAACACCAATGAGTAATGTTTGTCATTTAGTCGTTTGTGAACAACTCGGTCTGCTTATCCTCGCATTTAAGCATTTGTGGTTTACAAACCCATCACTGGATGATAAAAAGTCCAAATGTACCTGATGGTTCAGGCAGAACAGGATGATCAGAGATGATCAAACCGCAGGGTCATAACCTCATAGACACCAATGGGTAATGTTTGTAGTTTAGTCATTTTTGAACACTCGGTGTGCCTATCCTTGCATTTCATCATCTGCAGTTTACAATTCATCACTGGATGTTAAAAAACTGAAATGCATCTGATAGGGCAGTCAAAAGAGGATGCTCAGAGATGATTAAAGTACAGGTTCATCACATCATAGACATCAAATGACAACTGAATAATGAGTCTGTTTTTGAACATCTTGCCTATTATTTGTTGTTGACAAACCAAAACTTGTATGATATGACAGTCAGACCAGGATGATCAGAGATGATCAAACTATAGGTTCATCACCACATAGATATCAACACACCAGTTAGTTTCTGATCAGCTGGTCTGCCTGTTCATGTTTGTCCACCATGTTTGCTTTTGTATTTCAACAGTTGTTAAATGTATCTGACAGACCAAACAACACAACAAACAGACCAGGATGATCTCCTACACTAGGGAGACGCTGGGAAAGCTATGAAGACCAATTAATAACCTGAAACTGGCCAGGGGAGCCCCTCAGGTCGAGGTGCAGTAGGTTTTGTGGCCGCCTCTCTCACCCCTATCCAGGATCAGAGATGGTCAAATCATATCACCTAATAGACATCAACACACCAATGAGTAACATTTGTAGTTTAGTCATTTTTGAACATCTCGACGTGCCTATCCTCGCATTTCAGCATTCGTAGTTTACAACTCACCACTGGATGTTAAAGAGCTGAAACACATCTGATAGGTCAGAATAGGATGATCATCAGATTATTAAAGTACAGGTTCATCACCTCGTAAACATCAAAACATCGATTGAGTAATGTTTATTACAAGTCAGTTTTTGCACATCTTGATTTGCCTATCATTTGTTGTTGATGAACCAAAACTTGTATGATATGACAGTCAGACCAGGATGATCGGAGATGATCAAACTATAGGTTATTCACCGCATAGATATCAACACACCAATGAGTTTCGGATCATCTGGTCTGCCTGTTCTTGTTATTTGGTCCATCAGACATGTTTGCTTTTGTATTTCAACAGTGGTTAAAAGTATCTGACAGACCAAACATCACAACAGACCACGATGATCGGACATGGCCAAATCATCATCTATGTTCATTACCTAACAGACATCAACACATCAATGAATAACGTTTGTAGTTTAGTCATTTGTGAACATCTCATTTTGCCTACTGTTTCGTTTCAACTCGACATATAGTGAAAATCTTAAACATGTCAGGATAGGCTGAACAGGATGATCCGAATCTGACTAAACTACAAAGCAAGGTAAAATCCCACTGTAAATATTTAAAACGTAATTATTTAATGGACAGGTACATTGCTTATGACATAAGGAAAATCCCTTCTTGACGTTTTAACAGCTTTGCTTTTTGGATCAGCCAGTTCTTCAATTTGTTTATTGCTTAATCCAACCTTGATTGTTCCATTCATGACAGCGACCAACGCAGGGATGGCATTCTAAAATAAATAAAAATAAAAAAACGTTATTAACATTATATAAGTACTTTTATCCGTAAATTCACCTGGGCCCTGATAATGTCTTGGACGGCGATAGCAGTGGTTAAATTGCTGGGATGAGGCATACCATGTGTTATTATTGTCGATTCGAGAGCCACGACAGGCCTTTTCTCTCTGAGGGCCGATTCCACCTCGGGAGAAAGTTCAAAAGCTTTTTTTGAAAAAAATCGACACTGTAATGCCCTAGGTAGACGGTACATAGTGAAAATCGCGTGGAACTCTATGGTGGACAACATTCACGAGACAAACAGGCTCCACGTGGTCATGTGCTTTAAACAGTCAAAACACATAAAGTATATTGTTACGTATTAAAGTAGGTACAAAGTATTTTCTTCAATAAAAGTACCTCTCGTACTAGTATGAAAGTAGGTACTAAGTATTTTCTGCAGTAAAAGTATCCTCGTAGTATGAAAGTAGGTACTAGGTATTTTGTACAGTAAAAGTACCTCTCGTGCTAATATGAAAGTAGATACTAAGTATTTTGTACAGTAAAAGTACCTCTTGTACTAGTACTAAAGTAGGTACTAAGTACTTTCTACAGAAAAAGTACCTCTCGGACTATTATTAAAGTAGGTACTAAGTATTTTCTACAGAAAAAGTACTTCACGCACTAGTATTAAAGTAGGTACTAAATATTTTGTACAATAAAAGTACCTCTCATACTAGTATTAAAGTAGGTACTAGGTATTTTGTACAGTAAAAGTACCTCTCGGACTCTTTATTTCTCACGATGCAAACAAAAGAAATGCACAAAACAGGTTAAACAACAAATATACACAAACAAAGAGGCATATAACAACTAAATTCAAACCTGGGTCAAAGACACAAGGTGCAAAAGTACACAAACAGCTAAGGTGCACAGTGCATAGACATATATGGATCTAGGATACACAAATTACATCATTCATAGCCAACTATGTAAGGAACAAATAACAAAATAACAAAAACCACATTGAAACAAACATAAGCAAGATGATCCATCATTCTATTTATGGGAGAGCAAGTTTGTATGGTAGAAATGTTAGTAAAATAACATTGTACTGTGATCGTGGGCAGGTGGGATGGAAATTGGGATGAGTGCTTGGAGGAATCACATTGTTAAGAAGACCATGGACAAATAGTAAATCAACCTTTCTTTCAAGGAGTGAACTTAAGTTTTCAGAAGATCAAGTTTAAAAATGTTGTTTGTATATTTTATATCATGAATGGTGAGCAAACAGAACTAACATATTGTACAGATCTCTCTGTCTCTCATGTCTCTGGATATCTCCTTATTGAGGTAGAGCGGACTTGTTCTGGAAAGAAGGAAATAAAGGAATAAATTCTCCAGTTTAAGGAGGGGTGCCCCTGGTTAACAGTCTGTTTTATTTCTCAGTGCCTTCATGCACATGAGGAACATTGTCAGGGTTGTTAGTCTGAAGGACGCTGGAAGCCCTCTTCTACTGACAAACTTGGGAAGATTCCACTCGGGTCTCAGACTCTAATCAGGTTGAGTGTTATAGTGTCTATCTCATAGACTCAAATTCTGACTCTACTGGTTCAGCCAGTGGCTTCAGGTTGTTGTGTGACCTGGGGTAGTCATGGAACTCTGGTCCTTAATGGCTTCGGGTAGCAAGACCTCGCCTTGTGGCATGCTTAGATGGAGCAGCTGTTTACACATTGTACCGATGACAATATTCAAGTACCAGTCAGACAATGGAAGTATCGAGGCAGATAATGGAGCAATGTCTGAAAAATCAAAAGGGGGTTCTGTACATAAATGCAAGTTATTTGCATGCTCGTTTTGCATGTGGTTTCTGTATGAAGGTTGAATTTTAATCTTGTATCCATGTCACATTTACACTCGGAAGCAAATCTCTTCTCTTAAATTTTCACAATTTCCTCCTTTTCAATCAGGCTTTAGATCTGGTAATTATTGTTCAACAGCTTTGCTAGGTTCCATGCTAATACTGAATTTTTATTTCATTATTGTTATATTGCTTGATTTTTCATATTGCCATTGATTTGCCAAAAATTTAATTTCAGCTCACTGATATTATATATATATATATATATTTGAGTAGTCGCACACTAATTGTCAATATAAACTACAAAAGATCTGACATTGGCTTTGTTAATTTGGGATTTTTATAAGGGTCCATCTTAGGTCCTTTTTTATTTTCCATGTACATCAATGATATCCCTTCTGCTTTCTCTTCCCTTTCATTTCACTTATGTCTGTCAGTTTTGTACCCTGGTTGGTCTGCCCATCTTTAATAATAATTTTAATTATGAACTTATTCATAAATCCTTCGTAGAAACTCAGCCAAGGAAGCAAACCTAGATAATCACCTCCAACTGTGGTATTAAAGCTATGAACATGAACGTTAATATGAATGTTAATCTGTTACTTAATTGTCTACTTCAGTAGTGCTGCTCTTGTCTAAAAAATTATTTCTTTCAATTTTAGAGGTTTTCTTTTGTTAATTGTCCACACTATATTGAAATTACATTTTCTTACACTGTTATTAAACCTGCCAACAAATAAATTATCAGCAAATTGCATATATGAATATTTAAATTTAAATAGTAAAAAAACACATGTTCAAAATCAAATTTTCACACAGAAGCACACTGCTGAATATCACACATACACAGGACACGGCTGAGAAATGAGTAAGCAGTATTCAATAAATCCTCCAACATGTGACAGACCACTATCGCCCCCGATGCAAGGGCAGAAATGCCTCATGGACACAAACTGCAACCAGTGGTTCCGCTACTGCGGCTACGAGGAGGTCGTTCACGAGCCGCAAACTTTCACTCTCACCAACTTGCCAAGGCCTGAAATGTCCTCGCCGCCAGTAAGTTACCCCAGTCTAGTCACCGGGTCCGACTCCAACCCGTATGTAGTTACAAGGACCATTACCAGGCCGAGGTACTCCTATAAGGATTGGCTAAACGCCCACAAAAATTATCTCGCGCCATGAATTCAAAGTAAATAAAAAATTTTTAAACAAATATTCAGAAAGTAGTGTTTATATTTTATCAATGTTTCAAGTGCTTATATTATGTATTTATTTTAATATCTAGCAATTTAATATCTAGTATTGATTGGTCAAGCGGACCACGAAATTAGTGAATTTATTTTAAATATAATAAGTATATATAAGAGAGAAATTATAAAATATATACCTCCATGGTCATTCAATTTTTTTTATTGAAAAACATAAAAGCAGTATAGTAAACTTAAACTGATGGCCAGTGAGAGGACCAGCTTGTCTATACACAGGAGTCAGTCATCCAACCACAATTGCCTAAGCAATTTGACAAATAATCGTGAACGATAGACAAGGAATGTGGCATATCTGTGTCCAGAGTTTGAACACAACCCCTCAGGGATCCCAGTCTGACAATACCATTTACCTACAAATAAAGGCACATGCTAAGCAAATCATGGCCAATGAAAGACAACCAACTGCTTCATTGTTCATGTTTTGCTTAGTGTATACAGGAGGCGAATCAAAACGAGCTGGCCTTGGTCAACGTTGACTGAGATTCCACATGGCCAGATTCCTTGGCCCCAACCCCTTGGTTTGATGAGGGTGGTCAATGTGCTGGCGACCAACATTTGGCAACAATGTATATGTTGTCCCTCATTTGTTGAGATTTACTTAGTGTGTAAGCACCTTAAGAAAATTTGTCTATCTTGTCAACAAGATCATTACCAAAGATGCCACACTGTTCCAACATCCATATTAATAAGACAGAGATGTGAGGGACAGGTCATTGGCATTCCATTGGTACTATACTTTCTTAGTGTAATGGCCTGTCCAGAATGAATGTATTTATTAGCGTGAAAGGGCGTGGCTGTCGAAGATTATCGAGGACTCCACAGGCCCGTCAAACAATTTAGGATAGTTTAGTGTATGAGTGGAATTTGTACTGTTTGAATGTATTTATTAGTGTGAAAGAAAGGAGGCCACAAGATCACGATAATCTTCCGACCTCCAATTTAACTGTAGTGTAGGTTAGTAAATTAGTATGAATGTGAATTATGAAAATGTGTATAAATATTATATTTATGTATTTTAATTTATCAAGTGTGAGAGGGTAACAACAAACAAGATAACGAATCTCCAATTAGGTGAATCGAAAGGCAACAGTCATTTAGTTGGAGCATAAGAAGGCTTAGAAAAGAATGTACATATAAGATAGCTAAGAAGACAAATGTGAGAAGGCTATATGCATAAAGTACCAGCGATAACCCTGGTAGTTAGCTGGTTAAAAGAAAAAAAAAACTAAGACATTTTTTAGAGATAGTTTTTCCGGGAGGCTGGGAGAAGCTTTCACTCAGACAAAAGCCAGGTTTCATCAATAAAAATACACTTACACCATATTTTCAGATTTATTATTATTATTATAGAAACATTTTAATATATAACATCTTTGTTTATGTAACATTTGTAATTAAAAACCAAAAATTATTATTTTTATGAAAAATATACATGATCTCTGTAACTCAGTCAACTCGCATATTGGCTGGCTCTTACTCATTTGGCACATTCTTGGATGCATTGAACGATCCTGCATCAAGCCAGCAATCACTAGGAAAACAATTATCTCCAATAACCATTCCTACAGTTACTTCTAACAAATACACAAAATAAATTAATATAAAAATAATAAATAAAATGTTAATAATTTAACGCTTTACTTTTTTACAATTTTCTTCGTGTCCTCAGAGTTTTAATAATGGTATTAGGAGAAGGTTGTTGGCTGTTGGTTTTAACCTTAAAAAAAAAAAAAAAAATCAGAAAAATATAGCATTATGTTTTATATATCAGAAATGTTCAGAAAATAAATAATATCTACAGGATTTATAAAGAATTAAAATCAAATTTAATTTATATTTCCAACGTATTGTTTTTAAACCATGAAAATATTTCCCATCGTATTTTACGGTTAATTGACATTTAGAAGCCATTGTACCATTGGATTTTTATTTTTATTTTTTAAGTGTTATAATCCTGTTTTTTTATATTTTATGATGTATGAAAAGATTTTCTTTTAAGGAAGAGGACCATTGTGCAGAATAGGCAATTTTTTTTTAAATATATGCGCCTAATATAAAAAAATAATATTCTCTATAATAATCTTTGTTAGTAAAAAAAAAAATCTAGTTGTCAGAACAAGTTGGACGAAATGCATTATAGGATAAATTGGGTCAAACTGAGACTGGATAGAGCAGGTAAAATGTTTTCTCATAAAGCCGATCCCATCGATGTCAAAGGAGGCACCTGAATATCCCACCAGCCCATTGAATTTTAACATAACACATAACAGCATGTATTAATACACAATTGAACACCTCCCAGCAGACTGCCTTGGTTGTCTCGGCTGAGATTTGCTTAGTTTGTACACACCTTAACAAAATTTGTCTACCCTGTCACTACCACAGATGCCACAATGTTACACAATAAGAAAAAAAAACTGATTGGATCCAATTAACCTGAGATAATATTAAAAAATCCAATAACTTAAAATAGTCACAAGTTATGCGTTTCAATATCTAGGATACCATAAAGCCAGCGACCAAATAACACTTTGATGTAGTGACTTAATAACTAAACTACACTAAATAACACTTTGAAGTAGGATAAAATATTTTTTGTAGCACGAAATAAAGTTTACATTCATTTTTTTGCACCCTAAAAAATCTCATAATAGCAATTTTGGTTTTTAAAAAATTAATAATTTGTTGTACTTTTTTTAATCAGAAAAATGGTGCTAATTTTGAAACAACTCCTGATCAACATGAAACTTTAAAACAGTTTAGAATCCTATAAACTAAACATAATGGCACAAACCAAGCCTCTGTAAATAAAATGTAAGCTGTAGATATAAAATAAAATGTTTGATTTTTTGTTGATTTTTATTTTTCTCCCTTATAATGACACAAAATCGAAACATTGCCAAGAGACTGAAATGAGAGACATATAGCTTTTTCAAATCCAGAGGAGTTATAAATTTTTAAGTGTAACACCGAACATCGAAGGGAAAAAAATTGTACCTGGGTAAATCCAAAAAATGTTAATTTTTTTATTGCTATAAAAATTTGTATTAAACGTTTAAAATGAATCTGAATAGTTTTCCTAAAAAATAAATTTGTTTTGGCCTAGTTATTAATATAATATTAAAAATGCTGATAGTTTTAAATGAACAACAAAATACATCTTTTTTAGGGTTTTTTGGCCTATTATTAATACAATAATAAAAATGCAGATAGTTTTAAATAAACAACAAAATATATCTGTTTGTCTTTTTTTTAAGGGGTTTAAAATGGTTGAAATTATACATATAAATAATAAAATTCAATAAACATTTTAAAATGATGAAAAAAAAGCTATTTTTGTTGATCATTTTAATTAAATAAATGCTTACTTCTTGAGGTTCAAAACTATCTCCTAAATGATCGATCGTTTTGGCCATTAGCTTCTTTTTCGATTTCTTGGCAGTAGACATCGGCCTGTTGTAATCTGATTCTGCAAAATGGTTCAAAAGTTAGAATGCAATTACTATACATTAGACATATGCTACCTCTATCTTCTGTAGCCGGGCATACTTGCAACGTAGGTATCACTCTTACCGGCGTTTCTGTTCCATGTTCACAACTATACAAAGGAGAAAAAAAGCCATGATTTACACCATCTATAAAATACATACAATAATAAACATAATATACTTATGTACAACAGTTTCTTCGGAGATTTTTATACAGGGGGTTCCTTGAAAGTTTAACAGATCCTAAAATATTAATGTGTGGTATTTAGTGACCGTTAGTCAATGATTATTCGGAGATCGTGAGATACGGTCTGGTGTGATGTAGGTTTTAGAAAAACATTTTTTTTATCGTGCCGTTTCAATCTTTATTGAGATCATCTTCAGGGCCTGGGATTTATAAACATTGTTTAAATTTATAGAAATGATAAATGTTGGAGTGAGTGTGGTGTTCAATACTTTTTAAAAGGATAGTTCCTACTCACAGTAACTTACTGTTAAGTTTACTGTGAGTAGGAACTATCCTTTTAAAAAGTATTGTTTAAATTTTACAAATACATGTACGATGTGGAAAAATGAATTTATACAATGATAGAAATTTTAGATTTAAAAAAAAAAAAGAATTTATACAAAGCTAGAATTTTTAGATTCAAAAAAATTGAATTTAAAATGCTAGAAATTTTTAGATTAAAAAAATGAATTTGTACAATGCTAGAAAATTTTACATTCAATCAAAGTATTTGTTTTCCGTATAGTTGTGTCATTATTGTCTGTCGTGTTGAGAGTGCCAGTGAGATTTATGAGAAATTGATGTTTTATGTTTATATAAATTGGAGGAGGGAGGTCGGGAATAGAAAGACATTTTTGTATGAGTCAGCCTCTTTGAGGTGAAAGGAGCCGACAGAGCCGATAATAGGAAAAAAATGGGGAATGGTTCAGCCTGATTATCTTTTCAGGATTATATAGACTGGGATAATTAGGGAAAGGAAGTCAAATTTTTGAAGAATGATATGTATAAATTCATTTTTTCACATCCTACATGTTTTTGTATATTTTAAACGGTGTTTATACATCCCAGGCCCTGAAGATGATCTCAATAAAGATCGAAACGTTGGCACGATAAAGAAAATGTTTTTCTAAAACCTACGTCACACCAGACCGCACAATCTCCGAATAATCTAGAATATAAAAATAAACTTATTTCTAAAGGTTTAATATTTTTTTTAAGTGGTACTAACGGCTATTTTAAAATTGTTAAAACCCTCATCGATTTTTTCCTCCTTGCAGTTTTCCATTTCATTCTCTTCTCTTTCTTCCAAAAGCCTGTTTTTTTCAGCTTTCTAAAAATGGAAATGGATTTAAAACAATATGAAATTAGTCAGCAGTTTAATTATTGTTTATTTTTTATAAACCTTCAATTTAAAATTGAAGAATACGTACCAGAGCTGCCAGTTCATCTTGCAGCTTTGAAAACTTTTCCAGAGCTAGTTTAACTGTTTTGTGTATACTATCAACTGATTCTTCAATTTGAAATACGTTAGACATATTTACAGCAGCCTCTTCATGCTGAAAATTCAACACTTTTCTATCGAATATTGAAAAATATTAAATCTCACTCGCTCACCAAATTGTACTCAACTAACAACAATTTCTCCGTGTCGAGTATTTCCTTGCTCGTTCTCAGTCGGTAACTCCTGAAAAAAAAATTGCCAAATATATCGTCTTGAGATAATATAAAATAAAAACAATGCTGTCCACTCACATACACTGCTGATCCACTTGATCACAAAAATCCTTGTGCATTTTGGATAAATCTCCTCCTAAGGCTGCCCTATTTTCAGCCTTTACCCTCATCACTTTTGCTTGTTGTAGTTTGTTTTTAATTTCAGTTAACTCGGCACTCATTTTCTCCCTCAATGAGTATTCTTCGTCTCTGCACTGTTACAAATTTAAATCATTTTTTTTTTGTTTAATTAAATCTTCTTCATTCTTAATTACACCATCAAACAAGGCAAAATTTTGTTGAGGGTTAAGGTGGTTTTTCAGTGGAATTTGGGGATTTAAATTAGACGCCATTAATTTACTTGGGTAATTTAAGACTCAAAGGGTTTTAAGCTTGGATATTTAGGAACTGAAGACTTTTAATTTAAATCTCTGTATCAACTACAGGAATACTAAACAATCTAAATAGAATACAGAATAGAAAAAGAATAAATAATAATGAAAAAGAATAAAATTTCCTACATGTATCTTTGTTTATTTTGGTTGACTGTTTGTATGTGTATTTTGTAACATGCAGCTTTTGGAAGGAAACAAGGGTAATTTTCTTACACAAACCAGGTAGGGTCTCTTATCAAACACCTAAATCATACAGACCTATAAGTATATCTTCTATTTTAATAAAAAATAATAGAGAAAATCTTAGATAAACATATTAGACATGACTGTGGTATCAATACCTTGATACATCCCAATCAGCAAGCCTATTTACCAGGAAAATCAGTGGAAACGGCATTGCATTCACTTGTAGGAAGGATAGAGAAATCATTACTCAATAATGATTATACGTTAGGATGCTTCTTTGATATCCAAGGAGCGTTTGATAATGCAGACACTTCCTGCATTATAGCAGCACTAAATAAATATAATGTAGACCAACACCTCATAGGATGGGTGAAAACCTACCTAGAGGGTCGGATGGTAAATATGTGCTTAGGTAGTAGTACTCTGAGAATCAAGGTCACAGGAGGCTGTCCACAGGGAGGCTGTTTATCCCCTCTTCTGTGGTTTATCACAGTAAATAGCTTATTAGAGCTTCTGAATAACTCAGGCTTCAATAGCCAATTATTTTCAGACGATGGTACCATAATGATCACGGGTAGAGATCCTCTGACTCTATCACTGCTGATGAAGGAGGCGATGGGGTTGCTATCCGAGTGGTGATAAAGGTCTTTCGATTAATCCAGCTAAACTGGAACTGATACCGTTTAGCAGGAGAAGATCACTAGGCAACTTCAAAAACCCAAATTTCAGGGCATCGAATTAAAACTAAAGGATTCAATCAAATTCCTCGGGATAACCGCTTGATAGGAAGCTTGATTGGAAAGGCCACATTAAAAATATACAAAGGAAAGCCGCAATATTCATGGTGCAAGGTAAGAGAATTGTTGGCAAACATGGGGTATCAAACCTTGGGTGGCCAAATGGATATATACCGCAATTATACTACCAAGATTTCTATTTGCAGCCCTAGTATGGTGGAAAGGGCTAGAAAACAAAGGGGCTATTAACAAGCTAAGATCATTCCAAAGACTAGGTTGTATGATGATGACGGGATCATTTCCCACTACACCTACCCTAGCACTAGAAATGATAACCAATACTACACCTCTACACATAGAGGTCAAGGTTAGAGCACTAACCAGCTGCTGTAGATTAATCAGTGAAGGCAGCTGGAATCATAAGGGAAACAATATAGGACACTCGAAAATTCTACATTTACTGAGTAAGGTTAATAACCAACTACTAAGTGTTAGCGACAAAAAGGTCGCTTTGGGGAAAAAACACTTTCAGGTAGTTATTCCATGTGATTATAACTATAATGCGGATGATGACCATAATAGCATAGATTGCTTCACCGATGGCTCACTCATTAAGGACAAGGGAAGCGGTGCTGGTATACATATACCCAAATTAGGAATCAGCATCTCCTCCCCTCTTGGTAATAACACCTCATCTTTCAGGCTGAGGTCTGGGCCATCAATGTTTGCTGCAGAACACTCATGGATAATAATACTAAGGGAAAAGATATTAGAATTTTTTCCGACAGTCAGGCCAGTCTTAGTCATTACAAAAAGAGTTATCTACATCTAGGCTAGTAGAGGAAACCATTAAACTTATCAATAGGATAACTACTAGGGACGAGAATAGGGTAACCCTCATATGGGGGCACTATGGCAATGAAGAGGTGGACAGCCTGGCCAAAGAAGGATCAAATACTGCGTTTGTTGGGCCACAACCCCACTCTATAAGCACAGTTAAAGAGAGTATTAGTTGCTGGGGCATGAAACAATTCCTTAAAGAATGGAATAGTCCCCTGGACACAGGTAATCCAAGGAGTTTCTGAAGGAAATCAAACCAAAAGAAGCGAAATGGTTATTCTCTAACTCTAGGAGGGGAATTAGGAGGCTGATAGGTATCCTAACGGGCCATTGCCCCTTGAGAAGACACCTCTTCATAATGGGTACTCTACCAGACCCCTTTTGCCGCTTCTGTGAAACAAAGGAAGAAACGGCTCGACACTACCTTGCAGAATGTGATAGGTATGCTAGGGAAAGATTTGAAACTTTCGAAGGAGAGGACATAACCAAAACACTCCCCAAGATAAAATGGTCCAAAATCTTGGGGTTTGTGAATAGGTCCAAAAGGTTTATGCAGGACTCGTGAGCCGACCAGGTCCCGGACCTTTTAGGGATGGGGTACGGGCCTACCTAGGCTTTTAACCCCTCAGGTCCTGGTCACCCGCCCTGCATTATATATAACGTGCAGCTTTGTAGATGTCTTGTGAAAGAGAAGAGTGGGAGTGAGAAATAAAGAGAGCGAATATGGGAGAGGAAGGAAGAGAAGGGTGAGAGAGAGAGAAATTTGACTCATTCTTTCATCCAACAATATTAAATGCTTGATACTAACCAGGGGCATCGGTGGTTGCAACGGTTTAAGCGTTGACACATCAATCGTCTTACGTTAAAAGTCCCAGGTTCAAATCCAGTGGTCCTGGCACTCGAACCCGACATACTTACAAATTCCCTGCTTTCCCCCCCCTTTCAAAAACACCGACACCCCGAGGGTTAACATTAAAGAAAGTTAGAGAGAATCACACTACTGAACCATGCAAAAAAATAAAAATAAACAACATCGTAGTTCACTCACCTTATCACACATTTCACAAAAACCTGAAATAAAAATTTACCAATACATTAATCGTCGCCTTAATGATAATATTTTTTTTAAATTACTCGAATGCTTACAATCTTTATTTTCTAGAAGTGATAATTTTTTTAATGGAGAGATGCAGTTCGATACAATACCAACTGGAACGTTCCCTTTATATTTTTTTGTGTTTGTTTTTACAGCAATGGCGGTCATTTTTAAGATTTGTTGTGTTTCAAAGAACAACTTATCATCCTGAGAAATGTTGGTGATCATGCTGACATTTCCCTCACCGGCCAACAACCGTTCAAAGAGTCGCGTCAGCTTAGACTCTCTGAATGGTACCCTCAACGCAGTCTTTATTTGTTGATTTTTCCTTTTTTATTCAAATAAGAAATTATAATATAATAATGTATTATTTATATAATTGCTCTTGCTGTACCTTATAGCTTCTATACATCGGTTCAGTACTAAAAGTGAAGAGTTAATACTGTTTGCTACTGCTATTTCGGCCTTGCTTGAGTTTGCTTTTTTCTGTCTTTCACTCCCAGCCAAATCGCAAATTGTGAAACTATTAAAAGAATCCGATTGTCATTTCTTTATGGGGCAAATATTTTAAAAACTAGAATACCTTGAACTTTTGTAATATGTGTTGTAGTCATGACGATCTCTGAGTACCAACTTTATCGTGAATATACAATGCGAACGGCTTGACTTCTTGTTCAATTCAGTTTCAGAGATGTGCAGGTTCTTTTTCCCATATCTGTACAACTCGTACGCTTCTGCCCATGAATGAACATTGACACTTTTTAATCCTGGAAAAACAAGCTGTTAAAAGCTCAGATCTTTATATTACCGGTAGTTTTAGAACCTTTTGCACAGACGCTCTTGTCTGTATCCTCGGCTAACAACAATGGCTGTTGATCACTAGCATCAACAAGCAAATCGTAAAGATTTTCATAATATATTTCTGTAAATGATATCCATACAGAATAAATGATGTTTTTATTTGGTGAAATTTCGAGCTTCTCTACCTCCCTTAAAACGGTTTCCATGTCACTATGGTCCATAGTACCTGAAACAACAATGAAGATAAGAAAAATGTAAGAAAATAAAATAAGAAAAATGTAAGAAAATAAAATAAGAAAATTGTGTAAAACTTACTAATTGAATCCTCAAGACTTTGGAGCTTGTGCTTGCTTTTCACTGCCTACCAAACAATGACAAATTTTAATTTTCATTCAATCATTAAATATTTAATCAAACATTACTTGTTTTGACATAGTGCTCAGTATTTTATTCTTGTAGAGCTCATTGGCCTCGATCTGTTTTTCATTTAAGACGAACACTTTTGTTGTGCTCTCAGGATAGCAACGTCCCGAATAATCTTCCCGACCTTTGATGCTTGTGAAAATCGTATATAGAAATCTGGGAATAATTCCAGGTTTCAATGAGGTGCCTGAAATGTCGATGTGCTTAATATTGCACAATTTCAATGAATGTTACTCCCTTACCTTGCATTGTGAACGTTTTTCCAGAGCTGGAGGCCCCGTAACCAAAGATGAGGGTGTTTTCACCCTGTAAAAATTTACTCGCACCCTGTTTAACGGCGGTTGTAAACAACTCTTCTTGTGAGGTGGTCGGAAGAAATATTTCAGTAAATTCATATCTATAAAGTAACATAATAACAATAAGGTGTGGCATGCAGAAAAAAGTTGCTCAACATGTCCCACTTATTTAAAGTATGCCATTCTTTGACTCCATATAGGGAGCATGTAGGAACTCTGTATGAAAATTGTGCTTAAGTATAACAGAGCGAATATGTCGGTCCTCTGTTCTGATTTTTGAAGGTAGTACAATAAATATTATATTTATTAGAGTAAATGTGCAGTGAATATTGAGTACCCCATCGACTCTCAATTAGATTAGTTGTACCATAAGTTTAAATTAAAAAAATAATTTAAAACAAAAGACCTAGCCACTAAGGTCTGGCATGCAGAAAAAATATAGTTTAGTTTATTATATTTTTTGAATACATATAATTTTAATTTCAATTTATTGTATGACTGGTAAAAAACAGGATAATTTAAAATTTATTTAACTGAATAAAATATGAAAATTTAATTTGTGTTGATTTTCAAATCCCACTCGTGACACTTGCTTTTTCATTTCAATCAAAACCTTAGGTAAAAAATAAAATTAAATAATCGTTACAAATAATATGGGAAATGAAATGATCAAGTTCAGAATGAAATTGGAAAACTTATAACAAATTTAAAAAAAAAAAAAAAAATCTCCAGACCAAATTGATGATATTTTAAGTTTCTGGTCTTTATTTTTAGTTTTTTAACAATATTTAAATTGGTGAAAAAAATAGGAAATTACATTCAACAATTTTTAACTGGCAAAAAATTTGAAAATTTGGATGATGTCCAAAATGCTATATCTAAATATTTTGCTCAAAAATCAATTGATTTTTATAGATCCAGCTTTGAAAATTTGCATACTAGATGGCAAAAGGTTGTTGATAACGAGGATGATTGATTAAACAAACAAAATTTTTTTAAAAATGTTGTTTTAATTTAATTCAATTTAATGTAAAAAAAAAACGGCATTTCTTCCCAGTCCCCCTATTAGGAAAGAATGTATTTAAAAGTGGGTTAAGATTTAAAAACTGATGCGTTGGAGGTGGAAATATTGACAACCCCTGGAGCCCAACCTCAGTGGCTCAAAGTAATTTTGCCAACTTGCAGCAAAAAGTCATTTGTCATAAGTTCGATTCCGTACACATGTGTATATATGTATAAGTCGAATTGAGTTTCTACAAACCAGTAATAACACGATAATCAAATTTGTTTTTGAAAAAGGACACACTTACACGTTAGTCGTTGCTTTTCTGCACTGTGAGTATTTTGTTTCAAGAAACGTCCCATTGATTTCATATTTGTCTGACTGAAAAATTTAAAAGCAAACATTATTAGTATTGTTCATTAAGGAAATAATTGGATCAAAATTATTACATTAATTTCATTAGTGATGCATGTTATGTTGCGCGGTTTTATCCGGAGATAAACTTTAATTTTGTTATCTTCCCATTCCTCTGCTTTACTAGCCATCGCATCACCTGAATAGAACATAATATCACAATCCAAAGAAAATACAATCATACAATAGACATACGTACCTACTTGGTCCTTTGATTTTGAGCTAACAGGTATTAAATATGAAGGGTTGACATTTTCGTTTTGATCCATATTGAATAAAAAATTATTTTAAAAACCTACAAAAAAGTTGTTAACAAAACAAAAGAGCATCAAATTAGTAAAACAAAGATATTTAAAATTTATAAGTTTGGCTAAGAAGAAGTCAAAAGTATGTTTTGAAATAGCACTCTTTTAAAATTATAACTTAAGAAAAAACTCACAAACACCTAAATTTCAATACAACAATGCAGCCAAATATATTAAAATGTACTATACAAAATAAGTCATATAAATTATCAATAAATCAAAGGCCGAAAAGACATGAGGAGACTGAGGCCGGCCGGGATGACAGACCTCCGAACTTATCCATGATCTGGCCCACTGATGCTAAAAATTCTTAAAATATAATTAAAAGGCAGTGACAGTGTGTTCAGAAAAATTCACTTTTTTTAATGGATGGTTCTGCTCACAAACTGTTTTTCAATGTGACTGTACGTTTCAGCCTGACGATGAGCATTTAATGCTCAAAACCCAGATTGTGTGTAGAACTATCCTTTCCAAAATATTGAGTTAATATACTCCACCACACCTCAATTATTTTAAGAAGCGCTCACATATCAAGAGCAATGTCGATAGGTGGCCCTCAGGGCATCTGACTTATTCAAGAAGGGTCATCATACACAGACATTTACTTCTGTGTCATGCATGTAGAGAAAGGTTGCTGGATGTGGCCCACCTAACTGAAGGGTACAACTTCTTGGCTCTATACAGAGAGCGTGTAGGACGGCCACCCAATATGAGAATCGTACTTGAGCACAGTAGCAAGTAGCTGGGTCCCATGCTCCGAAGAAACCGGGTTGTTTTCTTGTATACAGTAATGATTTTGTCTCCGTGTGTTGAGAGTGAATGTATTTATTACCACGAATGTGTGCACCAATGGAGGAATTTTTGGTTAGTTAATATGAGTAGAAGATGATCAATCTATCTCCACCACCCTAACTGAGTAAATGTTACGTAAATAAGTAATGGTAAAAGTACACATGGTCACAAGAGCGAGACCCCTTATTACATTTTTTCCTTCTTCTCGGAAAAAAATTGATAAAGCTTAAATAGTGGCGAGACGAACCGAGAAGAGAAGCACAAGAAGCACGAAGCAATTCGCAGCCTGCAAGATCCTGATCGGGAGGGCACTGGGTCCGAGTTTGGAAAAAAAAGAAAAAAAAAAAAGCAAGGAGAGTCAGTTGGATATAGACGTTCCGAGGAAGAGGTGGTCTCCGCGAGGAAAAGAATTTTTATTTTTAAGTGTATGTGTGTGTGGTTTGTGAACCTAGTCGGGCTGATCCCGGCAAGTGAGGAGTGATCCCGTGAGTTGGTACATTTCCAATTTCTTATCAGGCCTGATAATTCTGGACTAGAGACATTAGCTATAAGTTTCGGCCTTTTGTTAGCTTTTAATTTAAAAGGATTTATCTGTGTACTTGTAAATAGAATAGTTGTGATTAGTATTCTTTTTTCTTTTTTTTTTTTTTCAATCGTAGTTTTAAACCCTAAGTAAGATACCTTAAGACATCTTGCTTGTGTTAACGAATTAACTCGGATAGAAGCAGGAAGAACTTCATCATTTAGCTTCCATCATAACCCTGGTTGGAAGCGCCATCAGAAAGAAGAGAGCCAGAAGTGCTACATCGCTACCCTTCCTTTTCTCTTTCTTCCTATTGTTCTACTCTTCTTATGGGGGGGGGTATGGTATGGTAGAAAAGGTACTAGGAAGCGGGGTTTGTATTACGCAGGCACTGCAGCCTTCTGGCTTATTGTACCTTCCTAGTTCCTTAGTTCAGTCAATATACTCAATCCTTCTTCTTAAAGCTTCGCATTCGAAGATGATATGAGTAGCTGTTTCCTCCTCCTCATTACATAATCTGCAAATGGGATCATCGGTGTATATACCCATGTTGTGTAGATGTTTTCTCAGATGCCAGTGACCAGTTAGTAGACCTACCACTCCTCTGAGTTTGGCCCTCTCCAATTGCAGCAGTGCTTTTGCCAGTCTCAGTGAGGGTTGTTTCATCATAGTTTACTCTGTCTAGCACCGCTAGAGTTTATCCACTTCTCCTTTTGTTTTGCTTGGATCCATTCTGCGATGGAGGATTCTATATTTGTTTTTGTTATCCCAAGAATAGGTTCGGGGGCCTATTTATGGTCTTGCAGATCCTCCTCTAGCCAGTCTGTCTGCTTTCTCGTTACCCAAAATACCCCTGAGCCCTGGCACCCAAGATATCATCAGGTTGTTGTGTTTCCCCAGGTTTTGGAGATTTTGGATGCATTCTCTGACTAATTTTGATGTGATTCTTTTACGTGCTAATGCTTTTTTTTTTTTTTTTTTTTTTTTTATAGGCAGCAACCACAATTAGGGTTATATTTGCCTTGAATCTGTCCTGAGTGCGGCCTGCGGGGGAAGCAGACGCCCGACCGAGGAGCCAGGCAGCACGGGGGGACACAGGGGGCATATGGGAAGCATTCTCTTGCATTGGGTTGTTGCATTCTCTTGCACACACACACCCCGGCCACCACCGCCACCGGCACCACACCCGAGCTCCCGCCACCAGCCACAGGTCCCATCTCTATATTTCACTTCACAAATCAGATTTTACCAAACAATTCTGTTTCCCTCAAAANGGGGGGGGGGGGGTCCAGCTGCCGCTTTCTTGCTGGGTGGAGAAGGGGGCCTCCAAAGTGAAGTTTACTCCGGGGGTTTGGGAGATGTGGACTTTTCCACATTATTTCAATGTTAGTAATGATCCACATTTCCGCTAAGACCCTCGTTATAGAGAAAGAATATTCCTAAAGAAGAATACCCAAACAACAGGCCCATTAATCCGACTGGGTTAGTGGCCCTCTTGGTACACCCTAAATGGCGTAAATTGTTCCACACGAGCTTAAAAGTCCAGTGGCTAATGCAGAAACATAAAGACAAAAAAAAATCTGGGGATATAAAAATAAGTAAGTGAAAAAGATCAGAGCAGTCTATTGAAGTATATTATTTAAACTATAATTATTTTTATTAAACTAGACAAGGAATATTATTATTTCTGGCATTGTTCAGAGGAATATTGAAAATGAAGAGAACCAGTTCAGAACAGTCTACAGTGCCAATAATATAACAGATTAATAAACAGTCAACGATAAACAGACATACGAACATGTGACTAAAATAATGTCAAGTAATAATAGCCTTAATTTGGAGTTGTGTAGTTTGTTGAGTTATGCGTTGGATGAATTTATTTGCAACATATTTTATCATCTCATTATACTTATGCAAACAGGAGAGACAGTTAAGTTTGTAATATGTTTGGTATTCTATTATAAAATTAAATAAGCTTAATTGCCCGTGGATTGTGAGAAGCGTTTAGGCTCTACTCTACGTACATTATATCAGCCCTGTGTATATTGAAGCCTATATAAATCAATACAGAAATGAATCAAGCTGTATTCATGGTCCAAGAAAAATTTGAATAACAAATTATGTTGTATATATGTTATTAATCAATGCTCAATAACCCAATAGGATTTGGTAAAAGAATATCACAAAACAGTATGCTGAGTTCTACTAAGTCATGTATCTAGACAGTACACTTTCTTTAAAACACTGGACCAGTGTAATCTAGATTTATTTTCAAAAACTTTGTTGTTTGTTGTTTTATTGACAGATTTAAGATAAAAAAGCTAGTGAAATTAAAGTGATTATTCTATATATTTCAAAGAGGAAATTGAATCTATAAGTTCGGTACCTTTTATCAAATGCGGATGCTCGGTGTAGGGTTTAAAAAACAATTTTTCATAATAGAAAATTAATTCCAGTTGGATTTCTGTTGATAAAGATTTTTCCGTTAAAACCAAAACTAGTCTGCTCTCTGACGATACCCCTAGGATCAAAAACAGACCCGAGATCGATTCCCAGTATCGATCAGATTTATTTCTTCGTATTTTTCAACATTTTAAGATCTGGGTTGGGAAAGAATATTAAATCTATTCAATTTAAACAATTTTTTTAAGGTTTTATAGAGGCGGAATTTAAAATTTCTCTACGTCATAATTAAAATCAACTTGAAACCTATTTGATTTGAGGTTGTATATATCGATTTCAAAAGTACTTCAGCAAGATGAGATTCAAATCAAAAATTTAAAATAATAATAATAATAATTAAATAATTTACAATTAAATTACAGCTACTAAATAAGTCCATTCCGCATGGAAAATTCAGCCTGCTGTAGGTAAATGAAAACATACAGGGCAACAAAAGTGCAGAATAAAACAAAAAATAAATAAAAACAGACTTCCAAAGACATAAAGAAAAAAAAACCATAAACTAAAAATGTTAAAAAATAAAATAAGAAAAATAATAAAGAAAACAAATTGAAATTAAATTATACAGACACTAAATATTCATGGAAATCCCATTCATAACACTAACTTTTTAATTTCGACCAAGACCTTAGATAAAAAGAATCATAATTGAAATAATTAATATGGTTATGACTACTAACGTATATGGATTAATTCATAGAAATGATAAATGGACCTAGAATATAAATAGACTTTAGAAAATAGATGACCTTGAAGCCCGGGTTAAAAGCTAGGCAAATTTGGAATTTTGTTTTTATGTTCTCCCTTGACCATAGAACTTTTAATACATATAATTGTGGCCAATACCGAAATAGTAAGGAAAAAATTAATACATCAAATTAATCTTCAAGTGGTCAACACCTTATCTTCAATTATAAACTTTAATGAAATTTTATTTCATTTAACATTTAAATTTAATTTTTTTTATTTAACAGCATATTGTCATTAACAAAATTCAACTAAAATACATTTGAAATCAGTTTCAGGGTGTACTTTATTAAAAATCAGGTATTTATTTAAACAGGCAGATATCCAAAAGACAATATACAATACATTTTGCAATAAAAAATACAAATTTGTCCATATAAAAAAATTAAAACTTAAATAAGTGCTGAAATTGGCAGATATCTAAGATTTAAAAAGATCTGGTAGATTTCCTCCTTTTTTTTCTATTTTCAATGGTTGTTAATATTTTTTAGAAATAGAAACACTAAATATTCACGGAAATCCCATTCATAACACTAACTTTTACATCTCAACGAAGACCTTAGATAAAAAGAATAATTAAATGAAATAATTAAAATGGTCAATTATGACTGCTGAACTTATATGGATTAATTCATAGAAATGATAAAAGGACCTAGAATCCCGAGTCAAAAGATAGGCAAATTTGGAATTTTGTTATGTTCTCCCTTGATCATAGTATTTTTAATAGATCACATTTATCTTCAAGTGGTCGATACCTTACCTTCAATTATAAACTTTAATGAAATTTTATTCCATTTAACATTTAAATTTAATTTTTTTTAATTATTTGTAGATCATGAGATGCGGATGTAGGTTTAGAAAAGGATTTTCTTTATTGTGCCAACGTTTCGATCTTTATTTAAATCATCTTCAGGGCTCAAAGCATGTGTTTTCTGTGTAGATTATACATTTCTTATAAAATAAATGACAGTTTAAACATAAAAACTAGCCGGTTTAATAGCATAAAACAGTGTGTCAATAAAATAAAGTGTCTTATGCACATCTGTCATCTATCCAAAGAATGTCAGATTAAAAACTTGTTTGATCAATATTAACAGGAATAATAAAATATGGTGCAAGCATTTATTTAAGCTTATTCTTGCTATTTTGCGCCATTGTTTGAAAGCATCTTGCCCAAAAAAAAGTATTCGGTTGCCCGTTATCAATCAACACTTATTTTCCTTGTTCACTAAATTTAAATTGGTTTATTTATGTTGCATGACAAGTTGAAAGATGTTAAATTAAATTGATTTGAAAATCTTCAACGATCAATGATGTTGACTGCTTCAAAAGAGAACAAATTTGTGTGAGCTCACTAATTGGAACCCTAAATTGATGAAATACTGAATGTCTAAAGAGATTAAAGTCACAACTTCATTGACCATTTAGAGAAAATTTACTTGTAATAGCATCTATCACACATATCAACTTTCCATCCGGTAAATCCCTTAATTCTATAGATATTACAAATTCCATTACACACAACATACTCAATTTTGTTTTTGAATTTACCTGATTGTTATAAATGATGAGTACAGCTGTAAATGGTTAAGTACAGTCTGTGTTTGGCCTTTGACCGGTAAATTGTGTTATCTCTTCTGTCCTTACTAACTCAGGGAGTATAATATAGATTTTTAATACCCAAATAATTTTCTTTTTATAATTAGAAGTGTTTTATTTTATTTTTCAAATTTTGTTTTATTATTAAATTTGTGATGGAAATCAATGAATCCATCTTAAAGACTGATCCCCCGGACAAAGGTCTATTTAAAAAACCAAATTGAAATGGTGCAGAAAATTTGTTCTCATGTCCTTAGAGTCTGATCGAGAAAATATTTAGTTTTAACAACTTCAGTCCTTTTAAGGTCTGTCGGTTTGTCAGAAGTTATGCCCCGGCAATAAATATGAAGTTTTTAAGGAATGGATCATCCTTCTCGACTGAAAAAGACTACTTCAATCTCAAAACGTCTACGTAAACCCAGATCTAATTCTAATAATCGTTGTCCGTAAGTTGTTATTGGAGCACCTGTTGCCATGACTAAAGTTAATTTATGTGCGCCTCCTGGTGATGTGGGTAAAACAGAAACATCTGCCCCTGAGTCAACGAGAAACTGTTTTGCTGTATTTTTTATCCGTGACAAAAAGGCGGTAATTAGCATCCCGCTCGCACTCCGCCAGCTGTGAACAGGGTTCGTTTCCCGCCAATCTATTTTCTGACGCAGTAAACGAGCAGGGTTTAACGCACTTAGCAGCGTTCTCTTTAAACTTTAGGTGATACCAACAAAAACCACTCTTTGAATTTAAATTTGTCTGTGGTCACGTTTTACTGCTGCTATGGTCTATTGTGATACTACGCTGGCGGCGTTCCAGGCTTGTTACTTTGGCCTCTATTATTTCCAGCTTTTTGTTAAGGGTTTCAATGTCACGGGATTTATTCTCTACTGAGAACTCGTTAACTGCAACGGAGTGTGTAGACTGTACTTCCAAAACACTGTCTGGGCCACGCGCTTTGCATATGGGTGAAAAAGAATACCCTGGCTCTTGAGGGATGTAGAAGGTAATGTATAAGGAGGCCGTACCAATGTTCACAGCCCATGCACATCCTTTCAGGAGAGCCAAAACAAGATTAATTCAGCGATAACATCACTGTTTATAGCACTCGTCCCTCTGCAATGCGGCCGGCAGCTATGACCCTTAGTGGTTTTATGCCTTAAGAAAAAAAAAAAGTAAAATTGAATTTATAAATCATTGGTACTGTTGGACAGGCAATTAATTTACTGTGTCTGTATGTACATGTATACATAAATATAACAATACAATTTGATATTCAAACATAGTATACATAGGTATAAAAATAACTTCTTTTTTTACAAATTTACAAATTTACAACATAAAAAGACAAAGAAATTATAAGACTTTTTAAATAAAATAATCTCTTTCTTGTTTTGTTCATGATCACTTCAATCTATATCCTCTTTGAGAAGCTTTTTGTTAAGTCTTATTTAAACTTAAAGGTTCCTAAAAAATTATATTGTATTAATTTCCTCCATTTGAAAATATATTAATATCACCACTTACGGCCAATTCATCATCAGACAAAAGATCCTCAATTTCATCCCCTTCCAAGCATTTTTCTATTTTGTCCCCTTTTGAACCTTCGTTAAGCGAATCGATCTCATTTTTCTAAACGTTAAATTAAGTATCAATTACTACAAATAATTACAACTCGAAGGGTTTAAGAAATTTAGTTTGTACAAATAGAACAAATTATAATTTGAAATAATTAAAAAAAAAAAAAATTAAATTAAAAAAAAAATGAAGATCCATACCACAGATGCTATTTCAACTTCCAAATCGATAAACTTTTGACAAGCCATTTCGACCATATCTTTCAAATTAGTTTCTTCTAGTTGAAATCCTTCGCACATTTCAGCGATTGCTTTCTGGTGCTGGAAAATCGATGAAAAATAGTCAACCAATTCTCAAAATGTTAAACTACACACTTACAGATGTCTGTAAATGAACGAATTGAAGTCGTGTCTCTTGCAGTTTCTTGCTCATTGTATTTTTGCTCTCCCTGTTTTAACGTCAAAAATAATATATAATCAATTGCAGCTAATTAATTCTAATTTATATTTATTTATTTTTCCCTAACTTGTATTGTCGTTGCAGCACTTCATAGTAATCTTGATACACATTGGTTACATTTTGTTCATTTATAGCTGCACTTTCAGCTTTTAATTTCATCTCTTTCTCATGTTCTAGGGCATTTTTCATTTCCATTAATTCATCTTTAAGTTCCAATATATCCTATTGTTGAACAAACCAATCAATTTATCAATGACACAGAGGGCCAAATATAATGGATGACTTACCACCCCTTTACATATTTTACAAACATCCGTGAATACGAATTTTTCATGGCATTTCTTACAAGTATCTGAAAAACATGAATTCATGTTAATGCTTGGAACAATACAGAAAAACCACATTTCAATACGTACAGATTCTTTGTTGAGTGGACACCTGCTTCATGACCTGCGGGTCGACAATGGAAGCCACTTTCTTTTTATCCGACGCCTCCTGTTTTTTAATATTCTTTTCGACAGCGTTGGCCGTCATTTTTAATATTTCTTGCGTTTCGAAAAACATCGTCTCCTCTTGAGACATGTTTGCAATTATGGTGACATTTCCTTCACCGGCCAACACTCTCTCAAAGAGTCGTGTCAATTTTGACTCCCTGAATGGAACCCTCATTGCTGTCTTTATTTCTTGGTTTTTTCTGTTAAAATAAATTATATATAAATAGTTGTGTGTGAGAGTGAAAGAGAGAGAGAGAGAGAGATAGATAGAAAAAGAATGAGAGAGAGAGTGGGTGAGAGAGAGCGTGGATGGAAGGGAGGGAGAGAGAGAGAGAGAGAGAGAGAGAGAGAGAGAGAGAGAGAGAGAGAGAGGAGAGAACAAAAAGGAGTTTAATTCACATAATTCATTATTTTATTATCATCATACTAAGAAAAATTACCTATTTATAACAATTAAATTATAAAAGTTCGACATTTTTTACACATTAATACAAATAAATATTACCTTAAAGCTTCAATACATCTGTTGAGTACTAAAAGCGAAGAATTGATGCTCTGTGCCTCTTTGAGCCTTTCAGTCCCACCTGTTTTTGCTTTTTTCTGCCTTTCACTTCCAGCCAAATCACAGATCGTCAGACTATTCAAAAATATTTATTATTCATTTTAGAACTCCTTTTTAGATAAATTATGTAAATACCTTGAACTCCAGTTAAAGTTCAGTAAATCGTTGCGCTCTCTTACAACTAATTTTAGCATGAAGAGACAGTGCGACCTGCTAGATTTCTTATTCAATTCTGTGTGAGAAATGTGCAGGTTGTGTTTACCGTACCTATACAACTCGTAAGCTTCTGCCCAAGAATCAACATTGATATATTTTAGATCTGAAAAGCGCTTAATTAATACACCTTGAATAGAATTTCATATTAGCAGTACCTTTTACATAGATGTTTTTGTCTTTGTCCTCAACTAACAACAATGGCCGCTGCTCATGAGCGTCAACCAATAGATCGTAAAGATTTTCATTGTAAATTTCAATGAACCCTATCCAGATGGAATAAACAAGGTTATTGTTTGATTGAATGCTGACCTTTTTTAACCGTTCAAAATTTGTTTCCATTGCAGTATGGTCAGTAGTACCTTAAAGCAAAACCTCTTATGTGAAAAATAAGAAATGAGGTGTACGTATGTATGTAATAATAAAAACGTTAAACTTACTAATTGTTTGATCTAGAAGTTTTTTGTTTTTCACCACCTACAAAATTAAATATTTAGTTTATAATAATTCATCTAAAGTATTTAATTAAAAAATTACTTGTTTAGATGCAAATTTCAGTATTTCTTTTTTGTACAACTTGTTGGCATTAACTTGCTTTTCATCTAGAACTATGACCCTGGAACCAGTTTCAGGGTAGCACCGACCGGAAAAGTCTTCTTTACCACAAATACTTGCAAAAACTGTATAAAGGCATCTCGGAATAAGACCAGGTTGTAAAGGTGTGCCTAAAACATCAAACTGCGTATGTACCATCTTTCAACGCAAAAATATTAATCAGTACCTTGTACAGTGTATGTCTTTCCAGACGTTGTGGTCCCATACGCAAAGATCAAATTGTTTTCACCGTTCAAAAAACTTTTTAAATTTTGTTTAAAGGCTTTTTCAAAAATTACACTCTGGGTCGTAGTGGGAAGGAAGATATCAGTGAATCTATATCTACAAAATATAATATACCTTTTAACTTAATTCACGTTCGACATTTTAAAAGAGACACACTTACTTATAAATTAATTCCTCTCTGTTGAGGAAAATTTTTGTTTGTAGAAATTTTCCAAGAATCTCGTAATTCTTATTCTGAAATAATCAAATACATAATTATTATAGTTTATATTATACAAAAACTACACTCACGTTAATTTCATCAGTGATGGACATTATATTACAAGGTTTTATCCGGAGGTAAACTTTGATTTTATCATCTACCACTTCTTCGATAGTAGCTTCATCGCTCCCTGTAGAAAATTCTAATCTTCCAAAGACCTTCTTATCCATGAAATTCTTCAAAACCTTGTTGGTGCAAGGTCTAGGCACCAGAAATGAAGGTTCACCCATTTTGAAAACACTAAAGCAAGAAAGGATAATTTTATAATGGGATCTCATACAGTTTTGCTTTCAAACATAATTTATTAATAAACTATGATTAAGTGGAGAAGTGAGGAAAAACTTATTTCAAAGGATGAAAGTGCTCAAAAGCTCAGAAACAATTAACTGGATGAGAAATAAACTCTTCAGGCACGCAACAATAATTAATAAAAGCAGACACCCATTCTTCAAAATGGGGAGTGACTACATGATCCCAGAAACACTTTACAACATCCAACATAAAGTCTCAGCAGACTACAAAGTAGAAAAAAATTCAAGGGGAAATCCAATATAGATGTAGATGTAATAGAGGGTGTGTGTAATACTGCACCTTTTAAGAGCTGTTGCATCTCGCATTATGAGCCTATAGAACACCGGTGAATCCTAAAATTCATCCAGGAATTTTATGAATAGGCCCGGTTTCAGTGGTTGAATTTCTTCTGTGAAAACTAGTCATTCCAAAAGATGGGGAACACAAGCTGATATCTTGGTTAGCAGGACACAGAGGAATTTTTGGTAAAAAAGCAGACCCATTGGCCAGAGGAGAATCTGCAAAACCATTAGCCACCCATATCATCTTCGAATATGAAGCAATTGCTCAATGGAGAAATAACCTGGGATTCAAAGGAAACCCAGGAAATATGTCCAATGACAGTCGATGTCCTACTATTCCTTAAAAGAAGGATCAAATCGACATACGAAAGGTTTGCCCAGGAGCCTTTTCCTAGCTATTGCGGGTCAGTTGCATGTGCCTGACACCTCTGTCTCTTCTAAGCATAATTGAGATTTGTCATCTTATGTTTTTATACAATGGATACCAGGGACTGGAGGAGTTCCTTCCTGAGCACTTCAGCTGAGCTGTACAGCTTATTGTACTTCATCCCTGGCTCCATTTTTGGGGGCTCGAAACACGAGTGTGAATTGGAGCCCCTGGTGTGCCGGTGTTCTTCCATCAAAGAAACTCATTTTTGAAGGGGTTGGGGACCAAATTCAGGGTCGCTGAGATCCGATCCCGCCCCTTCCACTGACGAGTGCCGTGTCAATTTCTTTCAATTGCGGCCACCGGTCCCCAGGAGATACATTACTAGGCATGTTGTGTATATATACCAGGGTTGTTTTTGTGAGTAGTCTTTTATCTTTTCTCATGCCTGGGTTAGGTTCCTAGTATTTCTTTTGTTCTTTAGTTACCCAAGGGGGTTGGAGACAAGTCTGGAGAATAAGGAAGATGCTGAAGAACTTCATAGCCAAGCTCTTTCAATTTGTTTACAGTACGTTTTGAAACATGAGGCCTGGCGTTTTTGTGACCTCTTCATTTTCCAATGCAGGTTTTTGAGTAATTTTTTATGCATTTCGTCAATTTCCTACCAGTACGATGTATAGGTAATGGTCTCACCTCTAAGTAAAAAGGGGAGGTGAATACTTCCAGCAATGGACCACCCGTTCACCTTCAATTTTCTTGGGTGTAAATTTGGTTTTGGCATGTGCCCTGGCCTTTCCTCGAAGTTTGTCGAGATTGTCATATGCAATACATTTTTCATCGCAAGTGAGTATCGTTTCAAGAAAAGGCTCGGTTTTTGTCTGGCGAGCAATGAAACGCTTCTCTCAAGGTGCTAGCAAGATAGTACATTTAAAACACTGGACTAGTGTAATCTGGATTTATTTTCATAAAGATTTTATTTTTTTAATTTAGGATTTAAGATATAAAAAAAACTAGCGAAATTAGACTAAAGTGATTATTCCATACAAAGAGGAAATTGAATCTATTAAGTTTGGTACCTTTTATCAAATGCAGATGCTCAGTGTAGGGTTTAAACAGCAATTTTTCATAACAGAAAATTAATTCCAGTTGGATTTCTGTTGATAAAGATTTTTCCGTTAAAACCAAAACTAGTCTGCTCTCTGACGATACCCGCAGGACCAAAAACAGACCCTAGATCGATTCCCAGTATCGATCAGATTTATTTCTTCGTATTTTTCAACATTTTAAGACCTGGGATGGGAAAGAATATTAAATATATTCAATTTAAACAATTTTTTTTAGATTTTGTAGAGGCGGAATGTAAAATTTCTCTACGTCATAATTAAAATTAACTACTTGAAACCTATTTGATTTGAGGTTGTATGTATCGATTTCAAAAGTACTTCCGCAAGATGAGATTTAAATCAAAAATTTAAAATTATAATAATAATAATTATTATTATTATTATTTGTTGTAATCCAATAATGTACAATTAAATTACAGCTATTATATAAATACCATTACGGTACGTGTTCCTGACCCTAATCCGGTTTACAATTGGGCGGAAACATCAGTTGTAGCGGTTCTTAGGTAATATTAACAATACATTTATCTTACAATTACTAATTTATTGAACATGAACATGGAAATGATAGTGTGCACACTTACAAAGTCCTATAGGCTATTATATGCGGAAAAATGTCCGGAGGATTCTCGTGAGTCTTATCGCTAGGAGAAGTAAAGAGAGAGTGGATACTGGATACTGGATCGTGGATGTAGCCACGGAAAACCTTCCACAGGTTTTTCCTGGTCACCAGTGTTGTCCTGATGGCCTACAACTAATTTTGATGTGATTCTTTTACATGCTAATGCTTTAATAGCTGCTTGGCTGTCTGTTCTTATGAGGATTTTTTTGTCAGTGTAACCTCTTTTAAGATTTTCCAGGGCACAAGCAGTGATGGCATGTATTTCCACTTGAAAGACCGAAGTGTACTTCCCTAATGAGTTTGATTGCTCATGTTTTGGTCTTGTACAGAAAACGCTTGATCCGGTTCCTTCATCTGTTTTGGAGCCATCTGTGTACCATATCATTTTATCTGATGCTCTCCTGTGTTCTTCCTCTCCTTTACAGTCCATTGAGACTTTATAGGAAGTTGTGAAGATTGTTTCCGGGAGTCTGGGGAGGAGTCCGGCTGCCGCTTTCTTGCTGGGTGGAGAAGGGGGCCTCCGAAGTTTACTCCGGGGGGTTTGGGAGATGTGGACTTTTCCACATTATTTCAATGTTAGTGGTTTTTATCCACATTTCACTTCAGCAGGATGAGATTTAAATCAAAAATTTAAAATTATAATAATAATTGTAGGAGAATAAATTTGAAAGTTGCGCCAAGGTGACGTCAGACCGTGACGTACTTAAATCTAATGGTCACTTCTAAGAAGGTTATTGGTTACAAGTGCTTATATATATAGAGAGAATAATAAAGAGCGTGTGTTCAAAAACGAAAAAGTCTACGGTTTCTTTATCCGATCCAATCCTGAAAAGGCCCTACATAATAATTATTATAATTATTATTTGTTGTAATCCAATAATGTACAATTAAATTACAGCTATTAAATAACTACCATTACGGCATAAAATATCCAGTCTGCTGGAGGTAAATTAAAACAAAAGTGCAGAATAATACAAAATATGAATTAAAAAAAAAAGACTTCCAAAGAACTTAAAGAAAAAGAAAAACCATAAACTAAAAATGCACTAAATATTTATGGAAATCCCATTCGTGACACTAACTTTTACATCTCATCCAAGACCTTGGATAAAAAGAATAATTAAATGAAATAATTACTATGGTCAATTATGACTGCTGAACATATATGGATTAATTCATAGAAATGATAAATGGACCTAGAATCCCGAGTCAAAAGCTAGGCAAATTTGGAATTTTGTTTTTATGTTCTCCCTTGATCATAGTATTTTTAATAGATCACATTTATCTTCAAGTGGTCGATACCTTCCCTTCAATTATAAACTTTAATGAAATTTTATTTCATTTAACATTTAAATTTAATTTTTTTGTTATTATTTGTAGATCATAAGATGTCTTGTGTGATGTTGGTTTAGAAAAGGATTTTCTTTTTTGTGACACGTTTCGATCTTTATTTAAATCATCTTCAGGGCTCAAAGCGTGTGTTTTCTGTGTAGATTATACATTTATTAGAAAATAAATGACAGTTTAAACATAAAAACTAGCCAGTTTAATAACATAAAACAAAATGTGTCAATAAAATAAAGGGTCTTGTACACATCTGTCAATCCCAAGCATGTCAGATTATAAACATGCTTGATCAATATTGATAGGAATAATAAAATACAGTGCAAGCATTTATTTAAACTTATTCTTGCTTTAATACATTTTGTGCCATTGTTTGAAGGCATCTTGCCCAAAAAAAAGTATTCTGTTGGCCTGTTATCAATCAATACTTATTTCCCTTGTTCACTAAATTTAAATTGGTTTATTTGTGTTGCATGAGTTGAAAGATGTTAAATTAAATTGATTTGAAAATGATCAATGATGATGATTGCTTCAAAAGAGCTTCAAGAGAGAACAAATTGGTCATATGAGCTCTCTAATTTGGAACCCTAAATTGATCAAATACAGTATGTCTAAAGAGATTAAAGTCACAACATTATTGACCGTTTAGAGAAAATTTATTTGTCATAGCATTATCACACATATCAACTTTCCATCCGGTAAATCCCTTAATTTTATAGATATTACAAATTCCATTACACACAACATACTCAATGTTGTATTGAATTTACCTGATGAATATAAATGATGAGCACAACTATAAATGATTAAGTAAAATTAAATTTATAAATCATTGGTACTGTCGGACAGGCAATTAATTTATTGTGTCTGCATGTAGATTTATACATAAATATAACAATACAATTTGATATTCAAAACTTCATAGTATACATAGGTATAAAAATAACTTATTTTTTTTACAAATTTACAAATACAAAACAACATAAAAAGACAAAGAAATTATGAAACTTTTTAAATCAATAAATCTCTTTCTTGTTTTGTTCATGAAATTCACTTCAATCGTATCCTCTTTGAGAAGCTTTTTGTTAAATGGCCTGGCAACTTGCGTATTTTCAAGCAGTATTTTAAATGAAGCTGGAGGGTATACGGAAATACGGTTTCATTTCAGGTTCTAAAGCTAGCATATAGTTAGGGGTGGCAGTTATTTGATTAACTTTGATTTTTTTTCCTGCTACTGCTATATACTGCTGAAACCCCCTATTCCTAAGCTCCATAATTAGCAACTGTTTTTTTTTAATTATTATTTTTTTTAATGGCTTTATGTTCTTTGCATGTTAGCCAATGACAATGTTATTATGTGAATTTGTTAATTAGCAACTGTTCAGATAAGCTTTTGTAAACTTTTATTTTCAAGCCCGAAGGGACATGTTTTTCTTGTATACACTTAGCCTACACTCTTCTAAGTCCACATTTTGAAGCTTTATAAAACAAAATTTTATCTTAAAAAAAAAGTGTATGCAGTAAAAATTGCCAAAATATTCCATAAAATATGCAGTTGAAAGTCCTGAAATATGCAGTATTAATACTTGAAACGCTTAAACTGTTGCGGCCACCGATGGATGCCCCCTAGAGTTTATTTACATTTAACAATATTTTCTCACTTACATAATTACATTATATATTTTATACTAATTGAGTATAATTAATGTTAATAAATTAGTACTTCTCTAAATTTTCTTCCGTGAAATAGTGCCTACGGTCATTTAAAATTTGTGAGAATATTTAATATTGAAGTAAGACCTAAGAATTTATATTCTTTGTTCGGTATTTCTAGAATCTTCTTTTCCCGTCGTTGTGGCCTATTTCAGTTTACTTCGAATTAAACCAACTTTTCAACTTTTTTTTTTTACAGAACTTTTTTATGCTTCCTCCACAAACCAATATAGTGTTGTAAATATTTTGTGCGATAAATTCGACTTTACGTAAAAATCCTTCAAATATGCAATTTTATGCAATATTCATCAAATATGCGAAATTATGCTCTACAAAATTTAACCAACAGCTTCCAAAATACATGATTCAGATAGATAATTGATTTCCTCGGTCATATATGGTGGCAGACGAAATATCAAACTGCATAAAAATCCAGTCTTTGCTTATAACTATCTGAATTATTTTATAGTTATTGTGTGAATTATTTTTTAACTTCCAAACTACGCATCCAATTATATTCCAGTGTTCTCACCAAGAATTTATCAATGATCGCTGACATAAATATAAATTAACAGACATTTAATTGTATGAATTATTTAGAAAAGTTTGTTTTACAACTTGAACATTTTTTTACATTGTTTATTTAACTGGAATCTTGAAAAATATGTAAACAGTACTAATCCAACATTGTGATATTTACATGACGTGACATCCAACTTCTAAACTAATTTTTAATACAAATTTGATTCTTGAGAATAGAAAGTTATTTGTATGTTAAAATCTTTATTTTCTTGTCATTATCTTTGTGATACTGGTTTTATTGTTATAACCTTTCCTTGATGATTTATTTTCTTATTCGACGACAAAGCTTTCTGAAAAGAAATTCACATTTTTACTACAAGATTATAATCACTTGGTTAAGGGAAAAAACATACCATCATAGTCGCATTATCACTAAATGAAATGACAGCAAAAGTTTTCTGACTATGATTGACCAGCATTATGTCCTCAACGGTGTTATTATCAACCCCAATTTCTGATAAAATACCATTAATGTCCTCATACTTAACGCTACGGGAGGAGAAGAATTAAATGATTTTATAAACACAAGAGTAAAATTTAAAAACTCACCTCGGTTTGAGATTTGATATTTTAACTTTGAAAAGACCGCCTTGGAAGAGAATAGAATTAGAAGCCATTGGTAAAATTGCTGGTTTGTAACTTTCTTCTTTCAAGCTTTCATTCTGAATAGATGGATAATTTTCATTATCGTATGCACAAAGTGAACTTGTCAAAGCATCACAGAACTCCATTTTTGATGTAATTCCATTAGAGCTGTTAAACGAACCATCAACAGAATAATTTCCAGTTTCTTCATTTGTCTCTTCCACATCAAAAGGATGTTCCGTCATTTCTTGAAACTCTGATTCTGCCTCTGAAGGTTCGGGTTTCTTCGGACTACTAGTATTGGGAATGTCTTTATGAAACGCTTGATAATTTTGCTGCTCATTGGCAACACTTTGAATATTAAAATAAGACTTGAAACCTTTACTTTTATCGTGTACAACTGGTATCTGGAAGTGATTGTTTGAAGTCGAATTTGACGGAGGACACCATTCTTCCTCTGGGTTGTCGTTTTCAGGAAGTTCCGTTTCTTCAGTGCAATCTGTCTCATTTAGAGCTGTGACAATGCACTTGAATGTGGAGCACATTACATCTAAATTGTGTTTCATAGACGTAACAAACTGTATGGAATCTTTACACCTTAACACTTTTGGCTTATTTACATTGGGATTTTTAACTTTTTTACTCGTCTTTTTTTCAATTTTCTTTTCTTTTTCAATTTTCTTTTCTTTCTTCTTATTCTTTGCCATTTTGGTGCGATTGAATTAGAAATTACAATTTCTTTAAAGCTTCTTTCACCTTTATTTTCTAAAACAATAAAATAAATATATAAATTGATAATAAATGATATTACATTATAAAATGTACTATTCAACTACAAGGTTATGTGAATCCTCGGGGATTTCGAGGGAAAAAACTTATTAATAAGTACATCCAGTGGGTTTGAACATGGGACTTTTACCTTACAGTAATGAGCGGTGTCAACACCTAAACCATTTGCAGTCACCCTAAGCCTTTGTTAAGGTCTACCACGTGTATTCTTCAAGCCTAGGCTTTTCCTCTCCAATGAGTAAGGATGTCGGCCTACAAATGAACAGAGCAAATGTCCCCCTGCCCTGCAATATCTGCAGAGGCTTGTTGAGAGTCTGCAATCCTTCTATCATTCTGGTTCTTACATCTTGGGTTTATTAGTTCTGCTGTTGGTTTCTGTGATGATCCTTTGAAATTTTTCACATGCCTTTGTCCTAGATACAGATTCAATGAACCCAAGACTTATTGATTATTTGGAGATCATGAGATGCAGTCTAGTGTGGTCTATGTTTAGAAAAACATTTTCTTTATCATGCCAACATTTCGATCTTTATTTAGATCATCTTCAGGGCCTGGGGTTTACAAACATTGTTTAAATTTTACAAATACATGTAGGATGTGAAAAAAATGAATTTCTAGCATTGTATAAATTCATTTTTTTTCACATCCCACATGTATTTGTAAAATTTAAACAATGTTTATAGATCTTTATGTAAGGTATTGGTCGAGGTAAAAAAGTCAGTGTCACGAGCGGGATTTGAACCCTCGACCTTCAGCTAGATACGCCACTGTTCTAACCACTTGAGCTATCGTGCTTCGATCCACTTGGGCACCAACTTCCTACTACTCAATCCACCTTTTGAATTTTCCCTCCTTTTTGCCATTTTTCATCCAATGTTTTTTATAAATCCTTTCTATTCTATAAATTCATTTTTTTCACATTCTACATGTATTTGTAAAATTTAAATAATGATTATAAATCCTAGGCCCTGAAGATGATCTCAATAAAGATCGAAATGTTGGTACGATAAAAAAAAATGTTTTTCTAAAACCTACATCACACCAGACCGCATCTCAAGATCTCCAAATAATCATTAACTAACGATCACTAAACACCACACACTTGTATATATACTTTTTCGTCAAAAATTAAGCTCCTCTCCGAAATAAAAAGAAAAGTATTTACAGTTTAGCATTAACGATTTATTCGGAGATCGTGAGATGCAGTCTGGCGTGATGTAGGTTTTAGAAAAACACTGTCTTTATCCTGCCAACGTTTCGATCTTTATTGAGATCATCTTCAGGGCTCAAAGTGTTTGTTTACAGTGTAGATGTGTCATTCTTGCATGTCCTGTTGAGAGTGCCCACAAGACACAACACGACACACAAGAATGACACATCTACCTAGAAAACAAACACTTTGAGCCCTGAAGATGATCTCAATAAAGATCGAAACGTTGGCATGATAAAGAAAATGTTTTTCTAAAACCTACGTCACACCAGGCTGCATCTCACAATCTCCAAATAATTTTAATTATGTAATTTCTAGACACTTTTAAGTTATTTTGCCTTGATAATGACTTTAAAATAGGTCAAATGCTTGGCAAATATCAAGTTTCCATAAATACTAGCTCGTGATCCTTCCTGACCCATACTCAGTCTTTGTCATCTGTATACCAGATATATCAGCAATCCCTAAAACTTAGTCTTCCGTTAAAATACTATAAATACACTAATGTCTTTCCTTATTTAAATTACAATTTTGGGCATTATAGTTTATTGCCCCGCAATTTGTATTTTCTTTTATTTAATTTTTCCGATCTGCCTCAAAAATTCCTGAAAAAAGAAAGAAATCTTGCACGCAGAACTCTCATTCAAACATTAGCAAACGAGCATTCAAAGGTATAAGAATTTTGGAAAAGGCCTAAATCTCATTATTAATTACAATAAATTAAAGCTGAAAAAAGCTCTTCGAAAAAAAAACACTGGGGACCTAGCAACTCCTTTAAATCACTCGAAAAGTTGAGCCCTTGCCAAAAGGGTTGCAAAGTGTGACAGTCGACTAAAATACGTTTTATGATCAGAATAAGTTCTCCACTTCAAATACGTCGAGGACAAGTTGGAAGGTTGTTGCCTATTAAAATACTATTACGGATCAGTCTGATATGACCTATTCACCAGTAAGGAGAGAATCACAAATTCTTTCTCTTGAATGGCTCTCAACTGGCTTAATTTCTTTCATACTATCTCTACAGGCATTCCGTCTTGCCGCCCACTTTCGTTGATAATGTTTTTAACATAAACAACTATGTCCTCTGGACAGAGGAAATTCATCTGTTCTTTGTGGATCGTTTGCAGCGTTCCTTGCCTGGTGATCAATTCTTTCATTTCCAGAAATGCCGACACATATACAATAAAATTATTATATACATATTAAAATTGCACACACTGACTTCAAGATGATTTCATCAATCCAGATTAGTTTATAAAAAAACAATCAAAATTTTTTATAAATATTTTATTACTATATTATACTAATTTACTCATTGGACTAATAGCTGAACTTACTGAAAATTTAATGAAATAATCACAACGTAATCCTTTTTTCTTCTTGTTTTCATAAACACTCCATCTTCAACATAGCATCGCTCTGCTTGTTTTTCCCAATCTGCTTCTGCTCTTTTAGTCTTTGACCCAATTCATTCCGCAGTTTCAACAATCGGTGATACTCATTTTCGAGTTTTTCGTATTGTATTTTCACCGTTTGAATATACTCGTCCAAATGGTGCTCCGAGTGTCTGAAATTCGGGTCGTTGACGTCGATCGACGTTTGCAGCTTATCCATACACCTGAAATAAATCCAATCATTATACGAGTTAAACAAATAATCTGTAAAGAGTTAATTTTTAAGTTTTGCTTAGTAGAGTGGAGGGGATTTTTCACCCATTGCAACTAAGAAAAACTCATAAATTTATTACAGTTGATACCATAATTTATAATATTGTAAGTTTATAAGTTGTTATCTGCTTAAATCATTAGAAATAGTTTCAAAGGCTTGATGATGGGGATAAATTTCTTGTAAGGACGAAGGAACTGAGTGTTTTTATTTTTTTCAAATTCAACTTATCCCTTGTTCTTTTATACACAATATTTTAAGTTTTAACTTCTGTTCCCCTCTATATATGTATCTAAATGTGTACTGTATATTATTATTTATTTTATTTTTTTAATTGGGGTTTATCTAACACAAGATAGCAGGGTATGAATAGTTTATCTCAAACAGCATGGTATACATCAATGAATATTTTTTGAAGCTGAATTCAACTGGCCACACGGTTTTTAATTTGGATCTACCGTTCTGATGTTATTTTTAAAAACAATAACCAAACATTATTTTTCAGAAACTGCTATGTATTATCATCGACCTAATCCCTGATTTACATCTACAAATAAGTACTGTTACAGTCCTTGGCAACGTTGGGACTGAGTCGGTTATCGAGGAAATTTGAGATAGCCCGTAAAAAACTTAACATATCAATCTGTAGACTTCTTCTAACACATAAAACCACTAAGGGTCATAACTGCCTTAAAACATCCACCAATGCAGCCTCAATGCAAAGGGACGAGCACTGTAATCAATGTGTGGTGATTAGTGAACGTTAGTCGATAATTATTCAGATATCGTGAGATGCGGTCTGGTGTGATGTAGGTTTCAGAAAAACATTTTCTTTATCGTGCCAACGTTTCGAACTTTATTGAGATCATCTTCAGGACCTGGGATTTACAAACATCGTTTAAATTTAACAAATACATGTAGGATGTGGAAAAAAGTGAATTTATACAATGCAAAATATATTTTTTATATTCAATCAAAGTATTTCTACTCACTCAAAGTGTTTGTTTTCTGTGAGTAGAAATAACTCCACGATTTAATGTGCACACATGAAAACACGACCGCAAGAGCAGCAGCCAATAACATACCCCCCTCCAAGACAGCACCAAAGACTAACGGAAACATCACAGCGATTCCTTACGGTATGAAGTTCAACTGGAGTGAAGAAACACACCATTTTCAGTGCTGCATTGGCAGATTGTCATGAACGTTACAAAATTAAAAAAACAACCATATATCGTATTGTTTGATTACTATTTATTATGAATACACATTTTGAGGACAGCCAATGGGCTGATCCCTCATAGCAAGTGTATATTATTGTAGTGCTGTAAAGTTAGCGAAACTTATATGACAGAAATGTTAAATAAAGTTTACCTTATAAATTAAAAAAAAGAAGAAATACTTTGATTGAATATAAAAAATATATTTTGCATTGTATAAATTCACTTTTTTCCACATCCTACATGTATTTTTTAAATTTAAACAATGTTTGTAAATCCCAGGCCCTGAAGATGATCTCAATAAGGATCGAAACGTTGGCACGATAAAGAAAACGTTTTTCTGAAACCTACATCACACCAGAACGCATCTCACAATATCTGAATAACAATAATCAATGTGATGTTATCGCTGAACTAATGTCGTTTTGGCTCTCCTAAAGGATCATGTGCATGGACTGATGATGGCCTTAAAATAGGTCGAAAACAACTAAATATGCTTTTTTCTTCAAGACTTTAATTCAGTGTTCATGTCTACAAATAAGTGTCGTATAAAGCACTAGACTCTTAAGTAAAAAAAAAAAAAATCAATTTAGTTAGTAAATAACTTATTTTAATTATAATAAGCCCTTAAAGACAAAATTACTGAAACTGTTTGGATAGTTGAAAAGTTTACAGCATATCAGACAAGTAAACATAGAACAAGCGTAACATGAATTAAAATAGACTGATTATTAATTAAATTACAGAAAAAAATACGTCATAAAGTTTACTTTGTCATCATAAAAAATAATAATATTTATAAAATAATTTAATATTAAAATTGCAAACCGTCAAGAGAGTGTGGTCAACAAGATTTCCGTTCAAAAACTACTCCACGAGGTTGCAGGAGTCTCTCGATTGATCAAAAGAGCCTAAACATCGATTATACAAATGATAAGAAGTGGGTTGTATTTTGTATGGAAAGGCATGGGTATAAACGTGTAAAAATGTTGTTCAAAAGGAGAACAAAATGTTTTATTGTAGACGTCGAGGGGGGCGTTTTTATGCGAAATACCTCTTTAATAATTAAATCAGTGGCTTTCTGACAATAGGATTTTCGTCAAAAAGACAGTAAGACTTACATTTTATATGTCTGATGGATTTTGCAAAGAAGCAGCTTTTAAAATATGGATGGAAAGAAGGTGGGCTTATTTATTTTATATTTAAATGTAATATAATAAAGTTAAAACTATGGCCTAATTGCCTCTACAAACTGGAAAAATGTATTGCGTCTTTTTATTAAGTCGTTCTAGATTCAAGATCACTATGATTAAGATTAAAAAACTAAATACACAATGACATCCTTTATTACATAGGTCTACAAAACGTTATACAAAAATGATCATGAGCACAATTAACATTAATTTTGGAATGGATGTTGCAACATCCGCACCTTGGGGTGTAGACGAGCTTCTTAATACTCAACCAAACAGGACAAACGACTGTACTACACTGAAGTGACTACCCTTTCTTAGGGATGGTCTTTTTTATTTTTCCTTTTACACACTTCCTGCGAGGAGTGTAGCGTCGGTGTTTCCACCGGACCGCTATAAGTGACAGGCTAACTTTGTGTTGAAATTATACCTTTACATTTATATGCTAGTAATGTACAAAGTCATTAGTTATGAAGGAGTGGGTGATCTATCTAAGAAATATATGCTTCATGAATATCATCACTCCTCAGCAGTTGACTTTATTTGACACGACTACCTTCATTGTTTCTTTACAGGGCTTGCCTCGTGATTCTACTAATCAGTCAACTTTATTTGACTCGACTGCCTCGTTTGTTTCAAGATGGACTTGCCTCTTGACTCTCCTCATCAGCAGACTTTATTTGACTCGACTCCCTCATCAGTTGATTTTATTTGATTCAACTGCCTCCATTGTTTTTTAACTGGACTTGCCTTGTGACTCCTCTCGTCAGTCAACTTTATTTGACTCTACTGCCCTCTTTTTTTCTGGGCTTGCCTCGTGATTCTACTCATCTGTCGACTTTACTTGACTTGATTGCCTCCATTGTTTCTTGACTGGACTTGCCTCATGATTCTACTAATCAGTCAACTTTATTTGACTCGACTGCCTCGTTTGTTCCTAGATGGACTTGCCTCTTGACTCTCCTCATCAGCAGACTTTATTTGACTCGACTCCCTCATCAGTCGACTTTATTTGATTTAACTGCCTCTATTGTTTCTTGGGAAGTCCAGTGACTTCCCTCGTGATTGTACTCATCAGTTGACTTTACTTGACTCGGCAGCCTCCATTGTTTCTTGACTGGACTTGCCTCATGACTCACCTGATCATTTGACTTTATTTTAAATTTATTTGGGTTGACAGCCTCAGTTGTTTCTTCACTGGACTTGCCTTCTGACTCTCCTCGTCAGTTAACTTTATTTGACTCGACTACCTCATTTGTGTTTTGACAGACTCATCTCGGTGCTCTCCTCATCGGTTGACTTTATTTGACTCAACTGCCTCCATTGTTTTTAACTGGACTTGCCTTGTGACTCCCCTCATCAGTCAACTTTATTTGACTCGACTGCCCCCGTTTTTTCTGGGCTTCCTTGTTTTTTGACTGGACTTGCCTCATGACTCTCCTGATCATGAAGCTAAGATATATTGTCAATATGTTGGACTTAAGCTGCAGTATACATATTTTGTCAGAGACAAACTTTTGTACCATTTATTTGTAAAAATTTATAGATGGTGAAGTTATGCAAACCAAGGCTTTTTATACATATGTTATTTGACTTTTTTTAAAGGCAGCGGGCTTGGAAAGAACAAGACTGGAATTACAACAGCAATCAAACCGAAGCGCAAATTAAACAAAGAAGGCTTTGGATTTTGTGCAGGGGAAGAGTACACAAATAACTGGTGGGATAAAGTCTTCAATGAAACTGCGTCCAAAATAAATATAGGAGATAAGGTGATTTTATTTGAAATTTCTGTATAAAATAAGTTGACATTTTGTTTCTTTTTCTAATGTCCATTTGTCTATGTTTTTCAGGAGGAAAATACAAAACGCACCAAGAAAAGAAAGCTTAAGTCAGATGGAAAAACTGTGAAAAAAAGAAAAAAGGAGAAAGTGCAAGAATATTTTTCTAATTGCAGTGAAGTATGTTGCTCGTATATTTTATTTCTATGCATTTTACAAATATATGGAATTGTTTTAAGGAATCATCGGCAGAAAATAAAATAGATGACGGTGCGGAATCCTTGTCCGAAAGTGATGAAGATAATGCATTGAGTCATTTAATTGAAGATGATGCATTGTTTAAGGCTTGCGGGGGTCGAATGGCACATAAGTAATATTTTTGTGCAGTTTAAATTATATCAACTAAGTAAAAATGTGTAAATTTAATTTTCAGAGAAACAAGACATGGCCGTGGTGTAATGGGAAAGTTAATCCGTCTAAAAAAACAAGATGATATTTTCAAAAACCAACTGAAACTTATCAAAGTCAAATATAATGAATAACATTTATGTTTATATGAGAAATCGAAGTGTCTTAATACATTTATAAACATACACATTTTTTATTTTCATTTTATTGTGTTAAAATAATTGTTTTTGGTACATGAAACAGAGTAAGTTGTGTATCAAGTTCAAGAGTAATTGATCATTGTTAGATTTCTCCACATGATCTCCATGTGATACAGGGAAATAAACCTGTACTTCGGTCGTTATCGATCATTTTGATCAGCCTGTGCTTGCTCGTTTGGTCAGATATGTTTCGTTAAAAAATTTCTGAGTCTTCATTGTGAATTTGTATTTAACAATGCATCAGTAGCTTTAGCCTGTTCAACAGCTAAAAAAAAAAAAAAAAAATGGTTAAATAAAATGTTTTGACCCTTAACCGTTAATATGTATTCCTGGATACATATTAATTCTAAAAGAAACTTTTCTTTTTTTTTTTTTCAAACATGCTGAGCATTTTCATTGATTTATCTCCTGGGATACTTTGCCAAGAAAGTTTTTGTGTCAAAACAATAGGAGTGGGGCAGAATAAGGATAGTTCTACTCACAAACTCAAGATAACTTTAGCCAAAATAATTAAAGCCAATAATTAAAGCCACTAGGTTCAAACCTAAATTTGGAGTCGACAATTCTTTACCTGTATTATGATTGTATTTCAATGCAAATACTTTTTATGTTTCAAAATTTATTTTCAAATATTTCTGCAAAAGAACGTGCAAAATTAATAGAACAAAACCTTATCAAGAACTCCATAAATAAATTATCCAAAAAAAAGTAATTAACTACTGTGAATTTAACAATAAATTTTACAAAATGAAAGGATTATCACTAGAATTATTACAAAACAGTTTGTGAGTATATATGAGCTCTTGTATCAGGAGCTAATGAGAGCTGGGTTTATTAGCCTGGTGTAACTCTTGTATCAGGAGTTTTGTTAACCTGGTATTGGAGGTACAAGAACTCTTGCAACAGGAGCTGAATTAGCCTTATAAAAGCTATTGGATCAGGAGGTAAGTTTAGCTTGGTATTGGAGGTATAAGAATTCTTGGGTTAGGAATTAATTTTAGTCTGGAAGTGGACATATAAGAACTTTTGTAACAGGAGCTGGGTTCAGCGTGGTATAGGAAGTGTAAAAGCTCTTGTATCTGGAGCTAAGTTTAAGAACTTTTGTGTCAGAGACCTATATGGGCCGAGTTTACCCTGATACCTGGTATTGGAGATGAAAAGTTCTTGTGTCAGGAGTTAAGTTCAACCTGGTATTGGAGATATGAGAGCTATGTTTTGCCTGTTATTGCTGGTATAAAAGTTCTTATATCAGGAGCTTTAAGTTAGTGTGGTATTAGAGGTGAAAGACTCAATTTGACAATTTTTTCTTTGGAAAAGTTACTATCCTTGAATCAATAAATAAGCTTATAACAAATAATAAAAATGTAACTTTTTAATCTTTTTCTCAAAGATTAATTCATGAATCAATGAGTGCAATCTACAGAACTTAGATAAAATGTGTAAAAAGTGGTCAGTCAGTTTGAATTTAATTGTTAGATTTAATTTATCAGCCTGATAAAGAGACCAATTTTCTATCTTTTCAATTATTAAAAAAATTTTCAATGTGAAAAGAAAAACGTTTTGTTACATAATAAAAGAACAAGAAAAGGTTTTAGTAAAGGTGAACTGCAATTATTCAAAATTTTTATGAATAATGGCCAAGTAACTGCCTCTGGTCAGTCAGTTTCAGTATAATTAGTAAATTTTATTTATCCATCTGATGAAGTCAAATTTCAAATTCTGTTTATTAATCATTTTAAAGATCCTTTCAATCAGTGAAAAAACGAATTTTTAACAGCATCAGGGAACGAGAAAGTTCTGCACAAAAGTCAACAGTGGAAGGTTCTCATTTCTCAGAAAAACTCTTTTGAACGAGGTACACAAACTGTCCTACACAAAAAGAATCGTTCAGTTAACTGAACGATTCAAACTGACGCCGTCATAAAATAAAACAATAAAAAAGAAAGAAAACCATTCCTAAACGATCAAGTGATTAGAAATAAAACTATTTAGCGTATTTTCCAACTGTCCAATTGACGGCGACAAACGAGAAAAAATAAAGGCGAGGGTTAATTAAATGCATGCCATGTGAATGAGTTTCGAAAGTGGCTCGACATACGTGACATGCAGGGTTAGTATGTGCCGTTTTAACAACAATTATACATTTCTTATAAAATAAATGACAGTTTAAACATTAAAACTAAACGGTTTAATAACATAACGCAAAGTGTGTCAATAAAATAAAAACATTTAAGCCCATCTGTCATCTGTCCCAAGAATGTCAGAATATAAGCTTGTTTGATCAATATTTACAGGAATAATAAAATACGGTGTAAGAATTTATCCAAGCTTATTCTTGATTAATACATTTTGCGCCATTTTCTGAAGACGTCTTACCTAAAAAAAGTTGGCGTGTTGGACTTTTATCAGTCAAAACTTATTTTTCTTGTCCACTAGTTTTAAATTGGTTTATTTGTGATCACAAGTTGAAAGATGTACAAATAAATTGATTTGAAAAACATAAATGATCAATGTAGGGTTCCACATAGTGAACTCTGCAACTGTAAACTACAACGCAGAAATATTCTTATCTTTGTAGCGTTTTGAAGCTCTGGTCGGTTTTTACTAACTTCACAGAACTCTTTAACCGATTCTCCCACTACCCCCAGGTCATTGCTTCAAGAGAGAACAAATTTGTGTCATATGAGTTCACGAATTGGAACCCAAAATTGATGAAATACTGAATGAAAAGAGAGATTAGAGTCACAATTCAATGATCGTTTAGAGAAAATTTATTTGTTGTAACATCTATCACACATAAATTATATGAACTTTCCATCTGGAAATCCATTAATTTTATAGATATTAAAAATTCTATTACACACAACATACTCAATTTTGTTTTTGAATTTACTTTATTATAGACAACACGTTATGGTGTTTAAGGCGACCCATTGATCGATATGTTTTTTAGTTTTAGTGTTGGAATCTTTTAGTACATGAAATCTATTTTAGGAACATAATTAATAGAATATTTAATAATTGACAAAGAAAGCGTTGTAGTGAGGTCAGCATTTTCCAAATAGGGGCAGAGCAAAAGGTACAGAACCACTGAAGATGGTGAATAATAAAACTCACTAAGGGGCAAGAGCTCTTATACCTCTAATACCAGACTAAACATAACTCCTGGCCCAAGAGCTCTTATACCTCTAATACCAGACTAAACATAACTCCTGGCCCAAGAGCTCTTATACCTCTAATACCAGACTAAACATAACTCCTGGCCTAAGAGCTCTTATATCTCTACTACCAGACTAAACATAACTCCTGGCCCAAGAGCTCTTATACCTCTAATACCAGACTAACTTAACTTATGATAAATGAGCTTTTATACTAGACTAATTAAGTATTCCTGATATGAGATTAAATATAAGGTACAAGCTATATGTTTATTTATTGATTCATGGATATTATCCTTTTGTACAGAAAAACAAATTGCTAAACGCACCTCCAATACCAGACTAAACTTACCTCGTGATATAAGAACTTTTATACTACCAATACCAGACAAAACTTAACTCATATCTCCAATACCACCANCTCCTGATACAAAAACTTGTTCACCTCCAATACCAGGCTAAACTTGGACCCTTTCAGTTCCTGATTCAAGAGTTCTTAAACCTCCAATATCAGATAAAACTTGGCTCCTGATCCAAGAGCTTGTAATGAGTTATAGGGTGAAATCAGGGCAGTTAAAAATTAAAAGAACTGATAAAAATAAAAAATAAATAAAATTAAGTTTTCACAATATAATTGATATTACTATCAACAATACAAAATACAACTTTATATTCTTTCTTTTGGTGAAAATTAAATTAATAATTGTTATGCTGGCAATTAAAAACAAATTAACAATAATAAAACAGACAAGGAAAGAAAATCTTCTTTTAGGTTAACAACCCTGCCAGTTAAAAATGGAAGGAAAAGCAGTGATAGAACAGTTGCCACAATAAACGGTTGACAGTGCCAGTTGAAGTTTGTAGTTCAGCCAAAGCACAATAAGAAATTTTTTTCATAAAAAAAGGCTAGAGGAGCCAAAACTGACCGCTTCAAGAGTCCCTGGGGAAAGAAGGAAACCTCGCCAAGTGGCCATGCGTTTCATTTTGGTGGAACCGCTCTCTATCGATGCTGGTACTGCCTGTGTTCCACTATGAATTTTAATAAAAGGAAGGCAAAGGCGAACGACATGGTAAAAGATACCCTGGAGCAGTTGGGAAAGACCTGGGTGTTACAAGATCTCTTATACCTCCTATACCAGAGCAAATTCAAGCTCCAGATACAAGAGTACACCTTCCAATACCAGGCAAAACTCAGTTCTTGTTAACTCCGGATCTTTTATACCTCCACTACCAGAGTAAGTTCAATTCCTGATACAAGAGCTTTTACACCTCCGATACCAGGCTAAACTCAGCTCTTGTTGGCTCCTGATGCAAGAGCTCTTGTACCTTCAATACCAGACTAAATTCAGCTTTTGTTACAAAATCGCTTTCATTACCACAATAAATTCGATTCATGACACCAGTAATTGACTACTTTAATGGTGAATTAAAACAGACCTGACCCACTGAAAATGGCAAATGCTGAAAAATATCTGGCCAGATATATATAAGCAATAGGCAGACCAATGTGATTGGATAAATTATAAATCATAAGTAAAACTATAAATGATAAAGTAATATTAAATTTATAAATCATTGGTACTGTCTGACATGCAAGTAATCTTTTTTTTTCCAGAACCAGGACCAGGAGAGGTCGAAGTGCTTGAGGACAATGGAAAGCAATACCCACCAAAGTGGATTCCTGTCCACAGGAAAGAACCGCCTGTAAATGTTGTCATTTGCTTCAAATCCCATATCTTTCGTATTTAAATTGTACTCAGTCAATTTTAAATCGATTATAGGAAAACCTGCCTGAAGATGAAGAAAAGCCCAATCAAGAATTGTACTATTTCAAACAGGACATGTCACTCTTGCTTTGTAATCTTGTACTTTTCTGCATAAATCTGGACATATTGCGTGAAGAAATGTCATTGGTCGATTTGATAAGGACGGATTCAATAATAATGCTGTCTGTGAGCATTGCTTTACAGGTAAACACATTCGCACATTCACTCGGCTAGAAGTTGTTCATTTTTCTTTTTTTTCCAGGTTGTACTTGTTCTGATAATGGTTTTGAATAGTTCGCTTTTTGAAAATTATTTCAAACCCCTTAATTCCAACATTTTAAATAATCTGAGCCTTTCAACAATAGTGGTCTTACTAATAATCAACGCTACCATTTGGGTGTATTATATTTCAGAAATAAAAAGTTTTTTTTAGAGGAATTGATGAAACAAAGAAGAATACGACTGGAGAGAAAGTACTACTGAATATGTTCAGAGTAAAAATTAGCCAGCTTTGAATGGTTAAAATTTAACTTTGTTCTATTCTGTTTTTTGATTGACAAAAAAAAAACATTACATAGCATTTATAACATATAGGTAATTATACAAAAATATTTTGTTATCTCTATGCATTATTACTAAATACAAATAATAAAGAAAATTCTCTCTTACTAGGTTCCTAATATATTAATATTTTTGCCTTTATATTGTAAAAAACATAACTGTGGTATTTTACTAAGCTTTAAATGTGTCTTTAATTTTAAAAATAATAAAGAAATAAAATGTCCGTGCTTATTTTTAATCTGATATTTCGCATAATGACCAAGCACTGGACATTTCGTACGACTGACCTAGATGGACATTATACTTATGACATACAATGTCATATAGGTAATTTTGCCCATTTTATACAGGCCAAACATGTTTCTACATTATAATGACTCACCATTATGTATAATATCCAATCATCTAGCAATTTTGTAATATTTTTATGCTTTAATTAAAAATGTATTAACACAAATATTTTGTGTCAGCTTTAAACATTAATTTATATTATATATCTATTTTAAAAACAAACATGCTTATTTTTATATGCTTAATAAACTTTCATATGACGTAAACTCACTGTCTGTGATTCTCATAATTAGTGTGTGATAATAAAATCGATGTAACAAAAAAATATATATTTGTCATTAAAAAAAAAAAATTTAATAAAATGTAATTTCATTGTTTGCATGTGGCCTTAAGCTAATCATTGAGTATTATATTAAATGGAAAATAATAAAATGTGATTAACTAATTTAAAAGAATTCTATTTTCCAACTGTCAGAAGAAAATGTGTGTGCACTATACATATAAAATATTACATATATTTTGTATTTTTGTTCAATGTAAATGGAAAATAGTTCAATAAAGTCATTATTAATATAAAGCTTTTATATATTTATTTATTTTTTCAAGCCAAGTTTTAACAAATTAATTTAATTTGATCGTTCCCATCCAGGTGAGGTCCTTGCTGCGTTGATCTGACAGATTGATGATCAAAACAACTTATACACATCATAAAACATGCAAATTAAAAAGTAAAAGTACATCAACAAATGACGGTAAGTTGGATAAATTGCAGTCTGATGATGAGTGATTCAGCCTAAAATCAGAATAACTGCAAAACCAGTTGGTAAGTGCATATAAAAGCTCTTTATCAGGAGTTAAGTTTAGCCTGCTATTGGAGGTGTAAAAGCTCTTTATCAGGAGTTAAGTTTAGCCTGCTATTGGAGGTGTAAAAGCTCTTGGATCAGCTGGAGCAGAAGCCAAGTTTACTCTGGTTTGAAGGATAGGAGCTCGAATATGAAAATGACTATTTAATTTTTTTTAAATTTTGATTGTACTTTCTATTAATTGTGAAAAAAATTATTTGATTCTTCAAGGTGTAAAAGTGATAAAACTACCCCTTACTAGGTAAATGAGTGAAAACATGATTTTTGTCACACTGGATTCTTTGTATCCCTGGACTTGGCAATTTATATTATAGATACACAATTAAAATTGCTTCTCTAGTAAAAACAGGCACTAAAGTAGCATTTTAAATATTTTTCTTCATTCAAACAATTATAATCAAGATTTTTAAAAAATATTCTTAATATAAATTTAACAATTTTTTTTCTTTGCCAAGGGTTAATAATGAATCAATCAGTTGTGTATCAACAGAGAATATTTAAAATGCTATACTGGCATAATAACTGGCTCTGGTCGAATGCTCAAAATGAGAATTACTGCAAAACCAGTTTCTGAGTATATATAAGAGCTCTGAAATCAGGAGCCTACAGAAGCTAAGTTTAGTCTGGTATAATATACTGGAGGTATATGAGCTCTTCTACCAGGAGCTGAATTCAGCCTGGTATTGGAGGTATAAGAGTTCTTGTGTAAGAAGTTAAGTTTAATCAGTATTGAAGGCTTAAGAGCACTAGTATCTGGCGCTGAATTTAGCTTGGTACTGGAGGTAAAATAGCTCTCGTATCAGGAGCTGAATTTAGCCAGGTATTGGAGGTATAAGAGCTGTAGTATAAAGAGGTATTTGAGATATAAGAGCTCTTATATAAGGATTTAAATCTTGCCTGGTATTGGAGGGATATATAAGAATATAGATATATAATTAAGAAGTAAAGTTCATCCTGCTATTGAAGGTATAAGAGCACTAGTACCTGGAGCTGATTTTAACCTGGCATTGGATGTGTATAAGCACTTGTATCCGGAGGTAAATTTACTGTGGTATTGGAGGCATAAGGGTTCTTGTATAAGGACTTAAATCTAGCCTGATATTGGAGGTATAAGAGTTCTTATGCAAGAAGTTAAGTTTAACCTGGTATTGATGGTATAAGAGCACTAGTGCTGAATTTAGCCTGGTATTGGGTGTGTAAAAGCTGTCTGGTATGGAGATAGAAGTATGAGGAGGTACATTTAGTCCGGAATTAGGGGTGGAAGAGCTTTTGTTATAGGAGCTAAAATTAGCCTTTTATTGAAGGTACTCTTGCAGCTAAGTTTAGTCCGGTATTGAAGGTATAACAACTCTTGCGTCAGAAGTTTACTGGAGCTGGGTTTCAATTTTTAGCTTGGTATTGGAGGTACACAGCTAACTATTATTAAACTTTAACTATTGAAATATGTGGTGTCTAGTGACCGTTAGCCAATGATTTAACTATTGAATTGAAATGGTTTTATTCCTATTTAAGCTCTCAAGCAAATTCACCTTAAGTGTAGTGCACTTCGCTTTGGAAATAAAGAAGGGTCAATAGTGGAAGAAAGGTAGACTTTAGTCACCAGTTATAACGAATAAGGAAAAAATATATAAACTAATGGACTGTAGATCTTTATCATTTATGTATTAATTAACTTCAACTCCTCTGTAATTTTACATATAATTAGTTTATATAATAGAAATAATAGAGATATAATTTGAATTGTTGGGTTTATTTATTTAATATTTTATTTATTTAGTTTTTATTCTATTGATTTATTAGAAAATGTATCAACATTTTGTATTTAAAAATTTAACTATGACATGTTATCTATTTGCTTTAAGTGCAATTTACATTACTTTTTTCATATTAATTTATTGTGTTATTTATTTTTTTCAATTGACCTCGCGCTTATGACTGATCGTTCGTTCATGAATAGTTCAGCCGAACGAACCGACTCTCTCGTTGTCAGTCAATAAAATAAAACCCAAAAATTAGAGACAAGAGGAAAGTTTTTATCATGTTTTTCACTTGTTGACGTTTGTTTTGTTTTCCTTTTGATATTTTCTCACCGTCCGCAAACAATTAAAAGCCCCACTGAGTTGGCCGTTATCGTCTAATTATAGACGGTAAACGTTGGAAAAAAAATAAAGGCTAGGACCTCATTTAAATGATTATCGTATGAAAACCAGGCCTCGTTAGGTGACAAGTGATCTTTTTCACTTTTTTTTGTTACAAACTGGTGTAAAATGCAGGGTTAGTACTTTGTAAATTCAATCATTGTTTTTACTTTTTTTTAACAATTTACAAATTATTTAAAATTAAGCCTGCCTATATAAATTTAACCAAATACCAGTAACATAAGGGATGCACCAATCATTTTTTTTGCTTAGAAATAAGTGGTTTTTTTTAAATTGTTAACTTTATTTTTGTTTTGAACATTACAGTTTCATTGTATATAATAATATTAATAACAAACTAATATGCTACATGTTTTCCATGAATTAACTACATTTTATTAGAATTTAACAAAAAGTCCTGCGGTCCTTTACAAATGATGCACCATGAACGATATTGGTTGCATGCAATCTTCATTATTATCTGAGCTCTTCTTTAAGCTTGAAGCCTTTTATCAGGTCCCAATTCAACAGAAGACTTATTTTTAATCAAGTAACTGATGGATCCTCGTTTATGGCAGTTTAGTAGGCCATAGAAGTGTTCTGGTAAAATAAGTGTCCTCGTTGAACTATCATTGCCCAATTTATCAACCTCTTCATTACCCCTTTGCCTATATTTTGTTATATCCAATGTTTGACAAGTCTTGAAACAATCCCAAATTGCTCTGGACTTTGAAGATGGTAATTCTTTTGATGTTAGTACCTAGCCTTTTGACTCCTTGGCATATTAACTCTTTCTGCTTAAAGTTTTAGATGTAATAATTTTTTTACTCATAAATAATCTGAATCTCGGTATGGCCTGGATGAAAAACACATTCAATTGTTTTCTGCCGAAAGCTTTCTTCCTATTTTAAGGTCATCATAGGGAAAACAATCATAAAGATGTTTAAAAATCATAATTAAATGTTACTAGATGTTTCAATTTTTTTTTCAAGACTGACTCATTCCCAGCTAGCATCTAGTACAAACTTAATTATGTAGAAATGTGTTTAGTGACCGTTAGTTAATGATTATTTGGAGATTGTGAGATGCGGTCTGGTGTGGCCTAGGTTTGGAAAAACATTTTCTTTATCGTGCCAACATTTCGATCTTTATTAAGATCATCTTCAGGGCCTGGGATTTATAAACAATTTTTAACTTATGCAAAAAAATGTAGGATGTGAAAAATGAATTTATACAATGCTAGAAATTTTAGACTCAATCAAAGTATTTGTACTCACTCAAAGTATTTGTTTTCTGTGTAGATGTGTCATTATGCACAATACATAATAATGACATTCATTTATACAATGCTAGAAATTTTAGACTCAATCTAAACTATTTTCAATGTGTTTGTTTTCTGTGTAGATCTGTCATTATGCACAAATACATAATAATGACATTCATTTATACAATGCTAGAAATTTTAGACTCAATCTAAACTATTTATACTCACTCAAAGTGTTTGATTTCTGTGTAGATGTGCCATTATGCAATACATAATAATGACATTCATTTATACAATGCTAGAAATTTTAGACTCAATCTAAACTATTTATACTCACTCAAAGTGTTTGATTTCTGTGTAGATGTGCCATTATGCACGATACATAGTAATGACATTCATTTATACAATGCGAGAAATTTTAGACTCAATCAAAGTATTTGTACCTCAGTGTTTGTTTTCTGTGTAGATGTGTCATTATGCTCGATACATAATAATGACACATCTACACAGAAAACAAACACTTTGATTGAGTACAAATACTTTGATCGAGTCTAAAATTTCTAGCATTGTGTAAAGTCATTTTTTTACATCCTTACATGTTTTTGTATAAGTTAAAAAATGTTTATAAATCCCACGCCCTGAAGATGATCTCAATAAAGATCGAAACATTGGCATGATAAACAAAATGTTTTTCTAAACCCACGTCACACCAGGCTGCATCTCACAATCTCCAAATAATTTTAATTATGTAATTTCTAGACACTTTTAAGTTATTTTGCCTTGATAATGACTTTAAAATAGGTCAAATGCTTGGCAAATATCAAGTTTCCATAAATACTAGCTCGTGATCCTTCCTGACCCATACTCAGTCTTTGTCATCTGTATACCAGATATATCGGCAATCCCTAAAACTTAGTCTGTCCCTGGAGCCTGTCCCTACATCAGAAAATTGTGACTTGAATATCCCTTGATGAATATATGCAGTGGTTGATTCAGGAGGGCTTCCAGGGCAGTCGTATGAATCGTTATCATTGCTCAGGTAATGCTCAAGCAGTATTGATGATCCAGACTATCCTTAGCTGTAATGTTCTTCCTCCACTAAACCATATGTAGGCTATCATGGGTTTAACTATTGCTATGCATAACCATAGGGACATCTTTGGGTTTAATCCCCAGCTTTTCCCACAAAGGCGTTTACATCTATCAATGGCTATTTTCACTCTCTCTGTGATTTTATGTATTGTTCATCTAAGAAGTCTTTGTTTAAGATGACACTTTTCACTTCTTTAGAGAATAACAGCAACATTTAGCTGGCTTAAGTCTTGATAACGATTATCGGAGTTATCATTTGTCTGTTGATTGTGCACTGCACCCTCTCTGTGATGACCTCTGAAATGCATCTGCACGTCCCAGTAAATTAAAGCCCTCATCAGGTAGCAATTTGAGGAAATCATCAACCAAAACACCACAGAACGCCACCTTGACAACAGCTTCGGTTGTTCTTGCCCTTCTCGTAATGTCGTCCAAGGTGGATATAATTACCGGGTGAATGTCTGAAATTTTTTTTGAAGATTTGTTATTCTCTGCAGCAAACAAGTTAATTTATGATCAATCTATTTACAGAGTCACGGTTTGATCAGCTGGTGAATATTATAAGTAGAAACTTGGTCCATGTTATTTTTGATCCACCCTTTGCAGAGAAAGGACATCTTGAAATCAGCACTTTACTTAAAGCTAAGGTTTCAGCAAAGTTCTCATGTCATGAAAGACAAAACTGCTTATTTTGATGTGACACAAGTTAAAGGCACTGAAGAGTATGAGCTTTTTTCAGTTGGTCGAAAATATTGGGTTTGGGTTAAATCAAGTAAAGTCCTAGGGTGTTGCCTTGAAGAATCCCTGGTGCCAGTTAGACAGAGAATATTTTTTCCTGGCTGAAGGGGTACTCTAATGCCTATACTAAATTACACTTCCTACTGTTTAGCAAAGTTTCTAAAATATTTCCTTTATTTATGTATTCATTATTAATTTAAAGAAAACTATAATTGTATGTTGAATATATTTTTTATAAATATTTTAACCATTTTTTATTTTCTCAGATCCAGAGCCAGGAGAGGTTGAAGTGCTTGAGGACAATGGAAAACAATACCCACCAAAGTGGATTCCTGTCGACAGGAAAGGGACACCTGTAATTATTTTATTTATTTTGATTATTTTCATACAAACTAATGCTGCAAGTATTTTTATCTATATAAGGGACTTTTAAATATTTAAATTATATTTATAGGAAAATCCTCCAGAAGAAGAGGAAGAAGAGAAGCCCGAAAAAAAGGTGCACTTTTTCAAAAAAGACATGTCCCTTTTGTTGATAAATGTCATATTATTCTGTTCACACTTGGATTTCCTACAAGAAGAACTGCTTGGGCGATCGAACAATCTAAAAGTAACGATTATGCTGTCGTTTAGTATATTTTTCCAGTTGGCCCTTGTTCTAATCGTGATACTGAATAGTTCATATTTCCCAGACTTGTCCAGACGAATTTTCAGTTGCTCATTTTTAAACAAACCTGACAGGCAACATGTCAATGTTGACACAGTATTGAATGATCTGACATTTTTCACTATATTAGTCTTACTTATGCTCAACGCTGCTATTTTTGTCTGTTATATTACAGCAGATCATTGAAATAAGGCTGTACTGGACTGATTATTTAAAAAAATGCAAAGTAAATTTTAATTTAAAACAATTTCTTGTTAGTGCTCAGAATAGAAAGCAAATTAATTATGTTATGTTGATGTTTTTATTTTATTGTCTGTTGATACTTTTTTTATATAATGAGATATTTTCATTTTGTCATTGACAGTGTTATCTTTATTTTTATAATTAATCACGTTATAGGAATTATCCCGACTATTGTTGTGTTGTTTTCATTGTCTTTGTTGCTAAAGTATGGTTTATTCTTGTTCTATGAAAATGTTCACTGAAAGCTTAAGTTTCCTGCAAGGAAGCAAATATTTGAATAAAAACCAACCTTCTGAATGTCAGTTATGCATAATGTCTGATAAAATGTTTTATGGAAAACTGCCCATCTTCTGGGTAGACACTGTATGTAATGACTGACAGTGTGTTTTATGCATAATAACCAATTTCTAGGTGGACATTAACATAATGACTGATTGTGTTTTATGTTTAAAATGACCTATTTCTTTGGCCAGTATTGATCATTTTAAGCCAAGAGAGCATTATACATTATGTATACTGTTCAATTATTCATATAGAAATACATCTGTAATAAACATCTGTAGTATAGGTGTATATAAAGGAAAAAAGAGCATAATTTTGTTTGTAACAATTAATATCATTGCTTTTGTAATATTTTAATGTACACATTAACAAACATATTTTAACCTGTTTATGAAATTGTTTTATGTGTAATGACCATCTTCTGTGTGGATATATGGCATAATGACTGTTAAAGTGGGTTTTATGCATTACGATAAATTTTCTGGGTTAAATTAAACATAGTGACTGATAAACTGAATTTAATGCATAAGAGCCAATCTTCTGGGAGGACATAAAAAATAATGACTGAAAAAAAGTGTGTTTTATGCATAATGACCAATCTTCTGGGTAAACATTATACGTGACTATATAAGTGTGTTATGTAAAATGACCTATTTTCCTTGGCTTGTATTGATCATTTTTAAGCTAAGTGTGCATTACAATGGCTTGTCATTAAGTATAACATCAAATTATTATTATAGTAAATAATATATATCTGTAGTAGAGGTGAATAAGGGAAAAAAGAGCATAACTTTGTAATATCATTGCTTTTGTAATATGTTGTATTGTTATGTACAAATTAACAAATGTATTTTTAACATATTTATGAAGAGACAGTTAAAACAAAGTTCTACTTTTTCTTTTTGCTTGAACTGTCTTTTCACAACATATAAACATGGATGCAGGATATAAATATATATTTTTTAACAAATATTTTTATATGATTAAATATTATTTTTGCATACTTGGATTGTTTCATCATAACACTTTTTTTTTTTGCTTTTTTATGTAAGGATTGCAAAACCTGAAAAAGGTTAATATATATTAAAACAATTAATTTTAAAGTTTTGTTTTAAACATGAATTATTAAGACTAATCCGTCTTATTCTTAAATTTGTTTGTTAATGTCAGACATTCTCATATGGTTTTTTTAAATAATAAAGTAAACACATTATTTATTAATATTTACTTTTAAAAAATCAAAGTAAATGTTAATAAACGTTTTTACTTTATAATTATTATTTAAAACAAGTTACTGTTGCCTGACATTAGCCACAAAAAAAAGTGTGAACTGAGAAGAAAAAAGATATCAATGCACAATAAAACCAAGTGCTGGACGTTTTGTATGGCCTCCTGTGATTAGACAATGACCAAATTTTCCTAGTTTGTTTTGATAATTTTGGCCATTTCACATTAAGGCCAAATGTGTTCAATATTTATAATCCTTCGTCATTATGTACAATGTACAATTATTGAACATAATGTTTGTTTTTGTATTATTTGCATACTTTAATGAACAAGTGTATTAACCCAAATATGTCTTTGTGGCAGGATTAAAATAAAAAATGCATTTATTCAAAATTCTGATTATTTTTATTTGGTTGTCTATGTCATATCGTGTTGCAATTGCCTTGATTGTACGATAATAATTGAACAATCCTTAAAAAAAGTGATCTCGTTAATTTTTCAATGGAATGTATTTTTGAAATGTAAAAAAAAAGTTTTACCATACATATTTTTGTATTCTATGCAAATGGTAAATAATTCAATAAAATTGTTCTTTTGAAGTAAAGCATTTATTTTTCATATACACAGGGAGATTTGTTAAGTTCAATAAACTTATTTAAGTTAATCCATATACCTTTTTATCAAATATATTTATCAAAAAATTCAACTTACAAGATACATAAATCTAAATAAAACAAAAATAATAAATCCACAATTAGGCGAATAAAAACAATTTTATTTTAAATTTTAAGGCACTTTTTTGGGTAGAATTGAAACACAATTTCAGTGTTTGTTCGCAACGAAATAATTTAAATGTTCAAAGTAATGAGACTAACTTGAAAATTCAATAAAAATCACAAGTGACATTTCTTTGAAACGAAAGTAGGAATTAATTGTTCATTCCGCATTTGTTGGAGGATTTACTTTTAAAAATTGTTATGTTACTATAGTTAAGTAATAGCTTTTACAGTTAGGAAAAAAAAACTTTTGTCTGAATGGTAACTTGATCGATTAAATAAAAATGATTAAAAAAGAGTTGTGTTTTTAAAGTTTAAAATTAAATGGAAAAAAAAATTAAAATATATTTTTTACTTAAAGGCACATTTTCAAATCAAGTTTGGCTCTGATAAAACAGTATTACATCCTAACTCAATGGTTAACAAAAAATTGTAATTAAAATAGAGCAGAAATAAATATTTAAGCATAAATTACAGTTTACATTTAAAAAAATGCAATAATGGAATGGCCAATTATATTTCAATACAATGGAATGAAAAAATTGGATTTTTTTAAAATGAAAAATTAAAAAAAAAGAAAAAAAAAGTTAAAAGACATTTCAAATGCTCAAGCGGGGAATTTATCGGTTGATGATACACCGGTTTATGTGATGTGAACGTGGTTTTAATTTAAATGGCTGGTTCAACATAATTCGCTGGGAGCATTCCCATCTGCCCAGTCCTTTGAACGAGGCCCGTCATCCAGCCCGCGTCGACAGCAGTACAATCAACTATTATATCACCATCTATGAAAGACACTTCATCACGATCTTGGGCTTCATAGTCGTACATGGCTCTGTAAACTCTCTGAAAAAAAATTAATATATTATCTTAAACAATTTATTATATTATTTTTATGCAAAGAGGTTGAGATGAAAAATTTGTGTCACAAGCAAGGTTTTGAACCCACAATATCTGGATTGAAAGATGACGACCGAAATGACGATGATATAATTAGCTGAGATATAACTCGTAAAAAATTAAGTAGTTTAATAATAAATTGTAATGCAGGGCCTGATGGATTACCAACCTATATTTTTAAGAAATTGTTCAGAAACTCTAGTCAACCCTTTAACTCTATTATTTAATAAATCTATTAATGAAAATATTGTACCTGATGTTTGGAAACAAAGCTATGTGATACCTTTACATAAATCGGGAGATAAATGTTACATTGAAAACTACAGACCTACTTGTAAATTGTCGGTTATACCAAAGATGTTTGAAGATATTATCTGTGAAATGTTAATACCAATTCTGAAGCAAGTTACAGTTGATGACCAGCACGGATTTCTTAATGGTAGGTCAACTTGTCCAAATCTTTTATGTTTTCAAGTTTTATCTTCCTTTGATTCTAAGGCCCAAATGGATACTGTATTCACAGATTTTTCCAAAGCCTTCGATACGGTGGATGATGGCATTTGGATCAGAAAGTTACTCTACACAGATTTGGAAATCAACACAATATTATGGTTAACATCCTTCTTAACAAAGCGATCACAAATTATAAAATGTGGCAATTATGTATCGAACCCAATAATAGTGACATCTGATGTTCCTCAGGGAGAACCTCTTTTATTTACAATTTTTATACATGATCTCCCTCTGTACATTAAACATAGTAAAATTAAGTTGTTTGCTGACGATGTCAAGTTATATAAATCCATGACCTCGGTGTTGGTCTGTAACTTGCTCCAGAGTGACCTAGACTGTTTGGCTTTACGGTGCCACCACAATAAAATATACCTGAATGTACAGAAATGTAAAGTTATGACATAAGGTCTGGGACAAAAAGATAGCCCACCCAATATTTTTTCTCTTAATCAATTTTAACCATTGAAATAATTTTTTTAAAATTTTTTTATTGATATAATTTTTTTTATTTATTTTGAACCGATTTTCTCCATTAGGAACTGTAAAAAAAAAAAAACTACAACTAAGAATGAATGAATAATACTTGATTTAGTAGTATATATAGTATATATACTAGATTAGTAGGAGTAGGAAAGTAATTTTAAATTTTTTGAAGTCTCCAGAAATCTATGGGACAAAGAAATCTGGAAGACCACGGCAAAAACGGACAATTTTAAGGGTTGCATCCAACTCAACTTTAAATTGCTGCGAGAGCTAGTGTAGTGACGAATGTGAAAAACGTCCAAAGGATCATTCGTGCAGCTCCTCACATCAAAAGAATGAAAATGAAAGGCATTTCACCTCTAAGCAAGGCGTGTAAAGAAAGAAGAAAGGAGTTTGCCCATGAACATGTGCAATGGAAAGATGAATGGAAGGATGTCCTGTTCACCAATGAAAAAAAAATTCAATCTCGTCCTGATGGCTGGGCTCACTATTACCATGACCTACGGAAAGAAGAGAAAGGGTCATGATATGGGGTGGTATTGGCTATGATCACAAAACTGATATTGTGTTTATTTCTGGTCGAATGAACAGCGAACCATATGTTAATTTGTTAGAAAACCAATTAAAAAAATATTTTGAACTTGTTCCTAAAGAGAACGTAATTTTTCAGCAAGATAATGCTCCAGTTCACACGGCAAAAGTTGCAAAAGAATTTTTTAGAAAAGAAAGGAACAGAATTATAGATTGGCCGGCTAGGTCCCCGGATTTTATTATCATCGAAAATGTATGGGGGCATCTTGCTAGGAGTGTTTACAGCGGTAGCCGACAATTTCAGGGCGTTGAAGAATTGAAAAAAACAATTCAGGAGGAGTGGGCCAAACTTCTACAAGAGATAATTCGTCATCATTTTGACTCGCTTTTAAATCGTATGATTGCTGCATTAGAAAAAGGTGGTGCATATACAGGATATTAAATTTAATTTGTGTTATTTTAATTGTGTTTTAATAAAGAATTTTATTATTGTTGTTCACTGTGCTATCTTTTTGTCTCACCCCAAATCAAGTATTATTTATTAATTCTTACAAATTATTTTTTTCCAATTCCTAATGGAGAAAATCGGTTCAAAATACACTACATATTAATAAATAAAAATTATACCAATGGTTAAAATTGATTAAGAGAAAAAATATTGGGTGGTTATCTTTTTGTCCTGGACCTTACAGTAAATATACAAATAATATTAACTATACCTAGATTGAAGGTGTTACGCTAGAAAGAGTGGAAGAAATAAGAAATTACATTTGATAGAAAGCTGTCTTTTGATGGTATTGGTAAATTGAGAGCTGATAGTATTAAACTATTGGGTTTTATCACGAGATTATCAGCTGACTTCAATCATAAAAATGTATTCAAGCTTTTATATAGCACTTTTCATGTTATTTTGGTCTGGAATCCGCACTATATTGTGAAGGAGACCAAACTAGAACAAGTGCAGAATAAATTTCTGAGATTTACTGTTTTCAAACTCGGAATAAGAAGAGACCCCTATGAATATGGTCATGTAATGTCCCAAATAGGTCTAATCAGTTTAAGTAACAGACTAGAACTACTTGACATGGGATTTCTTTACAAGCTACTAAATGGGACGATAAATTGTGATGAACTGTTAGCCATGATAAAATTAGATGTGCCTAGTTTCAATTCGAGAAATTATAATGTATTCTGTTACCAAATGCCTTCTACAAACTCCTATGCAATAAAAGGCAACAAGTTCAATGTGGATTGGTTCCATGACAGTTTTTATCAAGTCAAAAAAACTATATTGCATAAGTTATCATTGTAAATCATTGTAGATGTTGTAATGTACATTGACCCGTGTATAAGTAAATAAATAACGAATCAACATCAATTTTTCAAAAATAACTTACACCAGAGGCACGATGTGGTGGAGGTTGTTGTTGTGGCTGTTGCTGGTGTTGTACCACCTGATGGTTTGTATTATGAGAGCTGAGCGATCCGTAGTAATTGTTTACAGGATCTAAATCAGCTATAGAACCAATTTGCCTTCCAACAGGACTGTTAACTAAGAAAAAAAAAACACATGAGCAAATACATAAATGAGAAAAAGTATTAAATAAATACCTGGTCCCCTTTCTGAAGTGTATATAACCGTTGAAGTCTGTCGTGCCGAATATGGCGAGTTTTGAACTTTATTGTTCATTTCCGCATGGATGTAATCCCTGTTTACGGGCTGCTGGTGATGATGAGTTGGAGGCCGTACGTTGTATTCTTGGTGTTGTTTTAGATTCATATTTTCAGCATCGCCTGCTATACAGAACGGGAAAAACTTTTCTTTTAAAGTGATTATTAAATACGCAAAAAATCAATAAATCTTGAACAAAAATTGATGAATTAATTCTGACACGATACTTTGAATAATAAAGTATCATATTGGAAACTCTAACCACTCGGCCACTGTGAGTCTAAGTTTGAATAATAAACTTAGACTCACAATGGCCGAGTGGTTTGGGTTTCCACTTGTATTTGCTACAAGAGTGGTCCTGGGTACAAATCCCAGCATAGCTCATGGATTTTTATCATTTGCGAATAATATGTAGAAAGTACCATAAAGTGGTTTGACCACCCCACCACGACAGCCAACACATAAACATTAAGCCCTCATGTAGGAATGTATAGGAATTACTTTACTTTTTAATTTAAATTATTCACAATTAGGCCCGCAATTGCAAGCGGTTAGGACATCTGACTCATATTTGCCCGGCTAGCAGTCCTGGGTTCGAATCAGCAGAGCCCATGGATTTTTAATTTATAACAGTTTAAAAAATGTTTTGTAAAGTGGTTTGACCCTTCGCCCACGACACCCAATGTGAAGATGGACGTTAAGCTCTGTAAGACAGGACTTTTAAGTTGAAATTATTCAAACTTGGGCCCACAGTGGCCAAGTGGTTAGGGCAACTAGTCTACTCTAAGCTAAAGTTTCTGGAATACTGGCAGAACCCAAGAGATTTTGAGTACAATTGAAAAAAAATATTCCAAAATGGTTGATCCAACGGTTAACTGGACCTACCATCCTAACAAAGTAAATTTACTTTACTCTTTTTCCAAATTTAAATTAACTAAAAACTAAATAGTTAAATCAAGTGTGATTGTCTGAATTAAAAATTTAAAAAGCACCTTTCTTGAAATATTTTTCACATTACTTAGCCACTACCTACCTTCTCTTTATGGCTAATATTAACAATTAAATAAAATTAATATAAACTGTAACTAGTTAAGACATATTTTTACATATTTAACATATATAAATGGCCAATGTGATTTCTGAACAAAAATGATGATATAAATATTATTATAAATATTTTAAATGCTTTTCTTGAAACTTTTAGTTTCAATTCTAGTGTAATAATTGTTATTATTTTACTAAGACCTTAACTCAACAGAGACAAAGAAAAGTTATTAAATAAGTTTTATTCAACAGATAATTTAACTTTTCACAAAAATATTGTCTTGCGTCTTCTATTGCATTTGTTTCTTTTTTACAATTAAAATGCCGTGGGGTTGTCGTCACCTGTCGAAACGCTGTTATTAAACCCATGGGTTGACATTTTTTTTAATACAAAATTATTTTTAAAAAAAAGTTTCGGCATAATTTAACAAATTACCAGATGGTCCAGTATCGACAGGCTCTCCGTTGATATTTCTCTTTTGTTCCATTGCAGCTTTTTTCTCCAGGTCGCCGTGATACGCAACATTACTGTTAAAACAAAACGATAATTTTAAATTTGAACAGGATTCATTCAAGTAGAATTTACATATAAACTATTTGCATAAATAATATTAGTTATATGTCCTGTTGAATTAGCCAATCTGAAAACAGATTGGTGGTATCCGACGAATCGAGGAGGGAAACACAAGCGAAAAACCTTTAAGTTTACCTTTAAGAATTTAAACCTCCTTCAGTTCCTATTCGTTAAATTAAAAAAAAAAAAAAAAAAAAAAAAAAAAAAAAAAAAAAAAAAAAAAGTGATAAAAACCCTCTAAAAAAGCCAGCGAATATGGTTAAGTGTATCCACCGCCTAAAATTTAATAGCCAAACTTGAAAATCGAGTTTTCCACTGCCTTGCATTGTTCGTTTTCGAGTCTATCCACATCAAAAATCATTGACAATACACCAAAAACACATAATCCATAGCGTTTCATTTTTTACTTGATCAACTTGTAAAATAATGTACAATTAATCTCGTTAATATTTATATTTATGGATATTTACCTTATAATTCTAGAGTTCTGTTTTATCCTTAATGTTTCCGGATCGTCGGCGACTTGTGTCAATTTGCCTTTTGTCTTTTCAAACTCCGCATGATATTTTACCTGAAAAATACAAATTTACATTAATAATTCACCTCAGAAGAAGATTGAAAAAAAAAAAAATCAACTGATAAAAATTTACATTAGACTGTAGTTTTGTATTTTCAGCGATTCTCTTCATCTCCGGAGTGTCTGCGACTGTTGTGGCCTTGGCTTTTGGAATATGCCTGCAAAACAATTTCAGACTTAACATTTTTTTTTAACAAGGAATTTAATGTTAGATTTAAAAATTAAAAAAAAGCTTTGTACATGATAAAAATAATCCTTCGCTTGTTACACATGGGAACAGGAATCATAGCAGATGTGGTTGAAGGTGGTAAAAAAATATCCAACTAGTTTACTATTGAGAAATAGCTTAATGAGCTTTATTATAATTTTATTTCATAATAATTAATTTTTTAACAAAATGTTCTTGTGGTGAATTAGTACATCTGCAATTGTTCTTACTACTGAAATATATTATTGTTTGTTAATTTTATGTTAAAAATATCTATTTTAAGTTACAATAATATTAAAAGCAATAGAAAACTTAAAAAAAAAATAAATAAAAATCAGAAAAGTAATTAAAAACTAAAATCTAACTTGATTATTTCTATCTCAAATACTTTTTTAAATAATTACAAAAGCATTGACTTGCAAAGACTCAAGGCTTAATGACCAATACGGTTGCAGCCTTTAATTTATTTAAAAAATTAAAAAACATGAAAAAATAAATAAATAATTACAGATTAAATTTAAATAGTCAAAATTATAAACAGTTAATAATGAACAGGCAGAAATGTTTAAATTATTTTAGTTAATATTCTCAAAACACAATAACTTTGTTTGTCAGTAAGAATGCTCGAAATGTCATATTAGCAGTTAGTAAAAATTAGAATTTCAACGGCATTTATGCTGTTTTTCTTTGCAAAATTTTATGATTCTAATTATAATTCAATAAAATTTGAAATAAATTATGTTTTGAAAAAGTAAATAACTACAAAATTCCTCAAAACGGATATGTAAAAAGCTCTGTCGGATATCAACAGTTCACTCATTTCCTTGTCTTTGTCTGCGAAATCAGGAAATAAGTGAGGTCAACAAAATTGTTTTTTCCCCTCATACCCAAGATAAATAGTTTATACAATAAAATTGAAATTACTTTATCAAAGGCAGAGTCAATTAATTTTAATTGATAATTTTTTATAAATGCTAATTTTGTACTAGTGCAAAGTTCTCAATTCACTAGTCATTTTAATATTGACTTAAAAAAACAGTGAAAAATGTTTCTATAAATATTTGACTTTTGAATCATCCATTTCAGGCATTTTTCGAATTGACCAGTAATAATCTAAACTTGTCCTCTGAAATAAATGGTTCTTCAAACTTAGGTGCGAACTTATCTAACTTAATTAGATAATTACTCCCTTCTTTTTATTTGATTTTTGTTTATTTAAACAAGTTTTTCTTCTGATTACATGTGTTTCTTATATTATAAAATAAGTTGACTAAATAATTATCGAAAATTGAATTACATATTTTACATTAAATTTACAAGATGCTGAAAGTGGAGAAAAAGAGAAGGAAAAACCTTTTATAAGAGCTAATTTTAAATAATAATTTTACATTTACAAGCATTTGCAATAAAAATTTTATGTTAAACCAAATTTTCCTTTTTAACAAATATAAGAAAACTGTCAAATAATTCTTTAGAAATTAGTTCTCTTGCAGTTGCCAGCCAGACATAGCCGCTCGATGTTGCATTGCAAATTAAATTTAATTTCCATCTGTCTTGATAATTACATCCATAAGATGGTTTCAGTTTTGGAGAAGTGCTTCTTGACAACTTTGGTATAATTCTTAAATGGTGGGGATAGAATCTATTGCTTCCATGGTCAATGTGAGAGCCCTAAGTCAGTTTGTATAGTGTGACAAGTGATGTTTTTTGTGTTCATAAACTGTCGGGAAGAATTCTTTTATCCATGGCTGTTAATTATACTGTCCCATTCATCGTTCCATACTTACTTTTTTACCTGAATTTGTTTCAAAAGTGATGATGGTTTTTTGCAGTAACTAATGCAGAGATCATCATTCGCTGCTTCCTTCGCCATTTGATCTGCAAGTTCGTTGCTGATGGCACCGACATGTGCTTTAGTCCAATTGAATCGAACTGTTCAAAACATATCTTTCTGAAGCTGGTGTAGTATTTTTCTACTATCCTCAGCAAGCTAAATTCTTATCGATCAATTTTTTTAGAATGCCAAGAGACACCCGACTGTTGGTTATAATGATCACTTTTTTTGCCAAGGTATTCATTGTTACCACCATCCATCAAAGCACGTTTAAAATTCCAAACAATTTAGCCTGATTATTTGAGCAATTCTCGTCCAATCTGTACTTCAATACAGTCGATATCCCCTTTTTCAAAGACAACAATGGAACGTCTCTCCTTTTTTACTTATGTCCATGTAATATCAAACATTTTTCTTGCTCATAGACTTCTGAAGATGATTCTTCTGAGCGATGCTTAAATGCTCTTCTGCAAGGGATTTTTTTTTTTTTTTGTGCAGTGTTCCATTCTTTCAGATTTTCAAAGAGTGCACTAAAGATCCTCCAGCCACCCCTCTGGCAGACATTTTCTAACCAATGCTGTAAAAAAACTGTTTTGTTTGAGTTATACTAGCAAATGAAAATGCTAATAAACCAAGATCTTTTTTCATTTATTTCATTAATTTTTTAAATTAGTAGTTCTGTTTAAGAAACGTGTGGATGGAAATTAAAACTGGAATACTAAGGATTTTTATCCATTCCACCTTCTCCAAATGCATTTAATATTAGAAAATTTGCATCAAATAAAAAGTAATAAAATTAATGTTTATTAATATATTTTCCATTAATTTCTATTGATTCATTCAATAAACAGGATGTTGGTCACCTGGTGGGCTGTTCGAGACATTGCCTGTTCGGGGACAATGCACTGATTGTGAGTCAGAAACACTCCCATATACCACTCCTACCATTTTTAAAAACCCTTCCTTTAAATGGACACCATCTGATATTTTGGCAAAATGGTGCGATAAATATAAACCTTTATCAGGACGCAAAAGCCTTATCTTAATAGAATTTCCAGTCTGATTTTGCTTTAAAGTTTTAAATGTGTTCTCTTTTAAAATATGTCATTTTGCTCGGTACAGTAGCGAAAATTAACCAGGGTCTCATTTCACATTTCATATTTTATTGAATAAGAATTTGGTAAAATGTATATTTAAATGCATGATTAATTATGTTTTAGAATCAGAAGAGCTATAGAAAAATCTTGTCTGTGCCCTCATTATTAGATCAATTATAGTGGGTATATACAAATTTAGAAAGCACAAATAAAAAATGAAAATAAATAAAAAAAAGAATAGAGCAATGAATAATATAGGAAATGCTTGCTTATGCCTATAAATGCATCTAATTACCATAAAAAATACTAATTTGAACATATAATTTTGTTAAAAACAAGAAATTCACTAAAGGAAGATAACGTACTTGACAAAAGTAAAGATATCATTTACAAAACAAAATTAATAAACACAATACGAAATATATGATAAAAACAACCCTTAATTAATTAAACAAATACACTCGACTGATTTAGTGTTTACGCTTGAGTTTATCAACTGATTTGACGCTATGGCGTAATATGTAAAAATTATTTATAGAAAAGGAAATAAATTAAGGCTCTGTTTGTTTATAAATTTATCTGTTTGATTGATCATACGGAATTCTATGAATCAAAAAGTTCATCCTATCAATAACAATAATTATTCAATATTTAAAAAAAGGATATGTACTTATAATATGCTTGTAATCATTACCAATCAAAATTTATATTATGCTTATATGTGCAAAAGTAAAAATTATTTATCTATTTATAATTGATAATAATGGAGAACACATGTGAAACAAAGACAAATGGTGTAATTTTGAAACGTGTAATTTTCAAAACAAAAAGTTTTATGTTTTTTTTTATAATTTACTGGTAGTTGTTGGGGGAATTCGGTCAGAACTTCTAGATTTACTCAACACATATATTTATTGGCCGACATTTTGGAAATTTTTTTGCTTTTTCAAGGCGGAATTTAAACATGTTAAATATAAAATTTTATAATTATTTTCCCTTTTAGAACACTATATTAAATAAAAAGTTTTTTTTTTTTTTAAATTTAAATGTAAATACAGGGTTTTCTGCATTGAGGACTCATGCATGAAAAAATAGGAAATAATCACACCAGGTCTCATAAAACTTATGTATTTAATACATTCAAGTTCTGCCTTGAAAAAACAAATAAAACTTCCAACCAGAAAAAAGTTTCGACAGTCTAGAAATATGCCTAATATTCATAGATAATATTAATTTATAATCGAGGACCGCATTGGTCGAGTGGTTAGGGCGTCCGACTTGCCATGCTAGCGGTTCTTGGTTTAAAGCCCATGGCTTTTTAATTGATAATAGTTCGAAAAACGTACTGGAAAGAATAAAGTATTTTATTTTTTTACCAATTTGTAACAATTAAAAAAGATATACATATAAATGAACCAAGATATCGGCTTTTCAGCTTATGACAGGCCACACAGTTGAGGGTTGATTTCCACCTAAGCCCCTTGACTTTTTCCCATCTATGACACCTAGTTGGGCATTTATCTGATATAGGGATAATGTTAGGGAATTTAACTGCAGAGAATTTAAAAGCATTAGAAGCCTACTTGGTCAAGAGCCCCTTCAATCTAGGGACTCTCAGGAAGACAGTAATCTACAGAATCCTGTATGACTTCATATGCAAGAATCTAATTTCATTCTAATGCATCCTATATTTATATTTCCAATTTTGGCTTTTATTTTTAGATGCTCTGTTTTTGTCTTGCGGTGAGACTTGCGGCGTTGGCCGGCTGGGAGGCTTTCTCTCTCTCTCTCTCTCTCTCTCTCTCTCTCTCTCTCTCTCTCTCTCTCTGGGTGGGTTGGCCCCAGCCCCCGGGAAGAATTTGGTCCTTTCCATAAAATGTTTATAAATGGTTTTCAATCACACTGTCCAACAGGGATCTATCGATGTTATTTATGTAGAGAAAAGAATGGTTGAGCCTATGGGCACCTCCTCCTTGTCGGCAGCTGTGGCGGGTCTCTCTCCATCACGGCCTATGTTAGTCTTTGACCAATGGACTTTTGTCTAGTCTTGGTCTTGTTAGTCGACTGCCATAGCCTTGCATGCAGCTCCTTAATGTTGGATCTTGCGACTTTTCCTCTATAGTTGCAAGAATCTACACCTTACATCGGACCACAAAATATATAATGTGTTCTGCAGTCTCCACTTCTTCCTGGCAGTATCTGCACTGTATTTCTTCTGACAGTACTCTTATCCAGTGCATAAGTGGAAGTGCACTGTAAGGAGTCCAACCAGAATTCTGGCTCTGTTGCAATTACCTTCAGTAATTTATTTGTAAGTCTTGCAGATGGCATCTTTATCTTCTATGAATCTCTTCGCGCCCCTCATACTTGTGGTATTGCTCCACCTGATTTGAACTCATTAAGGATCCATTTTTGGATGTATCTTTTTTTTGGCAGGGGGTTAGGCGACTAAAGAATTTATATTGGCTTTTTGTCATTGTCTCTATTCCCAAACATCCCAAGCCAGGGTCAGGTCATTGATGTCACTGACTTCTACCAGGGATTCCATACTATGCCATAAGCTTTTTGCTTTTACTACGCATAAATGCCGCCAGAATGTCAAAGAAAATGGTTGAGATTTGAAATGGTTATGATTTCAGACAGAAAAATTATAGCAATTTTAAAGTCAGTTCAGTCTTAGGATTCACTCAGAGGTCTGGAGCACCCATGCTTCTCTCTTTATCCGATCTAATATGCAGTCATAAACTTCGACAAATTTGTCAAATGCTACAGCATCAACATTGATATTAACGAAGTTCCACCTATGACACAAAAGCGGCTGACTCAGCCTCTTACAAAATTTTTGCCCTTAAAAGGAATTTGGAGGTTGAAGAAAGTCAGACTAGACTGACCCAGTTAAGGGGCATACAATACCGGCCATTCAAGGCACAAATTTCAATGAGGGGAAAGGGAAATGGACTGACTCATCCCTGTCTTTAATTTCTAAACAGGGGGGAAAAAAGGAGAAAAGGAAAAAAGGGACAATTAAGCCTAATTCGTTTCAATTAGTCATTTATCATTTGCATTAAATGGCTGGCATAAATGTCTTTTTAAAAAAAAAAAAAAAAAGGAAGATATGAAAATGTAACGATGTATCTCAAGGCTAAGATGACAATGGTCATAACTTAAAATTAACCATGATATCAACAAATCTGCACTTTTTAAAAATGTTTTATAATATAAAATTTATCTTGCGCAGTATAAAAGTAAAGTTTCTAGAATTAAAATTTTAAAATTTTCCAAATTATTTTTTTTTCTATTTTGAGAAAGTATTGTACATTTGGTAAGCTTATCATGATAACTAAAGCGTGTCAAAACCTGTCATATGTCAATGTGTCAAACTTGGCTCAAAATCCTTGTCCAAAAGTTTTCCAATCTGAAATTTTTTTACTGGACACAAAGATGATTCGCAAAGTAAAGCATATGAATTTAAACTACTTATAAATACAAAAAACTATAAAATAAAATTGCTTTTGGGTGTTTCATACATTGAAAATGTTACAAGATGATTCAAATTATAAAAAAATTAAGCTTTATAATAGAGACGTGTTTTAAGTGGCATGACACAGCCGGCTAATTTTATTTAATTTTTTTTTTATAATAAATATAATTAAAAAACAACTTACGCCTCGCAGTATGGATCTTTGTTGAACCCTTTGTAATTCCTCATGTTTAATGTCATATTGCAGACTTGACATTTGAAACATTGCTTGTGCCATATCTGTAATAAAAACCCGGACTTAGAATTTTTTGCTTTTTTTTAACTTTCCAACTTGGCGGACTTTTTTTGGCTTATGAAATTGAACGATTTTTTTTCTCCTTAAAAAAAATTGTTATTAAAACTTACTTTGTCTAAACACTTAAGCTCTTCTATCGGGTACACTGTTTTCTCACATCTGGCACACTTTTTATTCATTTTCTCTACTTTTTATTACATAAAGCACGCAAAAACTAACGATTATCGGATGGGTTAAAATAAAAAAAATAAATAAATACAAAACTTAAAGAAACTTAAAAAAACTAAACAATTTAAAAGTAAAATCGACTCAAGTGTCGTCGGCCATAAAGAGAACTGAAAGTGAGTGAATAAACAGTAAAGGGGGTTTTACCAACGGAATTCGGCCTTGAAAGTACAACCCATAAAAAAAAACATAAAAATAAAAAAATAAATATTTAAAATCCTGAGTCTTTTTTCGCCACGAGGTTTTAATCGAATTCAATAAACGAAAACGAAAATTGTTGAAGTTATGAAAAAAATCTAAAAGCCCAATGGAGTTTGTAAGCTTATGGAAGCGCCTATTTTCAAACAGAACATTATTCGACTATCAAACTGTTAAAAATTAATAATTTCAAGTTTTGAAAAAAAATAAGTATAAACGAATTCACCCTAAGAACATAAATTTACAGCAAGTAGTAGGTTATGGCAGTCAACTGCGTAAATATCTATATTGATAACACAGTTCCATGCCTGATAGAAAACGCACAGACCAAACCCCTGGATCTAAAGGGCTGAAATTTTGACAGTGCTTTCTTATGACATGGATAGCCGCTAAAAATTATTTTTTATTTTTAAGTTTCATCCGTATCTTATATGTATAAATATATAAAACAGTTCCATGACTGACTGACAGACAATGCACAGACCAAACCCCTTGATCTAAATTGCTGAAATTTTGATAGTGCTTTCCTATGGCATCAATAGTGGCTAAGAAATTTTTTTTTGGAATTCCAACCCTATCTTCTACGTATATATAAAAAACAGTTCCATGACTGACTGACAGACAACACACAGACCAAACCCCTTGATCTAAATTGCTGAAATTTTGATAGTGCTTTCCTATGGCATCAATAGTGGCTAAAAAAAATTTTTTTTTTTAATTCCAACCCTACCTTCTACGTATATATAAAAAACAGTTCCATGACTGACTGACAGACAACGCACAGACAACTTGATCCCTTGACAAACCCCTTGATCTAAAGGGCTGAAATTTTGATAGTGCTTTCCTATGAGATGGCTAGTCGCTAAGAATTTTTTTTTTTTTTTTTAATTCCATCCCTATCTATATATACAAACCAGTTCCATGACTGACAGACAACGCAAAGGCCAAATCCCTGTATCCAAAGGGCTGAACTTTCAACAGAGCATCCCTATAATGACATGGATAGCCGCTAAGAAAGAATTTTTTGAAATTCCATCCCTATCTTTTATATTTATGAAACAGTTCTGTGACTGCCTGACAGACAACGCACAGCCCAAACCCCTGGATCTAAAGGGCTGAAATTTTGATAGTGCTTTCTTATAATGACATGGATAATCCCTATGAAAGGATTTTTTAAATTCCATCCCTATCTGTATATTCAAACTAGTTCCGTGACTGTCAGACAGACAACGCCCAGAACAAACCGCTGGATCTAAAGTGCTGAAATTTCGACTGTGCATTCCTATAATGAGATGGAAAGCTGCTAAAAAAGGATTTTTTTGAAATTCCATCTCTATCTGTGTATATATAAAACAGTTCGTGACTGACTGACAGACGACACACAGACCAAACTGCTGGATCTTAGCCACTGAAAATTTTTATTTTTGAAATTCCATCCCTAAGGATATGGACAATTTATTTGTCCATATACAGACCGAAGTGAACTGAAGAAGAAAAGAATTTGAGAAACGGGGGATTATATTAAAATGTCATGCTAGCAATCTGCATCGCATTAGGAAGGTACATGAAAACGGAGTCCTGCATGGACAAAGTTGTGGGTAAAAGCTAGTCTTTATACATACTTGTAATAATAACGAGTGTTCTTGCTTACCTACCCCTTTTTGCTTACAACTTTGGGTATTTTGGTGTGACATTGGACTCAAATTTGATTTTTCATTTACACATTGATTCTTCAGTCTCTCATCTGAGAAAGACCTTTTATAAATTTAAAATTTTAGGCAACATGAAAATCTCTTAACTTACTTGCCTCAATCTATCAACCAGCCTGTGGTATCGCTTTCTGGGTGGTACTGATAAATGCTACACTAAGACTCTGAAAAATTATACAGTGAATTTAAAGTTATGAATCTATACCAAATCTTTCTTACACGTTCATGTTTGTATATTTAAATTATTTTGTAACTAGTTGCATCAATAAATATAACACAAGACACAATTCATTGCTTAACTCACATTTTTACAATACAGGCTACATAATATTATAATTTTTTATTTAATATGGAATAATAATATATTATATATAATTTTTTTTAAAATAAAGAGAGGATCATTTTGAAAATTTCAAAAACTATAAAAAAGGCAAAAAATGTACAATTTCAAAAATTTTAAATTGTGAAGATATTTTAATGCCAATATTTATTTATTTTTTATTATAATAAAATTGTTTTGCATTACCTTTTTGTAAAGATATATTTTGTTTCTTTCTCTGAGGATCTATAAAAAAACTCCTGCTGTCTAGTACAAGCTTTGCTTTTTGACAGCAGACAGGGATTTACAAAATATTATTTTTTATAAATTTATATGTAATGTACAGTCTTACTAATTTTTGCAAAAAAAGATTTATTATTCATATAATTGTGAATGCCTGAAACTCTGATCGAACTGCTCCATGGATATTCGTTCTTGATGGCTTAAATAAAAGCCCTGGACTCAAATTTATTCAGAAAATTATTAAAATTATTAATTGTTAATCGGGAGGATGATAAATAACTAATAAAACTAAATATGGTTGGAGCAATTTAAATTTTGAACATGAACTTCATAGTCAGTAAGGAAGTCCCGATCGACGAAAATTTGTTAATTTTAGAAATTGATCAGGGATGTGGTTCAATGAACAAAACTTTTATAAGTTTGCCAAACTTTCATCGTATATATTTCGCCTTCCTCAGGGCAAATTTATGAAAAAAATGAACTTTTGGAGTAGGGAAGCTGGCACAGATCACTGTTCCGGTACCTCAGTGTAGGGATATTTAAATGTATTGACTTTATGTTAATTTATTGGAATAAATGTAATTTTTTAGTGTGTTAGGAAGGGGTTGTTTAACCCCGCCCGGAGGAATATCGAGTACTCTGGGGTGAGTGATGTCTAGAGGGTAAAAGTAAAAGATCGACTGACAGTTAATTGTAGAAGTGGTCCAATGAACAAAACTTTTAAGTTTGCCAAGATTTCAATGTATATTGTTCAACTTTGTCAGGGTAAATTTATGTTTAAAAAAAATAATATAAGGGATTTGGAATCCACATGGACTTCTCTGTTAAAAGTCCTTAGTTATGAAATTATAATACATTTACCACAAACCCTTTGGGACTATTTTTTTTTTTTTTTTTTTTTTTTTTTTAAACACCTCTTTATTAATCGAAAACTATAGCGAATTACAGAAACTGTTAAAAAAGTTAAAGAAAAAAAAAAAGTTAAGCTGTAAAAAGTTCTGTAACTCACTACTTGTTTTTGATCGATAAAGAGGCTTTTTTTTTAGATTGTAAAGTCTTAATATTTTTTTAAAAATAATTGTTATATTATAGTTTCATAATTACAGACTTTTAACGAAACATCCTTGCAGATTCCATTTCCCTTAGGTATATAGGGATGGTTAGGGTTAGTTTAATACAATAATTAATTAATTATACTTTTTGTCTAGTCTTGGTCGAGATGAAAACATTAGTGTCACAAGTGGGATTCATACCCACGACCTTCGGCTCAATACGCCGTGAATTTAACCGCTTGAGCTATCATGACTTCAATCTCAAGTGGTCAGAGTAGCAGCATATTGAGCCGAAGGTCGTGGGTTCGAATCTCGCTCGTATCACTTTTTTCTTCTCAACCAAGACTAGATAAAAAGTATAATTAATTTAAATAATTAAATCAATTATGAAAAATATTGATCACAATAATTAAGTATATATTAAGTTAAAAAAGTTAAAAGGGAGTATTTTACCTTCATTGGATATTTCTGCACATTTTGAGGTTTTTAATGCATGAAAATCCGGTCTTTAACAATCACTAACAGAATTGACTAAAACAGTACATCACCATATTGATGTTAAATGTGACCTAATAATTTATAATTTAAAAAAAAAAAAAAAAAAAAATGGATTATTTTTAGTAACAAGTCAAGAGTACAGGGATATTTTAATTTATTAATAATTTATACAGAGATGTTAAAATTATTGCTTTAAAGTAGGTAAAATTAGTTTTATCCCTAATTCTAATTAATAGGTTAACATCCCTCGTGTGAACATTCGAGCATTTAACAAAACAAAATAATAATAAATAAAAATAAAATTGCTGAATATTGACATAATTTTGGTTTTGTAATATACATATCACAATTAATTATATAAGTTATGATTAATATTAACAAAATTGAACGCACATGCAGAAGTATTAACAAATTAATCATATAATATAAAAATATTATTATTGATATTCAAATGATAAAATTATAAGCTAAGGTAGAGTTAATGATGACGACGTCTGGAATTGACTGCCGAGAAGCAATTTTCTTGGCAGTTCTCACCAGGCCTTTTTGACGGGGAAGAGTTAGTAGGCGAAACCTGGCGAAGGACTTCGATATCATTGAACATGACTTGGGCACCACCCCCAGATGTCGGTATCACATCGCCCTGTTAATTTAAATTATTTTATTATATACATTATAAACAAAATATTGTCAGTTTAGGACCTTGTACAATCTAGTTTCGATATCACCGTCGCTGTCTTGACCATGCGTCAATAGACAGTATTTGCTTGCGACTTCAGTCACATCTTTGGCGTCTGTTAGTTTTGTTATTGATTTTCTCCTCGCCATTGTTGGCTGCATAATCGTACCCAGAGGGATTTGAGCACCTGGGCGGTGGTCAAGCCAAAAATCGTCGCCAGCAGATCGCGACCTTCGATGTCTTCTGTTCGCCACAGGTACACCCATCTATGTATATACAAAAATATTTGTTTGTAATAAAATAAAATAAATTTTTAAAAAAATCAAACCTTTCGAAAATCCCTTGAGGAAGGCGTGGTGCTACTTGGCGTTGCGTTATTTGCAGCAGTGCGAGCGGAATGGACAGGAGTTTGAGGAGTTTTTGGAACGAGCGATTCGGCTGATCTGCTCTCGGGGAGTCTTGGCTTAGCGAATTGATCAAAATTCGAAACATCATCACTCGCAAGGATTTTCTTGACAGCTTTCAGCTTTTTCTCTTTATTCCTCATTTCATACTAAATGGTTTTAAATATTAATCGATTTGTTAATATTTTGTCATTTAATATTTATTTAAGAAAAGTTTTTTACCTGCAAGGCAGACCTTTGGCTTCTCAATTTACGCTCCAGGTCTAGATTCAACCTTTCTTGCGTCTGGGCTATTTTTTGAGCAAAGTCCTGTTTGGTTTTTTCAGTTTCCATCTTTTTTTTATTTATGAGCAAGTCCTTTTCTGAGAGCTTTGAAAAGAAATCAAACTTGAACAGATGCCCAATATTACACATTAACCTCGTCTTACCTCTCTCTTAAGCCGCTTGACATTAACTTCATAATCATCTAATTTCCTTTTCATTTTCAACAACTGCGTGTCACTATTTACTGCTTTGTTCTCCAAGTTGATCACCTTTTCCTTTTCAGAATCGAAAAGATTCTTGAGAGTGTTAAGCTCTTGCGATGTCATAATGGCCTCCCTTTGGACGACCAGGATTTTTTTCCTGCCCTCTGAACCTTGAGGAAAAAGAAAACAATTAAAAATATTAAAAATTTTCCTCTACAATGTGTAAAGGTGTCTTACAATTTTCTTTAATAGATGATTTCACTTTAGACATATAATCCAACCCCTCTTCAAGATTTTTGATCAGATTCGGCAGAATGTTGTCGTCACATATGTCGATAAAACGCACATCTGGAAGATTGCTAAACCTAAAAATAATGCTATCGTGAATAATTATGCCTTTATAATTGAATACCATGTTGTTTTAATTTTTTTGTTGCATTTGATTAGGTAGTGAGATTTCCTCCTGAATCCTGTCGTCTGTGAAATAATGAACCTGTATTTTGGTCATTAACGATTGTTTGAGTCAGCCTATCATTGCCTGGTTGGTCGCTCAGATGTGTTTCAGCAATTACCTTTTTTCAGTGAAGTATCTTTAAATAAGGTGACAGGTATGGTGTGTATGTCTTTATCTCTATTTGTCGGTTCCTTTGTTGGATTAAGCCCAGGTTTTTGATTGTAGGATGATGGGACAAAATTGATTTAAATTCATCATTACGGATTGTGACATAATTTTTGTCGCTCAGTCACAGCGTCAAATTAAACTTTACAGCCAGCCATAGCATGAATATGTACATATTGGGTGTGTGCATAAGTTTTTGGTTTTCAGAAACAAAAATCAAACTTTCAAACTAAAAAATGTATTGCAGACCCAAATGATCGAACAACAGTTTCCTTTGTTTTAATTTGTCGATGTCATGAGGAATTACCGACCGCATGGCTTCACTAAAAAACACATAAATTTTCTGTTTTCTGCAACATACCGTTAATATTCTGGTAGCAGAAATATCTTTTTTTTTTAATTATTATTATTATTATTTTTTTTAAATAAAAGTCTGATGATTTAGACAAGAAGAAATCTTTTTTTTAATTTTATGTTGTTTTTTTTTTTACGAGGATATTTCAACTATGAGGTTATATGAACTCTTGGGTGTAGATGTTTAAAAAAAGCTCATTTGTATGACTCAAATGCAAGTCCACTGATTACAGCGATGACCGCTGTGTCTACGCCTAAAACTTTGCGGCCTTCAAACATTTTCTCTCAATAATCCCCTACCTTTTAAGTGATTGTCTGGAAGGCAGAACAAGTAAAAATCACATCCGGAAAGGACTAACGGAGGACATTTGTTGCCAGCCTAACTCGGCAATTTTACTCTGAGTGCAGCTGTGTGAAGCCTGACGCTGCATCTATTCACCAGGGTTGGACATTTTTTCATAAACATGGCATGCACAGTTACTTACACCGTGAAAGTACCAAAACAAGGGTTTGGTTGCGTGGTAGCAGTTCCCAATAAATTATTCTTCAAATATCCCACTAAACAGACACTAGGACTTTATGATAATCCTGTTCTTGGTGTCGGTGGTGGTGTTTTATTCTTCTTGCAAAATGGTCCTTCGTCATTTAACATTTTTATAAATGATCCACTTCTTATCTGCAGTGATCAAACAGGAAATAAACCCTTCTTTATTCTTATTAATGTGTGAAATGAAAAAGCTATGCAGTCTTTCTGAGGGAGAGTTTTACAACGTAACCAAGATCGGATTCTTTCTAATGTTGTGAGGTGTACCTGAAATCTCTCTGATTGCTCTGTTACAGGTTATTTGTCCTCTCCTCAATTCCACTAAAAGTTGTAGGTGTAATTAGGTCTTCCACGAGGCTGGTCTTTAATTCATCTGTCTCCATTACAAAAACATCTGTTGACTTACATATTCAATACGCTATCTTCATAAATTTCAACATCTGCTGCTCTATGCCTAGATTGAACTCGTATAGTGAAACAATGCCTCAAATGAATTTTATCTGATTCTGTACAAGTTGCACTTTATTTTAGACTGACATTTGGGATTAACTACCCTTTTTTTTAACAAGCTCTTTCAATAGGCCTTTCCCAACCCTAGAGCTAACGGGGTGATAAATGGCATTTGTAAGTCTAAATTTGAAAAAAACTGTAAAAACTTATGCAGACACACATTATGTACACCATTATCACCATCAGACTGAGTGAAATAGCAAAGTAGGTCTTAGAATATTTCAGCAAAGAAACAAATTATATTTGTTTTTCAAGCATCAAAAAAGCCCTAATTACAAATTTTTGGGAAAATGAAAAAATGTTTTGTGTTTTTCCCCTTGCCTTATTGCCTCAGATATTTTTCGAAAATTACCAAAATCCATATATAATATTTAGCCGTCATAATTGACCTTATTAATTATTTTAATTAATTATACTTTTAATCTAAGGTTTCATTTCAACCAAGACTTTGGATTAAAAACACCAGTGTTGACTCCACCGATCTATAAATAAATTAGAACCGGAGATATAAAATAAAACTTTTGAGGAATTTTTGTTGATTTTATCCTTATTTATCTCATTTATAATTATACAAAATCTAAATGTTTTTATCCTAGGCTTAAAGAAGAGATATTAAGAAATTCAACTATCCAACGGTCGTAATAACGTTGAATTTGGATAGAATCCAGAGGATTTAAGAATTTTTACTTCAAACACCAGACATCAACATAAAAGAATTTGCCTTCAAATTCACCCTAAAAATATCTCAATTTTGAAATGCTATAAAAATTTGTATTTACTGGTTTTACAGAACAGTTAAAACAAAACCTTTTTTTAAACAAAAATGGTTTTTGGCCAAATGAAAGCATCTCTTGTTTTTTGTAACTTTTTAATTACCTAATTTATTTTAATATATCTATTTTATTATCCTAGGTTGGCAAGTGTCTAATATTTTTTGTCCTAACCACTGAAAAAAATAGTTTCATTATGCGTCCTTACTCTTCCCCTTATCTGTTAAAGATGCTTAAAATAAACAAGTCAAATAAAATTTACAATTTAACTTGTGCTTTTAGGTTCGACTTGTATTTTTGCCCCCTTATAGAATAGAATAGAAATGCTTTTTATTTCTTTTCCTCAAAATAGCAACATACAAATATGAACTGTACAAAAAGCAAATACTCATTTGAGATATCAAATAACAACTGTTAATAAATATATAAATATTGTGTACATTTAACATTCACAAAATAAATAGACTTTGAATACCGTTAACAATCTCACACAATAGTAACAAGTTGTAGTTTCAAATAGTAAAAAACGAGAATAAGTAATTAAACAAATGAATAAATAGTTAAATATATTAAATTCTTGGGGTCAATTGATTTCTATGTTTTAATGCATATATTACATAATTGTATAGTTCATGCCAATTTCATCCATTTAAATATTCAAGAAATGTATTTCAATTTTATTAAAATTTTAGGGCAATTTTATTCAAAAAAGTTTTTCCATTGTTCCGCAGAATTTGGCAGATACATACAAAATGGAAGATAGGTTCATCTGTTAACATTGCAGAGAGAACACTTACGCCTCTCCTCGCTTCTAGTGTATGAACAATTTAAATTTAACATTTCACACCTAGTTTTCATTATTATAGACATAAAGTACCTTCAAGAACTGTCTTTTAAATATGTGTTTTCCCCTAAGTGGGTGTTGATAACTTTGTATAATGGATGAAAACGCGTGCTCTCTCTCTCTCTCTCTCTCTCTCTAGACTTGTATTTTTGCCCCCTTATATTAATGTCCTATCAGGAAAAAAAAATCATACAATAACTTACCAATGCGAGGAGAAATATTTGTCATCGGAATCTTTTTTATCGCCACCTTCATTTTCTTTGTTTTCTGACTCTTTCATAATCTGCTGATATGCCTTGACAGATTAAAAAAATAAATAAATAAATAAATAAATAAAAATTGTTAAATAAAATTTAAAGCAATTGTAACTTACGTGATAAGCCTTCCTGCGACCAGGGGTGAAGCATGCGGTTTTTATCGGGGTGGAAACTGCAACTTGTACCTCCTGGCTTGTTTCAGCGAATTTCATCACATGCTTAAATTACAAAATTAAAAAAAAAGTTACAACAGACAATAAAGAACTAATCGAAACATTTATTTACCATTAGTTCATCAAACTCATCAACGCGTGGGCTGATGCAAATGACCATAGTAACTTGACCATCCCCATCCAAAAACGTCTTAAACAGGTGGGTCAACTTTGAGTCTCGGTACGGAATCATTTTGTTCGCACCATTCTGGTTCTCTCTCAATAATTCCAGACAAGTCCGAAGAGTCAGCAGAGAGTTGTTTATATTACCTGAAAAATATTTACAAATATAGTGGGTGTTTTTTTGTAATGTTACCTTGTAATGTGACCTTGTTTTATCAAAGATATAATAATTCTTCATGAGTCTAGACCTGAAAACCGCTGTAGACTTTGAAAATGGTCATTGTCCATTAAAACCCCAAATATTTTTCAAATATTATTATTAATTTTATATTTAACATTTGTCAAAATTTTGACTCTTTTAAGACCCAAAGAATGGTTTTTTTCCCCCTTGTGTTGCCTAATTATTATTATTTAAATCTACCCTCCAGTTTTCCCTCTATTAGGTCTTTCCTGAAGGTAATTTTATTTGAAAATTTTGAAGAAAAATGCATGTTATTACTCATTTTGTACATAAAAAAATGCCTGCATCTATTTAGACCCACAGATTGCAGCCCACGTGATTTTTTTAAGTACAATTTTTTTTTTGGAATTTTTTAATACAATAAGTAAAGACAACTCACTCAGACAGGAAAAAGGGTTGGTTTAGCAGTACTAGTCGCACCTTAATCCCTTACCCTTAATCTATTATATAATGTAAATAAAATGTTAGCATAGGTTTTATAGTCTGTGTATAATAATATTAAGCAAGTTTTAAACCGTGTATAAGCACGTTGCAAAGGGGCGATCGGCTGTAGGCTTAATTGTGTACAAAGTTTTTGAGATATCAGCGCAGTGTGTAGGGAGAAAAGTGCCAATCAGTGGGAGAGTTGACAACGAAGCCTGCAGAAGCGTACCTTTCTTTCTGCTCATTTTTTGGTGTCTACTCTCCATCGTTTCTTCGAGTCTGAGACCACATTGCACATCTGTGCTAGCTCACTTCACGAGTTATTTCTTGTATTCATTTACTATCTGCGAACTGAGAGTCAATCGAATCTACCAACTTGTCTCGTCATTCCATCATCCAGCTTCTTTTCCATCAACACCCAGCCTACATCATCTTGGACAATAACATAACCCTCAATCAGATTGTTCTTTTTTTTATTTTATGTATTTATTAGTCATATCTTTTTTAGTTTGACATTATTAATTTTACTACAATAACGTACCTTTATTATCGCATGCAATATTAGATGGTTTCATGTGATTTTTTCATATTTGTTCTTTACATATATGTTTACATATTTTAATTAGAACTTGTATTGGCATTATACCTCATTTTATAAATTAAATTTGCTCTCGTTATTAGCAAATTCTTATATTATTTATCATTCAATTAATTAAGGTTTTAAGTTGAAATAAAAGTCAGTGTCACGAGCGAGATTCGAACCCACGACCTTCGGCTTGATACGCCTCTCCTCTACCACTTGAGCTATCATGACTTCGATCTCCTCGAGCACTAACTTCCCATCTCAACCCCACCTTTTGAGTTTTCCCTCCTTTTTGCCATTTTTCAAATGTCGTGTAATCTATTTAATTCTCGGCAACAAGTGAAATGGCCACGGAGAGCTTTAGTGAAGTATACTTCAGTTTAATTCATTAAATTCACTATTTTTCGTGGTCCGCTTGACCAATTAATATCATTCAATTAATTAGGGTTTTAAGTTGAGATAAAAAAGTCAGTGTCATGAGCAGGATTCGAACCCACGACCTTCCGCTCAATACGTCGCTGCTCTACCACTTGAGCACATCAAAATTTTCATTTTTCCCTTACGTGCATAATAAATAAACATTTGGAGAAAAAACCTAGTTTTTCAGTTAAAATAATTATTATACAACTACTACTATCACCCTAATCCCTTATCCTTCGTCTATTATAAAATTTCCAAATTAAAATTTGTATTTGTCACCTATGTACATACTAAATAAACATATGGTGAAAAAATGAAAAAAATTGTGTCTAAAAAGACTCGCCTGTTCATGTTACTTTTTTACTGATGGCTGTATAAGTGTTAAACAGTTTTACAAATTATGACATCAATAAAAAAAATATTTGAGGTGTAAAAGAACATATTTTTGTTTAACAAAAATACCTGCTTCACGGAGACGTTGGCCTGTATTTTTGGTCCGATTTGTCCTTTCACTTCCAGCGAGGTCCACTAATGACAGCTGGCTGACAATCATTGACGATTTATCACTGCATAACTCTTTGCCATCTTCTTCAAGAGGCGCCTATACAGAAGAATTTTTACATTTATATTTTCAAGGATTAATTTTGTAAAACTAAGAACAAAAATGATCCACCTATGTGAATTGAAATGTCATTAATGATACGTACTTGGACGATCCGGATAGTGAAGGCGGAATGGCTCCTACTGGACTCAGAGTTGAGCATTGTTTGGGCCATCCTCCTCCTCTTCTGACCCTTGTAATAAAGTTCAAACGCCTCATCCGCTGTTGACACCTCGATTTCATTTACACCATGAACAAACATATTGTGGTTTGAATCTTCCCGCACTATCTTTTGCTGTAATGATCTGAAAAGAGATAATTTTTTAAATATTTCTGTTTGTAACTTATGTAAAATTTATACATACTGAGGACGTATATTTTCATCAAGATCTTCTAGTAGATCGTAAACAGAATTGTTGTAAATTTCAACATACGTTATAAATACACTATAACAATTGTCTTCATCTAGTGTCATTATTTTTGTATCCTCTCGGATTCTTGATATGATGTCTGCTTCAAATTCTCTTTTATCACTGTGAAAATGTATGTTGTGTAATAAAAACAAGACTTTTACTATTTAGAAAAAAATCATTGGTGGTACAAGTAAATTTCAAAAGAATTACAAGGGAGGGCATTGGACCATAGCCTAACAAACTTCATGTTTTTCCAACCAACCTTCAATACGTTGTTGATTAGGATTCAGTTACGGTAAGTAGATTTGTTACGACAATCCAAAGCATAAAAAAATCATGGGGAAAGCCTGGTCGTGCATCAACATCAACGGCGAAGTGAAATAGTCATTCACAGATCAAATGTTCTGCATTTCGTGGGATTAACTTTGTGTAGTATACTATCAGCTGTTAAAACCAAATAATGAAACCATCATTGGTGATCGCTACTGACTACAATTGATGCATTTGAACCGTGCATCGAAGGAGAAATGTGCTAGTTAAAACTACTTGGAAACCCTCAAATGAGTTATCCTACCCCACAGACAATTGTTCTTTAAGATTACTGCTTATTTCGATCAATAACTCATGGCCTGTTAGGCTGTAGGAGCAGCATTTCCGTTCTTACGAGGAAGGCAAATGATGGGTCAATTCTATCATTGCCTCTAAAGACCGGTCAGTCATTCTTTCAACACGGAATTTGTATGCTCCTAAAAAGATGGGAACAGTAGTGGCTAAAAAAGACGTTACCATTTTTGTACAGCAAAGCCCCAATTAAAAAAAAAAAATCTTTAAAACTTACTTGTACCGATAAATAAAACGCTAAGGTTATAGAAATACTTACTCCTTTACTTTTTTATTAGCAGATGACAATTTTAGCAATAAATCCTGATCCCTGTCAATTTTCGCATCGGATTCACTTTGGATATCAAAACCGTTTAGTTTGTCCGGCTTGAAGATAAATTTTTTCGCCTGGTACTTCCTTATGCTGTTAAAAATGACATCGAGAGACCTCGGCATTATTCCACCGTTTTGTGGAGAGCCTGACATCGTATATGTCTTTCCGCTGCTTGTCACCCCATATGTAAAGATTAGGGCATTCCTTCCGCAAAGGACGTTTTCAACCGACGGCAAGGCTACAGTATCGAAGACTCTCTTTTGGCCAACTGACTCGTTGAACACTTCCTTAAAACTGAACTGCAGACCACGGCACTAAAAATCATTCAGTATTAAATATGCTTTCAAAATAAAGCGTAATAAATAAATATCGACTTACTACTCCATTACGTAGATTTGCAGACGAAGGAGGTGTCAATTGAATGTAGTTAGGAGGGATTATTTTTAAAATACTCAGTTCAGGGCATGCCAAAGGTCGTACTCGGCAAAACACCTGGATTGGTTCTTTAACAGCTCTTGCGGCTCTTAAATTTTTTCTCACCCTTTGATTCCTGTAAAATTTAACATTAGGAAAAACAAATCATAATTTACTATATGTGAATCAAATAAAGTTTTTTAGAAGCATCATTGATTAACGAAGGATGTCAATGGAGTGTCAGAGCAATCATAATAATAGACAATACCATCACCAGATCAGAAGGAGAAACATAGCTGTTAATATGAAATTGGCCTAGCAAAATGTATGGAAGCTTAAGTAAGACCACCAAATGCCTTGGTTTGGTGGAGCCGTCTACTATGGAGAACTTGGAGAACTGCATGTAGTAGCAAACAGACTATACCAGGGGGAACTGGAGAATTATATGGCCTTGGTTGCGATTTGTTAAGTGGTGATGATCTCGGTCACCGACACGGTGGGCAACCAATGGCTACTAGATGGATCTCTGATGTCCACCATCTTAGAATCGATTTGGTCGGTATGGGGGTGGCAATGAGGAGGGCAGACTTGCCAGCCGAATGTACTGGGCTAGCATGTGGGGCTAGTACAGACGCTCTCTCACGTCCTTTCCGCCCAAAGAACAACTCATCGTGACTTGGGATTCAAATAATTGCCCTTTAGAAATGTGTGGTGTTTAGTGAACGTTATTTAATGATTATTTGGGATTTGTGGGCACTCTCAACACGACACACAATAATGACACATCGACACAAAAAACAAAAACTTTGAGCCCTGAAGAGGATGTCAATAAAGATCGAAACGTTGGCATGATAAAGACGTAGGAGAATAAACTTCAATGTTGCGCCAAGGTGATGTTCTTAAATCCGTTGGTCACTTCTAGGTAGGTTATAATATGTAAGTGCTTATGTATGAAGAATAAAGAGTGTGTTAAAATTAAGTCTTTACAGGTTTTTATCCGATTCAATCCTGAAAAGGGGCCTACAAAGAAAATATTTTTCTTAAACTTACGTCACATCAGACCACATCTCACGATCTCCAAATAATACTGAACTTAATGCTGGGTGACATCAGCATAAAGATTAAATTGGGAGAAATTAAGAACTAATGGAAGATCATTTATAAGGAAAAGAGTAAAGGTCCAAGAATAGAGCCTTGGGGTACACAAGCTTAAATTTAGAAAGAAAAGGAGATAGAATTTGAAGTTTTAACTCTCTGAAATCTGTCAGACAGGAGGAAATGAGCAGCAGTAGAAGAAAAACCAAAAAGATACAGTTTCCAAATAAGGAAATTATGATTTACAAAACCAAATGCATTGGAAAAATCAAATAGAACAATAATAGTACAATGCCTAGGCGAATCTAATCAAAGGGGCTGTCACACAAGTATGAAATTTTCGAAAGCCAGATTGAAAAGGGCATGGGAGTCAAAAAATAACGATATTTGTTTAAATAAAATCTTCTCAAATGCTTTGGATAGTGATGGGCGATAGTCATTAGCAAGATACAATATAACAAGACTAATATAACAGACTTTTTTTTTAAACTAAAGCGTGACAAAATAAAAATATGATTGTAACATGACGTAAAAATTATTATTGCTTATAATAAATTACACACTAATTCACTTACATAACTGTTTTCGTAGTTTTTAAGCCGGTTCCACTCAAGTCCTGATCCGTTGACAATCCTCAAGTCTCAACTGGCAAGCTGAAGTTAACGGTTTTTCAAAGGCATCGATCCAACTTTGAACAACATCGATTGAACACGTATCGATGGGCATAAATCGAAATTTTCAAAACTGTTTTTTTCAAACTATTTTGGACATTTAATTATAATTTACTTATTAATTTTACAGACAAAGCCTATTAAAATTATACAATGATTACAAATATACTTAGGAGAGCTAATATATTGAATCATTACAGAACATAAATATTTAATTAAAGAAATAACTGACCTAGAATTATAATACTTCAAAAATCCTTCTTGATTCTTTATTCTATATAATCTAAACCTATATAATATCTATATAATATAATCTATATAATCTAAATCTATATAATATAATCTGTATAATCTAAATCTATATAATATAATCTATATAATCTGTACAGGGTGTTCGGCTACTCATGTCACCAACTTTGCCAGTAGATTCTACATTCAAAATTGAACCAAAAAGTTCCATGTTAACTATGGTCCAAATCTCAACAGTTTCGAAGTTATTCCCCTATTTCTGATTTTTTAAGATTTCACTACCTCGCGTGAAATAAACAATGATAACTCCAAAACTAAAAGGTTTTGGATAAATCCGTTGATACCATTGAAAACTACGTTCAATTTCCATTAAGATGTGATCAATACTAAACTTATAAACTTTGGTAAAATTAGTGTTTTAGTAGCCAGAACTTTGAAAAATGTTTCTTTTTTCAAAGTTAAAAAAATTACTATTATGTCTCTAAACTACTATTTCCAAACCTAGAAATTAGTAAATTTCGGAAAACGTACTCCATTTAATATGGTTTTTAGTCGTGTAATTGTTTTTTCAATTACTTTCTTCACTTACTTTCATCTTTGAAAAAGTAATTAAAAAATCAATTACATCACTAAAAAGGAAATAAATGGAGAAGCTTTTCTGAAATTTGCTGGTCTCAAGGTTTGGAAAAAGTTGTTTAGAATCAATCATAGTAAGTTTTTCAACTTAAAAAAAAAACTTTCAATGTTCCAGCTACTGAAACACTTATTTCACCAATGTTTACAAGTTTAGTATTGATCACATCTTATTGGAAATTTAACTAAGTTTAAATTTTTTATAAATCTTTATAATAAAAAGTTTTCAATTCCCCTAAAAAGTGAAACAGGGGACTCTGAAACTCGCTACGTGTTCGAGAACTCTTCTTAAGTCGGCGGCATGCCTACACGCTCTCTGTATGGAGCCAAGGCATGACACGCCTTTATTATGTGGGACACATCGAGCAAACTTTCTCCGCTATAATGCATTATATTATTTTTGTGTATATATTTTTTGTATATATACACAAATGTATGTATAATTCCTAGTCGTTATCATTATATAGACAGGGTGTTTAATTAAATCGTCATGTTGTTTCATTTATAAGGATTTTATTGTCATTTTGGTCAACTTTGTTTTTTTGAACGCGTACAAATTGCTAGAAAAACATACTCTCTAAACCACATGATTATCAAAAAGGTATCGATAGATCTGCTTCACGACTTAACCAACGAAGCATACCATGCATTTGAATTCAGAGAAAACCTGAATATGGATATGTGCGATCTAAACAGGGCATTTGACACAAGATCACTCCAACCTTTGTAAAAAAATATAATTTTTTGGAATAAGGGGTAATGTGTTAGAGTTTTGTAAAAGCTTTCTTGCAAACTGACAAGTTGTAAATAATGTGAATTCTAGGTTTAGAAGTTCTAGTCAGGATGTCCACATGGGTCAATAATTAGACCTATATTTTTTATTATATATGTTAATGATGTTAGTATATTGGTTAAGATTGTATATGATGTTACTGTCCTATAATTGACAGATGACTGAAGTGTTTTAACCAATTTTATTTAGATTATTTATTTACCTACTTGGGCAGCCAGGCCACTCAAAAAGCAAATATCTCATTGGTAATAAAGTTCAGTGATATTTGGCATTGCATCCAGGCGCTGTCAGACAGGGACAAAAACAAAATTACTCTTGTGAGAATTCTTCCTGTGGTCTGCTGTTTGATAAAACCTATTGTTTTATATCATTCTAGTATGCCTTTTTTTACTCAGATGTGTTTCAGCATTTCGTCAGTATGTAGGGGTTATATTTGTCAAACTGACGATGGCAAACGAAACACAATTAAAATCAGTGAGGACAGACATACCAGAATGATAGGTAACTATCAAACAATAAAATTACGCTTGTTTAGATACCAGAGTTTACATACAGTAGGAGGCCGGCAAATTGACAAAGTTTGGAAACCCTTTTGCCCCATACCAAATTGCCAAAAATGTACATCTATCAAACAATGAATTAAGAAAAAATCCCTCAGTTCAATTGGAATGCATCTAGTGTAGTGAAAAATGTTAGTCAAAGGACTATCAGAAACTAACAGTATTACTTCTAAGAGATTAGGTCTAGAATGATAATAGGACTTTTGACTGCTCTCCGTACACATACGTGCAGAATTGCAGTAGCAGAAAAACCGGAAGGAAACGGCATAACATGTCCTGTGTTGGTGTACAATGAGATTCCTACACCTGGGAAAGGCAAAACCTAAAGGATAAATATGGAAGTCCTTGACAAAGTTTTGGGATCTTTTAAAGAGCCTTAAGATTAACGAAGAGTTCTAGATTTCGGATATTGCACAATAGACAAAGACTGGTCATGGTTTGTTAGGTTGTCAACAGATCGACTCACTTTAACCTTTAACCTTGAATCGCTAGGCACGATCTATGCAAATCTTAAAAAAAGATAAAACATCAAAACTTCATATGGAACTGTGGTGGTGTCGAAATTTTAAAATAATCACTAATTTCGTGGTCCACTTGACCAATTAATATATTACAATTAATTAAGGTTTTTAGTTGAGATAAAAAAGTCAATGGCACGAGCGGGGTTCGAGCCCACTCCGTGGCCATTTCATTTGTCGTCGAGAATCCAATCCGATTTGACGTCATTTGAAAAATGGCAAAAAGGAGGGAAATTCCAAAGGTGCGGTTGAGATGGGAAGTTGGTGTCCGAGTGGATCGAGGTCACAATAGCTCAAGTGGTAGAGCAGTGGCGTATCAAGCCGAAGATCGTGGGTTCAAATCCCGCTCATGCCATTGACTTTTTTATCTCAACTGAAAACCTTAATTAATTTTAAAATATAATGTCATACTAATAAATAAATAAATGCCCCTTTGTGAGCAAAAATGTAGAAGGATGCTGAACAGTAAGAAATATATAAATGGCTAAAAAAAATTGTCAAGAGAGGACTATGATTCATGATTAAATAAAATTATGATATTGCAAATAACAAATATTTCTGTATTCTTTCTTTCTTTGTATTGGATATATTTAAAAAAAATTATTTAACAAAAAATAAAATTATTTATTTTCACAATGTCACGGCTATGCAGGGGTGACAATAATAAAATCATTAAATAAATTCATATGTTAATACAAGTAAAATTGCATTTTATAATCTATCGAAAATTTTGGCGTAAGTCAACGCATCCACGTAGTCTCTCTTGTATGACGTTTTCCCTATGAAATGGCCCAATCTCGATATCGCTAGACTATCGGGCTCCACGATTTGTGTGGAAGGGTCTCCAAAGCCGGAAAAGTCCTCTGAAAATTCAAAAATAAGCTTTTTGTGTTATGATAAATGTAACTTAATAAAACGTACCGATAATAATAGGGGATCTCTTTGAGCACAAGGTCACTTTATTCAATTGTCTGACTGTGTGCATAGTTATACAGCCTATTTTTACCAATATCTGGAACAATCAAGTTCGTTAAGAGTGAAATATTTTTATTTGTGAAACAGTGTAGTGAGATTTTGTGATAAATATTTACAAACTTTATTTCACTTACATCAAGAAGATCAAAGGTGTGCACAGGCTGAAGCGCCGGTGTAAAACGTTCTGAGATGCTTTTCAAAGATGTGCCTGGAAAAGTCATACAGTGACCTAGTATAGAACCTAAAAGCCGATCTAGAACTCTGTGGTTTAACGTTCCGTCGATTCGAATCCAAGGCCGGATTGAAATATGTACTGGTTCCATTGATCTAAGGGTTATTTAAAATTACACATGAAAGTTTCAATTTTTATCATGGAAAATAACATGAAAACTTACGAAAAATCCATTTCTTGAAATCTATTTTCTCTTGGAAGATTGACCCATTTCCTTTTTTTCTGATAGCTGATCGTTTTGGGGAAAATCCGCCCTTCGGGTGGTGAAACTGAATTTGTGTCATTTTTATCTTCCGATTCGGGAGGGGTTTTCGGCTCTTCCTCGTCTATATCCATACTGCCCTTTGCCGTGTTGTCGTCATCACACAGCTTGGTTTTCTTTTTCACTGGTTCATCGTCTTGTTCGCCTAAGTTTACATGGAAGGAAACGTTGCTCGTGTCTTCCAAACATTCCCTTTTGCTGCGTGGTATATAGTAAGATTTCACGAGCCAATGCTTTGTGAACATGTTGAGGACAAATCGAACATTGACACATCCGGTTTTTAACACATACTGTCTCATCACCAATGAATCTAAGATGTCAGCAATTTCTTTCGTACCTCCAACATTTTGCTGAAATAAATCGCCATTTATTAGAACAATTTTGAAAAATATTTGAAGTTTATATTTAATAGTAACAGTGATTGTTGTCTGGGTTTCTGGGCACGTCGGCCTGGAGGGTAATGAACTAGGAGGGTGTGACTAGGCGGGGGACGTCCTACCCTTCAGATCAGACCATCACGATCAGGCCTTCTGACACTAAGCACGCAGTGAAAAACACAACAAAAGAAAGATGGTGTGGTCATCAAAAAGACTCTTGTGAGTCAAGAGTACCTGAGCAGGAGACAAGAGATCGTCCTAACCTGACTGAGGATTGGCCATACGTGGTTGAACTGCTGTTGGGCCAAAGCCCACATACAGTTCTTATGCACAGAAAGAATGCTCGATGGGTCCCATGTATTTTTTTTTTGCACCAAAAAATTATACAGCCATGTTACAATATATACAATTTGATATATACAATTTAAACAGTTCATATTATATTTTCACAGACACATCATTTAAAAATTTTATTATCAAGTTATACACACTCGGATTCTTGAATAGGCTTTACTTTCCGTAGTTGGGTGTTCTACTCCTTCTTTCTCCAGATCCTGGTAGAATTTATTTCTGGCTGACGAATGTTGGCTGCAGTGAAACATTATGTGAGTTAGGTCCTCCTTTACTCCGCATGTGTCACAATTTGGGTGTTGTTTTATGCCAATCTTGTGAAGATGATGCAGAAGCCATAGTTTGTTCTTAACCGATGTATGGTGGTTTTGTCTTTTTTTGCCATGTCTAGTTTGTTAAACCACGGTATTGTTTTCACAAATGGAAGTAATGTTTTATAAGCCATTCCCTTATCCGAGGCAGAGTATTCAGTTTGCCATTCTATTTGAATTCTTGTTTCCAATATTTGAAAAAGGTCTGTGGAAGGAATCCTTATGATTCTAGGGGTGAGTAACTGTGTAGCATTTTTTGCAAGTTTGTCAGCTTTTTTGTTGCCGTATATGCCTTTATGTCCTTTAATCCACACGAAAGAGACCTTTTTTTTTAAGTGGAAAAGTTGTTGACAGTCTTTTTTATGTCAGTTACAATATAATTCTTAATGTTAGTAAATGTGTTTTGCAAGCACTGGATTGCACTGAGGCTGTCTGTGCAAATTATATGATTCGTTGTAGGAAGGTTAAGTGTAAAGAAAGTTAAAGCTGCCTTAATTGCTAATAATTCCGCCGAATAAATTGATATCTCTGCTGGCAAAGGAATTGATTCCCCTTTATTGATGCTAGGGCAGAACCAGGAGCATCCAACCTTACCAGACATGAGGGATCCCATCGGTGTCCCATGTAATATAGGCATGTTGCCTTGGCTCCATACAGAGAGCGTGTAGGCATGCCACCGGATGTAAGAATAGTTCTCGGACATAGTAGCGAGTTTCAAATATGTGTTTTATGTTTCTGTGTTTTATATGAGTGACTGTATTTATTAGAATGAATACGGTGGAGGTGATGGTGGAATAGCATTCCCATTAGATTTGTTTGTTATTGTAGGCAGGTCGATGGAGGAATATTGAGTACTCCATCTACCAAATAGAATGAATGCAATGTATTGGGTTGTCCGGAAAATAATGCAGGATTTTGGTATTAAACAAAAAAAAAAGAAACTAGTTACTTTAAAGCAATGTTCTTTAATCAAAATAATTTCCCATACTCTCAATACATTTCTCCCAACGTGTTGGTAACTTATTAATTCCGTCTGAGTAGAATTCAGAATTTTTAGAATTGATAAAGTCAATAAATGCATTTTCCAGTTCCGTTTGATTTTTGAATATTATGTGTTGTAAGTAGTGGTCCAGGTGTCTAAAAAAATGGTAGTCAGTAGGCGAGAGGTCCGGAGAGTAGGGTGGGTGAGGCAAAGTTTCATAGCCAAGCTCCAATAATTTTTGTGACGTTACACGTGACACATGTGGTCGAGCGTTGTCATGCAACAAAATGGGCCCTTTCCGATTGACCAAAGAGGGCTTCATTACTGCCAATTTCTGATGCATGGTATTAATTTGGTTACAGTATGATTCAGCATTGATGGTTTCGCCAGGATTTAAGAAGCTGTAGTGTATTAAACCAAATGAAGCCCACCATACCGTAACCATTACCTTTTTTTGATGAGTTGGGGGCTTTGGAAAATGTATTGGAGCTTCTCCTTTGTCGAGCCACTGTCCAGAACGTCTAGTGTTATCGTAGAGAATCCACTTTTCGTCACATGTAACAATTCTGGCCAGAAATGGGTCATTTTTGTTTCGACAAAGAAGTGATGCACAAACATCAAAGCGCTGATTTTTTTGGCGATCGTTTAATGAGTGTGGAACCCAATTTTCGAGTTTTTTCACTTTTCCAATCGCCTTGAGGTGGTCAGCGACGGTCGTTTTACTGACTTTGAGTTGCTCTGCAAGTTCTCGAACAGTTGTTTTGGGGTTTTCTTCCACCACTGATCGCAGAACATCATCATTAAGAGAGGAAGGCCTTCCACGACCTTCTTCATCTTCAAGGCTGAAATCTCCCTCCCGAAATTTTTTAAACCACCTTTGCACAGTGCACTCATTAACACAACCCTCGCCCCAGACTTGGTTAATGTTTCTAGCCGTTTGGGCTCCGCTTCGGCCGAGTTTAAACTCGTAAAAGAAAATCGTACGAAATTCTCGCTTTGACATTATAAGGATGACTGAATTATTTCCAAGTAGCGGAATGCTACAGAGGTAAACAAACAATATCATTTGGAAGAGGAATAATAAGTGTTGACATTCATACAAATGAGTAATCCTGTAAACGGAAACAGAATATTTTATATAGATTTTTTTTAATGAAAACTTAAAATCCTGCATTATTTTCCGGACAACCCGATATATAGGTGTGAATGTGTATTGAATGTGAGTTGTAATATTTTGCATGTGCTCAAGGCTGGAGAAAAAAAATACAGTATAAATCCTGCTCGTTTGAACTAATTGAGGGCTTTGCTAATGGGTAATTTTGCTAATCAATGCTAACTAAATGGCAACCCAATTAGTTCAGATTAGAAAAAATTTATATTAGCTGTAAACCAGCAATAATTTATAAGTGATCAGTAAAACAAAATGAAAAAGCTTGTTACGGCTTAAATTGCTGACATTTAGTGGAGATGGGAGTGTAAAAAAACCTTGTTGAACATAGATAAAAAAGTGTGTGGTGATATTTGTGATCGTTAATCGACAATTATATAGAAATCGTGAGATGCGGTCTGGTGTGATGTAGGTTTTAGAAAAACATTTTCTTTATCATGCCAAAGTTTCGATCTTTATTGAGGATCATCTTCAGGGCCTGGGATTTACAAACATTGTTTAAATTTAAAAAATACATTTTGGATGTGGAAAAGTGAATTTATACAATGCAAAATATATTTTTTTATATATTCAATCAAAGTATTTCTACTCACTCAAATGTGTAATTGTGCCATTCTTGGATTTTGAAGGGGGGGGACTTATAAAAACTTCAAAATGCAACGTATATAAACCTAAAACAGCAAAATCTCACTGGCACTCTCAACACGACACGCAAGAATGGCACAATTACACAGAAGACAAACACTTTGAGTGAGTAGAAATACTTTGATTGAATATATAAAAAATATATATTTGCATTGTATAAATTAACTTTTCCACATCCAAAATGTATTTGTTAAATGTAAACAATGTTGGTAAATCCCAGGCTCTGAAGATGATCTCAATAAAAATCGAAACGTTGGCACGATAAAGAAAATGTTTTTATGAAACCTACATCACACCAGACCGCATCTCACGATTTCTAAATAATTATAGATAAAAAAAGTTGGGTCAAACTACTGTTAACAAAAAGAATGACAAAAATATACATAAAGGGACCAAAAATGGATAATAAAAAATAATAATAATACACCCCCGCAGAGGAGAAGAGAGGAAAACCAATTAATGATCTCAAATTACCCTAAAACCCCGGAGACCACCCAGAGGGTTGGTTTTATGTTCAATAAAAATAAAATATTCTTGAATAAAATACTGTCTAAACAGCACCACTGTAAAACACCGAATAAAATCATGAGTTGAAACAGGTCTTGGCACATCATAGCTAGAGAGCCTGCGGTGTCATGTGTACAACCTGCTTTGGACTGATAGATCCAACGAGTCGACAAAAAACATTACGTGTGAACTTAGCTTTAGAGCACTTGTATACGTCTGGTTTTTTTCATCGGACAACGGACCTACAATAAACAGACATCATGTACGTATGAGATTTTCCACCATGGCTTCGAGTACTGTCTCTCCCTGGCTCAGTTTTGAACTGGTAGAGTTCACACATGTGTCTAATATTGAACAATAAGAAAAAAACTATTGGCCTACTATTTATACAAGAAAAACAAACAGAAAAATCCGTTGTATGTACACACACACTTTCATTGTAGCCTAGACAACACTACAAGCCTGGTAAAAACCACGGTCCGTTTTTCCGATGAAAAAAATGGACAAATGCACTTAAAGTACAGCGAATTCGCCATATAGTTTGGACTTGAGTAGACAATAACTGACCATTAATACTAATTTAATTAAACTGGAAAATATAAAAAACTTTATTTTCCCGACTAAAAAGTTTCCTCTCCGTAATTTGTAATTGCTGCACCTTGAAATTAATTTTAAATAATTATTGTTTGAACTATTCCTTCTTATTTACCTCAATATCGTTGTATGTTGCTCCAAGTTCTTTTTTGCACTCCAAAAACGTTATCAGTTTTGTAAGATTCGCCTCATCATGGTCTTGTTTCAATGTATCGATAATCGTAGCAGAATCTGTGTGCGCCTCCGGAAAAATGGCCAATCTAGGAAATAATTTTGTTAGTAAAACCTTGCCGATCTTTTGTCCAAAAGCTTACCTCTTTATTTCTGCTTCTATTGTGCTTTTAATGACCTTGTCATAAATTGCTCCGTGCACGTTTTCTTTATTTAAAGTCACAGTTATCTTTAAAAAATAAAATAAAATAAAATAATTTATTTTAATGGATAAATAAATTAAATACCCACTTTGCAAGGTTTTAAAACAAAATAATCATGAGCATGCTGTAAACCTTTATCCAAATACTCGGAAGGTTCATCCCTCATCATGTACAAGGCCAATCTCGAGGCAGTATTTGCCACACCAGATTTATTAGATAAATTAAATTCTTCGCCAAAATTACTACTAAAATCAATTAATTGTTAAAAAAAAAAAGAATATTTAATAAAAATTAAATAAAAAATATACTTACGGTTCTTTCTCTCGTGAGCTTGTTTCACTGGTTTGTGATGTTTTCCGACATGTCTGTATGTCTTCTTCTTCTTCATCTTCATCAGTCTGAGTCTCAGTTTTGTCTAGTTTTTTATTCGACGATGAAACAACCGAAAGCATTTCTTTGAACCTCTGAAAATAATTTATTTTCATATATATGTTTTAAATAAGTAAATTTTGTTTTATACCTTCATGATCAGGTTGTAACTTTCCTCAGTTTCAGACAGCCTTGGATCGAGTACGATTAAATGTTCAGGAAAAGTGACTCCCATTTCAACCTGTGAATTTTTTAAATTACAACTCATAATTAAAAGAGGAAGTGAAATTTAGAAAATTATTTATCAATTACTAACAAAACCCGCTGAATAAAGTTCGACCATGCTTGCACACTCTCCTCCGTTTGTGACGTTAAGCTCCACATCCGTTATTATATTTGAACCGGGCTGTTCCAAATCGAGAATACTCGTGAGGCAGTTGTGCGCTTCAGAGTAAATCTGGTATTGGTACCTTGTTTGCAATATGTTCACGTACCTGTGGGAAATTTATGAAAAATCAACTCGGCAATATTATAAAAACAGGCTTTTACGTTATTGAGAGCTGGTACGGCGATGAAGACAGAGGGAGACAACCAGTATGAGCCGATCGCCATTTCTTGTGTCTCTTCCGGCAAGAAACGATAGACATCGTCCTACACTTAGTCATAACAGACCTTAGAAGCTTATCTGGGTATTGTTGGTAGATGAAAAACAGCTGGTACGAATATGACGTCTTGTCCGTTGTACAACACAGTGAGCTCTAAACATTTTAAACTCGAGATATTGAAATTATAATATGGATGGTTTATTTATTTTTTAAAATTTTTAGTTCTTTTTTTAAGATGGTTAAAGAAATTTTAAAATCTACACTGTTTTGACATCTTGTTCCAATTTCAAGTAATTTATTTCTGGAATTTTTTTTTTGAAAATGGCACGGAATGCCAAAACGCCGTAGATTTGAAAATTTCTTCAATATCTTAAAAAATGGCCAATAGATACAGAACGTTTGGACGATTTGAAAATTTCTTCAATCACATTAAAAAAAAAGGCCTATAAATAAAAAAATAAATAAATAAACCACTCATAAAAAAAGAACAAAAACAGAAAAAATATTTTAGTCATATTTACGTGTATGATTGTGTTGACTACGGAGCAAAGTATGTCGACTGTATTCTGAACTTCGTTAAATGTTCCATACCTCATGTTTAGGTTTTTGGGTACGACCGTTTTATACGCTTTTCTAAAATCAGGCATTAACATAAAATACCTCATTTTTTGACTAGTTTTAACTAATTTATTTATTTAAATAGGGATATATTCACTTGAATTCTTCCAGCGTATCAGGAATTGAAATGTTGTCCAGCGATATGTTATCCTTGTTTGTGATAGTCTTTAACTTGCCGAGCAATTTGTACACCAAACTTGTGAATATTTTGTCAAACTCTTTTTGATATCCTTTTGGCCCCTCGCCTTTGGCTTTTATGAGCGCATCGAGTTTTTCGACAGAGCTCTAAAATTATTACGCATATTTGTATTATATTGTTTGACTATTCGACTGTATAATTTTCAAATTAGACGAATTTTTCTCAATACTCACGCTAAACTTATCGTTAATTTCTGGATCCTGTTTTATTTCTTCTAAACACATGTACACACTGTGTGATGTTGAAGGATTGCGCATCATGTAGTGCATCCTCCTCTGGCAAGCTCTGGATGTTTTGTTTTTAGAAATTTCCTTTAAAAAAAAAAAAAAAAAATGTAGTTTCAATTTGATTTTTTAAAGCGATATTTTGTTAATCTTACCGGGTAAGTTGTGTGGAGAATTTCTCTTATGACGAAGAAATTTTTAGCTATGTGTCGTTTGTTGTTTGTTGTCATGTAAAGCGATGCAACCTTACAAATCAACAGTAGATTGTCCTCAGCAGACATCCAGTCGACTCTTAACTTCACCATTCTTCTCAATGCCTCTTTATCCACTTGGTCGTAATACGGCCTCCTGCCGAATCTGGTGCTTTTCGGTTTGACTATGCGCGTTATTTTTCTGTGTTTGGCTCTCTTTTTCAACTTATACTTGGACTTTTGATCGACTTTTGATACCTGGGCGCCTTCTGCGTTACTAACCGGTGAGACATTTTCACTATTATTAACTCCACTAGTACTGGTAGGTTCGTTATCATTCTTCTTAGACTTGCTTTTCTCTTTATCTGACGATTTTTTCGGTATGCATGCTTTAGTTGCTTTCTTCCCAACATTCTTTTTCTGAACCTAGCAAAAAATAATATTTGAAATGTCAATCAATCTTATATATTGCTTATAAGCTCAATGGACCCTCATTACAGTTCTTAAGACTAATTTTTGAAACTAGTGGCCTTTATATGACCCCTCTATATGGAGCCAAGGATTGGCAGTGCAATTAAATAAAATGCATCCAAATCAGACATATCACATGACCCAGTCGTGTCAACCTCGCCTATTCTTAATCGGGTGGAGATGATCTATGATTCAGTTCTTCCGGGATCACCCATCGACCGTACCATTGAAATATGAGAGCTTATATGCCGTTACAAATCACCGTATGCACTAAAGTAATTGAGTGGGTACTCCACCGTTGACCCTCCCACAATATACATTCAAGCAAATAAAAACTTCCTGTCTTATAAGGAGACTTCTATCATTATTATCCGATGATTTCTCTCATGACTGTCTTTTGTTTTCTAATGAAGGGGGTAACAAGCTGTAGTAAATATAAATAAGACGTTAATCTTTTTTTTTTGTAACGTTTTGGTTGAAAAAAAATAGTGTCACGAGGGGATTCGAATCTATGACATTCAGATAAATACGCCACTGCTCTCTCACTTGAGCTATCGTGACTACGATAGTTCGATCCACTTGGACACCAACTCCCCATCTCAACCTACAACCTTTCGAATTTTCTCTCTTTTTGCCATTTTTTGGTGTCCGAAGTCACGATAGTTCAAGTGGTAGAGCAGCGGCGTATTTATCCAAAGGCCATGGATTCAGATCTCGCTCGTGGCACAAGCTTTTTCATTTCAACCAAAACCTTACAAAAAAGATTAATTAATTGAAAGAATTTGGTCAATAGAACACTAAATATAATGAATAAATAAGACGTTTCATCCATCCTTAAATAGTTCTTCCAATCAGCGGGTTCAAGGGAAAGATCTTTCATCAAATTAATGTGTGTATTACAGCTTCTGTTCAGGAGTCACTTCTTACACCATTTCCTCTTCTGTTTTTTTGCTTTTAATATATAAACAAACAGCAGCGTGGCACAAGAGATAGTCATCCATTTTGAGAAGGTAATTCACTAGATGACGTTTGGAGCGACTGGCTGTGGAGCGGTCGTGAATGCCCCCTCAAATTTCAGGAACTCCAAATGGAGCTGTACGGCTTGGCACGGTTCCATTTGGCGCGATCATGAATGGCCACCTTTAAACACTGTTCTTACAAACTTGGTCTAAATTCTAGTTGGATATCGTATAAAAAAAATGTACTGAACATTAGTTCATTAGAAGATGGTAGATCATCAATTGATATTGTTTTTCTTGCAACACTTTTAAGGATTATGATTAGTCATCCTGAATTGTTGGAGAAGATATCCTTTAATGTACCAGATAAGAGGACCAGATTCACTCCTCTGTTCTTTATACCATTATGTAAAACGAACTACATAAAAAATGCTCCCATTCCTACAATAATAACTAAAGTAGTGATCTGGACTTATTCTGTTCATCTCTGGTCAAAATTAAAGCTGTGTAATTCCATATAATTTGAGTATGTGTACTGTTGTAAAATTGGCTACTTGCCGTTGATGTAATAAATAAATAAATTAAAGAAAATAAACAAGTAAATAAAAGTGTTCTTTTCTTTTTTTTTTTTTTTTCGTATGTGTGGGTGTCTTGGAGTGACTTACCCCTTTCATATGAGGAGGATCTAGGATATTTTTAACAGTTGGATGACTTGGGTCAATTTTGCCTTCATTTGTCCAATACCAATTACGCTTCAAGTGACTATAAAAATTGGGATTATATATAAAAACAAATATACAATTAAAAAAAAAATTGTCTGAATCAGTAGCTTACACAAACATATCGCTGTCAAGACCACCCGCACCAAGTTTGTCGCCAGGGAGGTAGCCCATATCTAACTCAACTGCTTCTTCAATCTGTCTCGGACTTATTGCCTCCAAAAGCTGTAATTTTGTTGTTACATTTTCGATGACGACGGGTTGCCCTGTCATGCTTGTCCGACATCCTAGTATAATCATGTTATATAATTTTTTTTTTCCGTAAGGTTTTAATGGAAATAATGCCTCACCTAAATTTGTATGCATGGCGAAATTGCACAAATCGTACCAGTATTGTTCGACATCTTTGATCGTTTTAAAATTATAATTCATCTGTTCGTATTTCATAGAAGACGAAATGTGATTGTACCCAGATTCAGATGTTGTCGTGTCAAGAAGCACAGCGTGTTTGTTTAAATAAACAAACACCTAAAATTAATGCATAAAATGATCAAGTCAGACGATAGTCGGGGTTTTAAATTGTAAAACCGACCTGATCTTTCTCCTTTAATTTGTGTGGTCCCATTTGCAATAGGCCAATATAGCCAAGGCGTGAAACAATGTCGCTTATTGAAAATATATACCTATAAACAAATCACACTAATAAAATATATTTTGATCGTGATTTCAATGAGCACTTACTTCCGATTGACAGTCAACTGGTTAGCAATTTCATGCGGGAGGTGTTTGACCAAAAAGTATTTCCTTATTGGGTGGTTCAAATAATCCATTATGTTTGGAATGTCATATGGAACGTTGACTATAGCGAGGAAAAGTGTAAGCGGCAGTCGGACAAGAAGATCGCTTATGAGGCACCAACCCTTGCTGTACCCTTTACAAAAAACAAACAAAAAAGTATAATTTTAAATCATAACTACTTAAAAGTAAATTTTACCTTCATGAAATGGAAGAGGAGAAATGAACATTCTCCAGTCAATTGTCGTTCTGTACAGCGTTGACATTTCTTTGATAAAACTTTCATCTACTTTCGCTTCCGCCACAACTGACTTAAGCACGTCTTCGTCTGTGATGGGGTTTCCATCATAGCTGTAGAGCAAGTAGTGCATGTACATATGTAGAATTTTCATCCGAACAAATTTAGGTTTGAACCCGTATTTTCGCCCTGCTTTCTAAAGAAAAACCGACCAAATACACTGTTAAAAAAAGAAAAAATCCAGTTTTTTTAAATAAAAACAAATCAATTTACTTGGTTGTATGTTAAAGTTTCATATTTAGCCGCTTGGTTAGCTTTATCATTCTTATTTTTCATCAAGTCTTTCGTTATAATCGGCAGCTTCATTTTTGCTTGTTCAATGGCCGATTGGATTTCAGAATGGTCTGAAATATATTAATTTATTTTTTCGAGATATTTCTATTTTTTTTTTTTTTCGGTACCTTGATCGACTGAAGGATGACAGATGAATGTCATATGCTTCTCCCTCCCGTGGCCCTTTAGGGTCACCTTAATCGTTCGAATGTGCCCGTCCAGTTCTAATTTTTCAATCAATCTTTGTACAGTTTTTCTATCAACAGTGTACATAGAACCTTCTGAGTTTTCCTCCTCGTTGATCATCTAAAAAGCTTGGCATATAGACAAACTATCCGTTAAAAGTTTTATTTTTATAATTACCCTTTGTAATTTTTGAGGGTCATGGATCACTTTGTGCGTGTTAACGGCTTGCATGATTAAATTGGCCCTTTTTAGAATCCTAACTGTCAAGTTGTTCATCTTAGATGTAGAAGGGTCACCAGTTAATGATGGAAAATTTCTTTAAAAAAAAGAAAAAAAGAAGATTATCACGATAAGCAGAGAAATGTTTAAAAGTCATACTTGTCCGATGTTGGTTTGATGGTAGAAGCGACAATTTTAGTTTCTATAGCATCGATATCCTCCTGACTGGGCCTTGAAGTCGGCAACGGTTCTTTCAATATATTTTTAAAGAAAGAAGGCTGAAAAATAAAACGAATGAATAAAATATAATTATTCCGGCTAATTATTTATATTAATACCCCGTTTTCTTCGACGACTTTTAATTTTTTTTTAACCGGCTGTTTCCCTTTTGCTGCCCTTTTGTTTTTCGTTTTACCGGTGTTAGTACCATCATCTTCATCTTGTGGAGTCACCATTTCCATCAATTTACTCTTCTCTGCCATCATCACATTTTTCATCATGTATTTAGATGAATCAAACTTTTTACTATAAAAGCTACAAAAAAAAATTAATTAAATTAAAATATGCAAGGATAAAATTTTTAAAGAAACCTACTGGTTTATACGTTGTCGGCCTAAATCAATCATAGCAGTGCCGCAAATGTTGCGTTTTAAAAGATATTTACAAAGGCATCGGGCTTGCAGTGAAGGGGCTGCTAGCAATGATCCAATAGAAACTTGCGTCAATCCTCGAGGGCCGGCTTGTTCCACAAAGGAATAACACTGCCTGATCATCGAGCGGTCCAATCTTCTAAAACTCGTATCAAGCAAACCTAAAAATAATAAATCATTGTTTTAAAAAATACCAAGTTTTAATTTTCATTATGTAAACTGGTCTTAATACAAGTTAGATTAAATAGTAAAGCTGTGATTTTTAATAAAAAACAATAGTTTATAAGGAATTTGGTACTTGTTTATGCTAGGGTGTACATCTGATGAACCGCAGGAAACAAAGGTATGTCTTTAAAATCTGGAGGGAGTAGAAATGCAACAATTGAATAACCTCAATAAATAACAAAAAATATGGGCTAAGGGAAAGTCTTCGTACAATGGTGACAGGGGTCATCCAGCTAGGGTCTACCATTGACAATTGGATCATTGTATTAATCAAATAGATGGCCATCAACCGTCATAGAAGGCCTTTGACCACCAGACCTCAAAAATTTGTTTTTCTTTCCCTCCACTCTATGGCAATACAAAAGGAAAGGATTGGAAAATCAAACGAGTAAAGACCAGGAGTTGAGTCATGAGTCTGCTGACAAAGAGCGTCCGGAGACAAGGAGGGTCCAAAAACCAAAGAAAAGGAGAGTCCAAAAACCCAGAGCAAAGGAGAGAGAGTGAAAAACATAGAGGAGAGAGATCAAAACCCAGAGAAAAGGAGAGACCGAAAACCAGAGAAAAGGAGGAGGAAGTGGGAATGGGAGGAGGGAGGGAGAGCAAAAAGCAGAGAAAAGGAGGAGGGAGTGGGAGAGGGAGGGAGAGAGAGCAAGAGAGAGAGGGAGGGATGGGGAGAGAGTGAGAGGGGGGAGCAAAAAGTAGAGAAAAGGAGGAGGGAGTGGGAGGGAGAGAAGGAGTGAGGAGAGGGATAGAGAGAGAGTGAGAGGGAAAGAGAGCGAAAAGGAGAGTACAACATCTAGAAACAAGGAGAGTCTGAAAACCCAGAGAAAAGGAGAGACCAAAAACCAAAGAAAAGGAGGAGGGAGTGGGAGTGGGAGGGTTGGGGAGAGAGTGAGAGGGGGGAGCAAAAAGTAGAGAAAAGGAGGAGGGAGCGGGAGGGAGAGAGGGAGTGAGGAGAGGGATAGAGAGAGAGTGAGAGGGAAAGAGAGCAAAAAGGAGAGTACAACATCTAGAAACAAGGAGAGTCTGAAAACCCAGAGAACAGGAGAGACCAAAAACCAAAGAAAAGAAGGAGGGAGTGGGAGTGGGAGGGATGGGGAGAGAGTGAGAGGGGGGAGCAAAAAGCAGAGAAAAGGAGGAGGGAGTGGGAGTGGGAGAGAGAGGAGGGAAAGAGAGCACAAAGAAGAGTCCAAAAACCCAGAGCAAAGGAGAGAGAGTGAAAAACATAGAGCAGAGAGACCAAAAACCAGAGAAAAGGAGGAGGGAGTGGGAATGGGAGGAGGGAGGGAGAGCAAAAAGCAAAGAAAAGGAGGTGGGAGTGGGAGAGGGAGGGAGAGATAGCAAGAGAGAGAGGGAGGGATGGGGAGATAGTGAAAGAGGGGGGAGCAAAAAGCAGAGAAAATGAGGAGGGAGGGGGAGTGGGAGGGAGAGTGAGGGAGGGATGGGGAGAGAGTGAGAGGGGGGAGCAAAAAGCAGAGAAAAGGAGGAGGGAGTGGGAGTGGGGGAGAGAGAGGGGGGAAAGAGAGCACAAAGGAGAGTCCAAAAACCCAGAGAAAAGGAGAGACCAAAAACCAGAGAAAAGTAGAGACAAAAACCAAGGAGGACCAAAAACCAGAGACAAGAAGGGACCAAAAACCAGAGAAAAAGAGAGACGAAAAACAGAGAAAAGGAGAAACTAAAAGCAAGAGACAAGAAGAGACTAAAAACCAGAGAAAAGGAGGGTTCAAAACCAGAAAAAAGGGGTCTATGAGTATGCATGACCTACAAATGGGTCGAATGTACGCATATGCATGTAGTGTAGATGTTTTCTCAGGTGTCAAAGACCAGAATATAGCCTCTTGAGTTTTCCTTGTCTAACTGTAACAATGTTTTCATGAGGGTTTTGTAATCATAAGTTGACTATGTGTGCATATCTGGCATCGATTCACTTTTCTTTTCTTTTTTTTTACTATACAAAAAGTAGACATGTGCGTACCTCATATTCTTGTTTTGCTTAGAAATAGGGATATGGAGCAGTGTGGAGTTTACAATTCCTAAAAATAAATTTAAGTCAAATTTTTGTATTTATAAATGTTACCATTTTCATCATCATCTTCATCTTCCTCTTCACCATCGAAATTTTCGTTCGGGTTCATTAGTTTTAATATCCGTAATGATTTTTCAGCAACGCCCGATTTCATTTTCCACTCGTACATCGGCGCTTTCGGATAAATCGTCCTGTACGACACCAATTTGCTTTGAAACACTTTCGGATACTTTTGCAAAATTTTCTTTATGTCAAGCTTGGCGTCGAAGTGTTGCAACATGGTTTTATACAAGGCGAAATTTCCCGGCTGTTGCTTCAAGTATTCAAAAAGTTTTTCAACGTCTGATTTCTGCTTCGACTTCACTTTAGAAGAAAATTTAGGAATGTGGAGTAAAGATCCTGTACAATTATGTTTACCAAGTTTCAAATGGAAAACCTAAAAAAACAAATTTTTATTCATAAAATATGCTTTAGTTTGGTCAGTTTTTTTAAATCACACAGGAAAAAAAATATTCACCTGCTTTGTTATTAATTTATGCTTATAGAGAAACTTTCTATAATAAAAAAGCATTTTGGGATCTTCAGTTATAACCTGAAGTCCATATTTTCCCTGGGTGATTTCACCCGAATATCTCGATCTGCCGATTCTCTCTAAAACGCAGTATTGAAGATCCGTGAGTTCCACGAGTGGATTTAATTCTGGAATCGACAGAACTTGTTTTCTTGTGCACTGATCAGCTACAATAACTAATTTTTCTCCCCAACTTAAAAAAATAAATAACAGCTTTAAAACAATTCTATAACATGTCACAATGAGAATGATATTAATTACTTTGCGATCACTTCCGAATAAGACATTTTACGAACGGAAGATGTAATGTCGATCCTTTCATGAAAAGTACTGCAAGACCCTTTGATGCCGTTGTATATAACTGGCTTATGTGGATACGGACATGGAGGTATATTTTCCTAAAATTACAAAATAAATTAGGCAATGATTAAATAAAAAACAAAAAATCAATCATTTAGACGAGCATATTTTGATGTCCAATAAATACAAAACATAATTAGTCTTACAATCAAAAACAAATTTATAACGAGGAACCGCTCATGTCAACTATGGAAATATTTGAAGAATGATGAATGTGAAACATTCAACAAACTTTAGGTTAAAACTGATCTAAAACTATTTACCACTTTTCCTTTGACTTGTAAAAAAAAAATTGAAGTTTATTACTTGTTGAATCAATTCTAATTTTGAGAGGAAAAATGAAAGGAAAAGAGAAACCTTTCTCCTTTAATGATTCTTTTTTTTTTTTTTTTTTTTTTTTTAACGAGGGTATTTCAACTACAAAGTTATTTGAACCCTTGGGGTGCTGGTGTTTTTGAAAAAAAGCCCATTTGAAAGTATATCGGGTTCGAATGGAGGGCCACTGGATTCGAACCTGGGACCTTTACCTTACAGTGATGAGCGCCTAAACGCCTAAACCACTGCGGCCACCGATGTCCCTAAAGATTTGTATTTTTGTCTGAAGGTGGTACATGTAGGATCTGCTGTAGTCTGTGGAAATGCCGTCAGACATCCTTTTCAACTCTGATCACACCAAAGAACAACTTAAATCCAAACGACCATGATATTCTTATAAAATTAAAGAAATATCAAGTCATACAAATGGATTCGTGGCCAGGCTGGCATAATTGAGAAGGAAACAGCGTACAGAATCGCAAGAGCCTCAACCGGTACTCTTCGAGTTCGAGCCTTCAGTGACTCCGCCATCACTTTATCCAGCTCTGGAAGGCCTAGAGGCATGAATGAGGACGCTTAGAAAACAAGCGCCTTGATTAAAAAACAAAATTCAACAGACCTTCCCAAAAAGAAGAAACGTATAAACCCTCTAAGCTGGATAGTTTCATCCTCAAAAGAACCTTTAACCCATATGTCCACATCTCCTATCACTGTATCCCACATCGTAATTGATTGTCCTTTAGGCTGCTCTCATACTGGATGCATAATTTTTGATCGTCCATATTCACTTAACATACAAAATTTCCCAACGTTGGTGATGTTCAACCAACTGACTGTGAGACTAAGTCCTGACATACAATTTGATCCCAACAACCCGGGATTTTCGACTACGGCTTTCTTCCAATGGCCGAGAAAATAACGTGCGTTCCTCTTCTACTACAGTGATATTTGTTAAATTTGAACCAGTGGTATAAAATATAACAGAATTTTAATTTTAGTAACAATTTTTCGTTTTTTTTCATAAATATATTCTCTCATAGACGAGAATTTATTTACAATTTAGGAGGAATCATATGCACCAGTTCACAGAAAAAAAGGCAAACTATTTTGGATCCATTTGCTTTATGCAACCCCAATATTTTGAACGAACTTGATAAACAAAATACACTAGCTTACTCAATTAATAATGGATCTAATAGTCATATTGGGGATGGAAATTTCATTGGCGACTCTTACATCCTGTCTGGTAAAAGTTAGACCTCTGTCCAGGATAAAGCCGAGGTATTTAATGCACTCCAACCAGGAAATACAGTTACCAGCTACTATGACATGTCCAGTCACCACATGGTGAAGAGGTTGACTTTTTGTTTTAGATTAATTGATTTTAAGTTTACATTGCGAAAATAGGCGATTCTGTCAATATTCGAACTCACCCAGTCTCTTGATTGGCCTCCACGATGCTATGAACCATGCTAAGTCGTTAGCGTAGAGGTCCATTCTGTACTTCTTGATTCTTGGTTATGCGACACACAAACATTTCTGTTTTTTTAGTTACAAATAATATTTATTTTATATATAGCCAGAGAGTGCCAAAAGCCTTTTTGAGATAGGACAAAGCCATCTCAGTGTGCATCTTATTATTAAAACCCTCTGTTATGCTACTACGCTTGTAAGCTGACCCTGTGTTGCTAAGTGCACGTTGGAATCCAAATTGTTCCTTTTTTTTATAATATGAGCTTCCATGCACTAGTAGCAAATGTTGAAATATTTTGCTGATTTGTAAGCAGTCAGCAGAGGATCTGCAAGACCATACATAGGCCCCGAACCTATTCTTGGGATAACAAGACCAACTATAGAATCTTCCATCGCAGAATGGATCCAAGCAAAACAAAAGGAGAAGTGGATAAACTCTAGCGGTGCTAGACATAGTAAACTTATGATGAAACAACCCTCACCGAGACTGGCAAAAGCACTGCTGCAATTGGAGATGGCCAAACTCAGAGGTAGGACTACTAACCTGTCACTGGCATCTGAGAAAACATCTACACAACATGAGTATATAAAGCGATGGTCGCATTTGCAGATTATGTAAAGAGGAGGAGGAAACAGCCACTCATATCATCTTCGAATGCGAAGCAACAGCTCAATGGAGGTTTAATCTAACCTACGTAAAAAAAACTTAGGGAATCAAATTGCAGCAGCAACAGTCAATGACCTGATACTTCTAAGAAGAAGGATTGAGTCTATTGACTGAACTAAGGAACTAGGAAAGTACAGCCAGAAGGCTGCAGTGCCTGGGGAGTACAAACCCCGATTCCTAGTATCCTTTTCTACCATACCATACTAAGCAGACAGCATGTAACTTGATAGTGTGCCAAGACCTGCAGGTTGGCTCTCTATGCAAACAACCTTGCTCCATTAACATCTTCTTGAAGGCCAAGCACAGTAACGAGAAGGCTCAGCACCGAAATTGGAAAAGTTGCTCGCTTCTGCCAAAGAAACTTAACATCAACTCTGCGCCAAAACAGAAGCCATGCTCTTCACCAAAAGAAGACCTGCAGTAATCGACCATGTCATGGCATCAGGAAATATCATTCAGTCCTTCTTTTGGAATATCTGTGCTTGACAATGGATAGCAGCCTGACATTCACCAAGCAGGAGATAGAATAGACCGCGGAAAAACTGCTATGAGTCTGCTGTTTCCTCTACAATCGTGGGACTCCATGTTGAGTGCTTTTAACAAAAAGCTCTTTCAGCAGCATTGTTAAGCCCATGCTTCTGTACACTTGCCCTGCTTGGAGCATCACGCCAGACAAACCTCAACATGTTACAAGTGATCCAAAATAAGTTTTTGAGGTTTGTCATCCCCTGCCCAAGATGGACTGAGCGCCTCCACGAGATGAGCAAAATGAAGACCATTCCCATGGAGGTGAAATGAAGAACGCTCTTCAGCAGATGTGCTGCCAGCAGGAATGCCCAATACAGAATAATAGAAGCCTACGACCTTAATAAGCTCTTGAAAATTTACTTATTAAGTTACTTGGGCCCTAAAAATCTATTTTGTGTTTTGATAGTGTGCCATGTGGGTTTTCCTGTTTTTTGTTAAATATGATTTTTGATGTCTTTCAACGGTTTGTAAAGTCAAGAATGACTATTGAAAATGTGAGTTAGTAGTATTACAGCCTTATGCGGAAGGAAAGTCTGCCCAGAGGCTTTTTGTTTCTTCTTGTTTTTTGTGATCCTGCCCACTTCACCTGGTGATAAAGAAGATAATCTGCTTAGACAACAGTATTCTTGATGTACTGGGAAGTTGAGCCAAAGCCATTTGTTGAAACAGACTTTGACATCAAAGTATCTCTAGTGAGCTTGGAGAGGGTGTCAATGGTAACTAGACCTCTCCTCAACAAAGCCCTGCCCACGCTTTAAATTTTAAAAGGATCAGTTACGAGAGATCCATGGGGTTCCTGCGTGGGGCGACTTCTAAAGATGATCATCGGAGCCCTTGCATTAATGCAGAGGCGGTATAAACTTAAAGTTTATTAATGATCAATAAGGAAAATTACAAGATACATAATGATAACCCTCTTTGAACCCAAAATTGATTTACAAGTTGTTAAAAGTAAAATATATTTTTTCAACTACTAATAAATTGAACAACAATTTTATAAAATCCTTGTATTCATTGTCTATGTAATTGTGACACTGTAATTCTGAGGATCAACCATCATCCTGGTCTGCCTGTTCTAGTTTTGTATGTCTGATGTGTTTGCCTTTAATCATATTTCTTCTTCAGTGGTAGGTCGTGTGTATTTTGTACCACATCCCTAAGTCGCCATTACAAAATTAACTCAAATCAACCACTAAAGATGGTGAAAAACTTCATCAGTGAGACAAAGAGAACAAGCAGGCCAGGACAATCAGAAACAATTCATAAGTTAATATGCAATATACCGGTTCGTAATAATTTCCTGCAGAGTCTACATGGTCCAATCTGTGGAAGATGACCAAAGGGCTCCTAGGAACTGGCAGTTCGTAGAACTCGACATTGGCCAGCCTGCGGATAAAGTTCCACAGATAGACTTTGGTGCAATCTTCAATCGGCTTGATCGGAAAACTAGACCGGTCATCAATACGAAGCCACAATGCTACAAAAAATAAATTAAATAAAAGATAGTTTATTAGTAATTCAATTTGTATAAGTAACAATACCTTCGATGGTTATTCCATCGAGCCCTTCGAGCGCAATCTCTTCGAGGAGTGCTGCTACAAAATTTTGATCATTCATCGTGCTTTACGGTTTTCTAGTTCTGAAGTGATGATCCTTGTGACATTTCAATAAGTCTAAACTTATTTATTTCACCGTGGGGCACATTTTTTATACATTCACAGTATGGAAAAGTTCAAAAGCATAGGGGTAAGTATATTGTTCATGTTCGAACACTTTTGTGCTTTCCTTTCTATATTCAAATTTACTGACACGCAATGTTTGTATGTTTAAGACAAAACCTACACATTTGCTATCTTGTTGTGTTGATCAACCATCAAAAGAACTACCTGCAGGCTGCAACATCAACTAAGCCGTCCCTTACTCCCTTCTCTTTTCTCTTTTTCCACTTCATCATAAACAGGAATAACAATATTTACTTATCTTTAAATAAAGGAATATTATCCTTTCAGACAAATATTTATTTGAATAAACAACCGATGAACGTATTTCATTGATTTAGAACCTATAAACAAACACTTTGAGACATAACAAAAGCGGGAAAGTAATCAAATTTAAATGCGCCCGTACGTGAATATTAGTGTTTTATCAAACATTGTGAACATTAAAAAACAATGTTTCCATAATTTCCCATTACATAAATGAATATTATTGTTTTATCAATATAAACATCAAAAAAGATGTTACTTAGTTTAGGTTTAAATAAATGATTATTATTGTTTTACCAACATTACAAACATTACAACAACAATATTTTCAGAGTTTTAGATTAGATAAATGAAAAGTATTTTTTTAATAACATTGTAAACATTAAAAAACAATGTTTCCATAAAATAATGGAATGAAATAATTGGAAAAATGTTTCCATAATTAGATAAATTAATATTATTGTTTTACCAACACTACAAACATCAGAAAATAATGTTTCCATAGTTTTGGAATAAATAAATGTATATTATTGTTTAACCAACATTACAAACATTAAAAAACAATGTGTTCCATATTTTTTGATGAGATAAATTAATAATTGTTTTACTAGCAGTGTAAACATTAAAAAACAATATTTCCATAGTTTTGGATTGGGTAAAGGAATATTATTGTTTTTCTAGCATTGTAAACATTAACAAACTTGTTGAATATTATTGTTTTACCAACATTAAAAAACAATATTTTTTAATGTTTACAATGCTGGTGAAACATTGTGAAACAAAAATATTTTCATATATTATTGTTTCTACAATATTACAAACATTAAAAATCAATGTTTCAATATATTTAGATTGGATAAATAAATATTATTGTTTCTACAATATTACAAACATTAAAAAAACAATTTTTCAATAGTTTTAGATTAGAGAAATGTATATTATTTTTGCACCAACATTACAAACATTAAATAACAATGTTTCAATATTTTTAGACTAGAAAAATAACTATTATTTTTGTACCAACATTACAAACATTAAAAAAAACAATATTTCCAAGTTTTGGATTAGGTAACTGAATATTATTGGTTTTCCAATATTAGAAACATTAAAAAAAATGTTTCAATAGTTTTAGATTAGAGAGATGAATATTATTTTTGTACTAACATTACAAACATAAAAAGCAATGTTTTGATATTTTTAGATTAGAGAAATAAATATTATTGGTTTTCCAATATTAGAAACATTAAAAAAATGTTTCAATAGTTTTAGATTAGAGAGATGAATATTATTTTTGTACTAACATTACAAACATAAAAAGCAATGTTTTGATATTTTTAGATTAGAGAAATAAATATTATTGGTTTTCCAATATTAGAAACATTAAAAAAATGTTTCAATAGTTTTAGATTAGAGAGATGAATATTATTTTTGTACTAACATTACAAACATAAAAAGCAATGTTTTGATATTTTTAGATTAGAGAAATAAATATTATTGGTTTTCCAATATTAGAAACATTAAAAAAATGTTTCAATAGTTTTAGATTAGAGAGATGAATATTATTTTTGTACTAACATTACAAACATAAAAAGCAATGTTTTGATATTTTTAGATTAGAGAAATAAATATTATTGGTTTTCCAATATTAGAAACATTAAAAAAATGTTTCAATAGTTTTAGATTAGAGAAATGAATATTATTTTTGTACCAACATTACAAACATTAAAAAAACAATATTTCCAAGTTTTGGATTAGGTAAATGAATATTACTGGTTTTCCAATATTACAAACATTAAAAAGCAATGATTCCATAGTTTTGGATTAGGTAAATGAATACTATTGGTTTTCCAATATTACAAACATTTAAAGAAACAACAACAATATTTCAATAGTTTTAGATTAGAGAAATAAATATTATTTTTGTACAAACATTACAAACATTAAAAATCAATGTTTCAATATTTTTAGATTAGATAAATGAATATTATTGTTTTACCAACATTACAAACATTAAAAAACATGTTTTGATAGTTTTAGATTAGATAATTGAATAATATTGTTTTGCCAACATCAGAAACATGACAAAACAATGTTTTCATAGTTTGGATTATATAAATGAATTGGTGAGTGATGTGGCAAGATTGTAGGGTTGAGATCACATTTAAAAAGAAATCACCTTACCACAATTTTTGTCGGTTTTGCAAATTACTTATTTATAAACATTAATAATTTATATTATCGAGTTAAAAGTTGATAAAGATTATTTAGATATTTTTTTCAGCTTAATTCTTTATTTTATCTGATTCTGGTGTCGCTGAAGCAAGCTCATTTTCCTTTCCTCTGCTGTTAGCAATTTTTATTACTTATCTTCAATGTCCCCATTTTTGAATTCTTTAGGTTTATTTTTTAATAAAATCTTCTAAACTTCTCGATTTGTTCATATTCTATTTCTTTTTTATTTACTTTTCAATCTTTTTTATTTCGCCTTCATTCAATCTCTCTCAAATATTTTTATTCCTTGCCTATTATTTTTTTTTTGTTCTTATATATAATTGTCTGCTCAGTTGAGTAAATTTATGATATAGTCAACTTTTTATGGATAGGAAAAATTCTGTGTAATGATTTTACATAAGTAGGTAAAATCATTTTATAATTTTTGAAAAATTAAAAATTTTTTTTTTAACGGTGTGAAGTTAGTGGTGTAAGGGAGAGTGAAAGGGGTTGTGAAAGGGGATGAACGATGAGCGATGAGCGGCGATCGGCGATCGCGTGGTGGGAGTGAGATCGATTTGATTGGGCCCGGGACCGCGCGGGGCGCCGCCTGCTCACGTTCAGCGATTCCCGCGCCCGTCGCACAAACCCTCGCCACCGACTCGACGTACGTCGCCATTCGCCATTGTCGATCCGGAATCTGACGTGAACGAGCACCGCGCTTGAGCCAGCCGACAGCCGTACGAGCCTCCGCAGACGTCCGAGAGATCCGCCGCCTCCGCCAGACGAGACATCGCCGACCCCTCTCAATTATCGTCCCGTCTACACCGTAAAACATGGAGAAAAGGATCGAATTGGAAAAACGGGGAAGAAAACCGGACCAAGTGAGTTTTGTTGTCTTGTTATTTTTCTTCTCACCTTTATAAATTTGTCATTTTTTTCTTTTCTTTTTAAAGTAGTATTTTTTTTTTAATATCCTTTTTTTTGATTATTTAAAAAAAAATCCTTATCTGAATCAACGTGCGGAGAAAGCGCGTTTTATTTATAACCAAAGGAGTTTCTTCCTGACCAATCTTTATTAAATAGTAAGTATTTATTATTGTTCTGTTCTTATTTTTTTAAACCTTAATTTAGGGCGAGTTTTCCACGCCGTATCGCGGATTGCACAAGGGCCGATCTATTTTTCCTTTCCCTACTGAAACAAAAACGTTAACGCGCAATTTATCAGAATACGGTTCCTATTAAAATCCAAACAGTTTTGGACGTTAATAAGTTGTTTATTGGCCCTCGTGTGGCGTTTTGGACGTTTGCCGTCTTTGCCGGGCGGCAGAGGACGTGGGTCGGTTTGTTTACGGCGGCCGCTTCGCCGGGACGTCTGAAGCGGTGGACACGCCGCACGGCCACGATCCGAATCATTTTCAAACAATCCAGCCATAAAATCTATTAAATAAATTAATAAAAAAAAATCGTTATTAATTCTATTAAAAAAATCTAAAATAAAATCTTAGGGTTACGCCATCCTCCCACCATTTAATTTGAAATTTGGGGTTCGCTTAAAATGGATACGTGACATTTTCCAGGCGCTAATTTGTTCTAATGGTCGGCCCTTAATCAAACCTCGTGGTGACCAATAATTTCCGTTTAAAAAAAGAAGAAAAAAATCAATATTCTAAAAACATATATTAAAAAATTCATTTTACCCAATTTAAAAAAAAGACGTTTTTTAAATTCGAAATTCTATTACTACTATTTTTTTTTTTCAAAATACAATTTTTTCGGGGTTAAATCGTTCAACCCTTTTTTGAGGGGGTTTGTCTCGAGTTTCGTAGCGAGGCCGAAATGCGCCATCTTTGCCGTTTGGTCGATTTCGATTCGTCTGCGCACTTGCGCGGATCAACTTCAATCTTCTCGCTTCGCCTCGCCCCTCTGAAAATCAGCCGGCTTAACTGGACTTGGACTTAGCCGGGGAGGATACGCTTGATTTGAATTGAAAAGTCGGCCGTGAAAGAGTGAAGAAAAAAAAGATATAAACTCGATCAAAATCATAAGCAACGTTTTCGCCGCGTGCCATCTTTGCCGTAGGGCCGCTTCGTTGTTTCCCCGTTTTTTTCAAACTTTCTAATTATTTTTATCGTCGAACCAGAACACAACCAGAACTAGTTGATTTAAAAAAATTTTTTTTTTTTCTACTGTTAAATTTTTTACATACAGAATTTTACCTAGATTAAACAGGCTTGTTTACTTTCCCCATTAGGGTGCCCCTTCACCCTATTCCGCGTCCATGCCTTTCTAAAATAAATCTTAGATCTTACTATACTTTACATTTTTTTTTTTAATGATTTTTCAATCAGTCTACTGGTCCTCTCAATATACTTGTTAATTTTTTCTTTTTGTATCTATGATATTCTGTTTCTTTCTCTTCTTTTTTTGGTTCTTTTTCTGATTTCCCTCTTTTTTTTTAAGGAACTTCAACGAGTTGTTTTTATTAATTAATATTTTTAAGAGTTTTTAAGTGCAATGAGTCATATTTTTCCCTAACCATCCCTAACCATATTTTTCAACATTTTGGGGAAATATGTAGAACTTTTTAAAAAGTTCTTATTTTTATTAACCTTGTAGGATACAAAACCGCATTTAAAAAAAAAAAATAAAAAATAAATGGTTTAAAACTTATTGGAATCACAATAAAGTACAGTCTAGCAAGGAAAAACTCGAAGATTTTGGGAAATCTTTCTTTGTAAAAATTTAACTTCGAGTTTTTGATATTATCTACAAAACTACAAAGTTCTTTGTAAAGTGCAAATTAAATTCTTATAAAATTAAAATGAAAAAGGTAACTTCACAAAAATAGAACACAGTATCACAAGGAACAAAAATGACATACCTACTCCGAAAAATGGGAAGCAAAGAAGGAAGAAAAAATCTGTTTTTGGACATCACTGCACGAAAAATCAATGGTCTAAATAAACGACAAAATATGTCTGAGACATTCAGGTTCAAATCCATCATAACGCCGCTGAAAAATAAAAGGCCCAGAAAACTTCTTCAAGACGATCTGTGAGTCCAATGTAGCGCTGGTCAGGACTGTATTGAGGTTTTATTTGTCAATCTCGTCATTGGTATATTTTACAATGACATCAATCATGGCTTGGTTGATGAACAAGGAATACAATGGTTCCTTGTCTACAAGGTTCTGAGCATTTACTTTTGAACCAGGCAAATAGGTAATCATATTCTTTGAAGCTAATCTGACGTTTCTGGACGGTAAAAGATCGGTATCAGTCCAGAAGTTTCGCCATCTTTGCCTAACACAAAAGTTACTGTTTTGTTCTCTATCTTCGGAACCTACATTTGAAAAATTTTTTCAAAGTGGTCCTTTGAAAGCGCTTCGTCATCAGGAAGAACGTCGAAAGCGTCAGGTTTATCATTGTCGTTTGGCAACAAATCATTTTCATCTTCACTGTAAGTTACTTCTTCAGAAAAGTATTCCTCGTTTTCATTATCACTGATCTTCCTATTTCACGTTGAATTTCTTTGTCAGTTACAAAATGAGAACTATTTGCCATGGCTGAAACAATCCAGAAAGATTACAAAGAAAAGCATCGAGAAAACTAATTAAATTTATTGAAAATAAATTAAATTTGAACTAAAACTAAAAGAACATGTACAACGTGGGGTCATATTGACCCATACCATGACTTTTCTTACTTTATTCCAATATTACAAGGTCACTGAAAAGGGTTCCAGTGGCGTCCACGTCTACAAGAAGACTAGAAGGAAAGCTACTCAAAGCCTCAACCCCTTCCGATCGCTATACTCTGACACACGCACGTTTTGAAATTTTTGGGCCATTTTGACCCATTCGTTGTAGAACACAGATTAACAAAAAGCGAATTATACTCACCCCACCTTTACTCTTCCTAATTCTATATACTACTATGTATATTTTTTGGCTGGAAAGATGTTTATTAAAAAAAAGTATATGTATATATATTTTTTTTACAACTTATTTTATATTTAAAAAATGTAGCTAATGCATAATGCATTTTTAAGACCTAATTTCCTACCGGTCCTCGCATCAACATTCACAAATATACTATACACTACTATGTAGGTCGGGGGAAGATGTTTATTTTACATTAAAAAAAATAAATTTTTGTGCGGTATTTAGTGATGAGAATGAGATGCGGTGTAATGTAGGTTTAGAAATACATTTTCTTTATCGTGCCACCGTTGGGTGAGTACAAAAATACATTGATTAAACCTAAAAATTTTTATAATTGTACAAAAATTCATTTTCATATCTGACATGTATTTGTATAATTTAAACAATGTTTATAATTCCCAGCCCCTAAAGATGATTTCAACAAAAATTGGAACGTTCTAAATTGGTCGTTCTAAATAATTATTTATTTTTATTTACAAAAAGTAGCTAATGCATTTTTTGGACCTAATTTCCTTTCAGCCCCTCATCAACTTTTATATAAATCCACCATATATTACTATATGTAATTTTTTAGGCTAAGGATGGTGTTTATTTTATAAAACCGTTGTACTTATTTATTTTTAATCGTTGAAGTCGTGAGCAATCATTAATGATGTTAGAAAAACACCTTTTTCGTTTATTTGCCAATGTTTCGACCTTTATTTGGGTCATCTACGGGCCTGGGTGAATTTCAAAACATACGTTAATTGTAAAAAAATAATTATAGAAATGGTAGTAAATAATATAAATTTTGAACCAAATATTTCATATTCACATAAAGTGCCCCGCATACCACAACCGGTTGGTAAATAAATGTATATTTATTAAATTCACTAATTTCGTGGTCCGCTTGACCAATTAATATATTACAATTAATTAAGGTTTTTAGTTGAGATAAAAAAGTCAATGGCACGAGCGGGATTCGATTTGAAAAAATGGCAAAAAGGAGGGAAAATTCAAAAGGTGCGGTTGAGATGGGAAGTTGGTGTCCGAGTGGATCGAGGTCACGATAGCTCAAGTGGTAGAGCATGATGATCGTGGGTTCGAATCCCGCTCGTGCCATTGACTTTTTTATCTCAACTTAAAACCTTAATTAATTGTAATGTATATTTATTTTTGATTTTTTTAGAAAATTCATGTTTGGGCCTTATTTCTTTCTTTCCAGTCTTTTCTCAAAATTACGCAGTGTGAGTTTAACTTCAATTTGCTCACCTCCTAGGTATTAATTTATTTTTATTGGGATTTTTAGGAAAACCCGAGGATGTGTAAACTTTCATTTTTTTCTTGTCTCTCGTGAGCCAAAAAGTTTCAAGTTCCAAAAGGATAGTGGGATACAGATAGGGGTTTAACTATTTGCAATGTAAAGATACTCATCAATGTGCATTTTTTTGTTTTTATGCTGAATAACATTCATAAAAACTGTACGAACATTGTTTTTCTGATTCACAAAATCTTCTTCAACTTCTTTGATCGATTGCTCATGGTACCGAAGGAAAAACTGCAATAATTTCCTCAAATATCTTCGACTTATGAGATTCTGGATGTGGATGGATATGGATTATAATTGGAGAAACAAAATATTAAGTTTGAGAGGCTTTTGTCCATCTCATCATTATTTTTCTCATTTATAATTACTCTATCAGGCCGCATCTCACGATCTCCAAATAATCATTTGTAATACTCTTGAATTTGGATAAAATCAAGAGGAGTTAAGAATTTTTTAAGTGGAATTGAATGGGCATCGGAGAGAATGAATTTGCTGTGCCAAAACTGACAAAGATAAAGCACAGCTTTTGTTGACTACCTGTCTGAAGTCTTCACCGTTCACCTTCAGTCTTCAAAGCCCATTTCCTCATTCAGAAATTTAACATATTAAAAACTTGTAAAAATAGTTTAAAAGGCTTTTTAACTTTCTCCTTGGGGGGTACCCCTTCACTCTAAGCTCATGTCATTCTAAACCCTCTTACTTAAACATTTTTTTTTGTATTCGCTGTTATGTATAATTTTTATTGAGTTCACACCATTTTTGATTGAAATTGTCTTATTAATCAACACTTCTTGTCTGATTAATTGATTAGACTTTCTGTGTAAAAATAAAAATAAAATAAAAAATAAAAACAATTTTTAAAATATGTATGTTTCATTTAGAATAATAGACTTTTACGCTTTATTACACAACAAAGTTGTCGTTCTAGGATTTGCATAATTTTATTTTATTGTGGTATACTAATAATTATATACCATTGATAAAAAGTATGCAATATAAATTTTACAACAGACACCAGTATTTTTTATATATGGAAATAATGGTCGAAATTGTAAATACATTTTTTAAAATCTACAAACGAGTGCTTATGGAAGTTTATTTTAACGTATATAATTAATTTTTTTTTGTTCATGTTTTTAGATTTACGAGCTGAACTTGGATAATTGCCGAAGTCTGACGATTGAAGGTCTTACAGATGAATTCACAAATTTGAAATCGCTCAGTCTCATAAATGTGGGGCTGACTAGTCTCAAAGGTTTTCCAAAGTTACCAAACTTGCAGAAGGTGGGTTTTATTTATTTATATGTGCATGAAAAATACATTCGTACCGTAGAACATAAAATTGTAAATGTTAAAAATGTTAGTGGGGTTTTAATAAAATATTGATTTTCTAGTTGGAGTTGAGCGACAACCGTATTTCAAATGGTTTGAACCTTCTTCAGACGAGCCCTAAACTCATATATTTGAACCTGAGTGGAAACAAAATCACCGATCTTGAAACATTAGAACCACTCGTAAGTGGACTGTTTATTTTTATAATATAAATAAAATTTACAAAACATTTATCATAATTTATATAAAAAAGTAAATTTCCAATAAAGCCAATCAATTTATTTATTTTTTTTTTTTTCCCGGGGGCTTCCAACAGTAAAGTCATTTCAGCCCCCTCTCACTGCACTGTTGTGGCCGATGGGGTACTCAATATTCCGCCATCGGCCCTACAGTCTAAAAGATCACTCACTTACAACAAACAAATAAATAAATAAATTACTTATAAATAAATACACGACACAATAATAAAACACAACACAGATACACTTATTTACACAGATATTCACATATTCATATATTTTATACACTATTTACAAGTGAGGAAACACCCCCGTTTCTCTTAGAAAGCGGAATAGGGGATCCAACATTTGACTTGCTCGCCCGAGTACAATCAATTTATTAATATTATTTACATTTACAGAAAGAATTTGAACATCTAAAAAGTCTTGTGCTTTTCAATAATGATGTCACTACTATAGAAAATTACCGTGAACAGCTTTTCAAGCTTCTTCCTTGTCTTAAATATTTAGATGGGTAAGTGTATAGTTTTGTAATTTTTAAATTTTGATTTAAAGTGTTGTGAACTAATTTTTATCCTTGTATATATTAGTTTTGACGCTAGAGAACAGGAAGCTGAAGATAGTGAACAGGAGGGTAATTCCTTAAATGGGATCGAAGAAGACAGTGGTAAGCCAAAGAATTATCAGCTTGAAAACCATAATTTATTATTATTAACCCTATTTTTTTAGAAAGTGAAGAAGAAGAGGATGAAGATCTGGAAGAAGAAGAGGTCGATGAAGATCTAGAAGAAGAGGAACTCGGCTTGGAAGCCGTGTACAAGGATAACCTTGACGTAAGTTCGTTAAAACAAAAAACAAATGAACAAAAGATTCTAGTTTATTAATTTTTTAGGAAGAAAGTGAAGGAGATGATTACGATGGTGAAGGTTCAAAAGAAGAGGAAGATGAAGATATTGAAGAGGAAGAGAGCTTCCAGGTTGACCAAGACACCGAAGATGGTAAGTCCGTCTCAATTTAAGTGTGAATTTAAAAGTATAAAAATATATTTTAGTGAACTTTTTTGTAAACATTTGTTCTTTTTTTTCTTTTAATCTGGATGTTTTTGGACTGTGTGGTGGAACCCATTTTAACCGGACTAAAGCGGGATAACGTCAATTGTTTGGATAATCCATTGAGCCTGTTGGCATGTGGTAAAAGGTGGAAAGAACAATTTCCAATTAAAACTGAACGATCTTTGTATTTTACATAAAAACGTGTAGTACAGTATGCTGTAGCCAAAATGTAAACCAGAAAAAAAGAGCTTCATTAATTATTTCATGATTAGCTAGCTTCATTGTCTTGCAGTTCGGCTCTTTACAATTGTATTCTGAAGTTTAGATTTAAATTTTACCCGTTGTTGAAATCCCAACACCATAATTACCAGCCACATTTGGCAATATCACACCATTCTCGTACACCATTTTTTACTGAAATTGTTTTCGTTAATCCGAGTTCGGTTAAAAAGGGTTTTACTGTATAAAGAATTTTGTGTAACCATCTTCGTGTTAGTCAGGAGGAGGGCACACAGGTTAGGGGTTAGGGTTAGCTTAGGTTAGAATTAAGGGGAATGTTAGGGGGAGGGACAGATTAGGGTTTGAAATGGATTATAGGTTAGGGTTAGAGTTAAAGGTAGGGTTAGGAATAGTCTGGTTAGGGCTAGGCTTGAGTTTGTGCTAATGTTAGAGTTAGGGGTAGGTTAGGGTTCAAAATGGATTAGATTAGTTTTCAGTAGACTATTTACCATGCTGTATGTGTTAATTTACTTTGTTTTGTATACATTACTTTTTGTTAAGTAAACATGGTTATTATTTATTATTTAGTTTGTATGTATAGATTAGGTAGGGTTAGAGTTAAGGGGGTAATGTTAGGGGTAGGATTACTAATATGTTTGGTTAGGTAGAGTTAGGGCTTGAATTAGTGAGAATGTTAGAGCTAGGAATGGGTTTGAAATGAATTAGGGATTAGGGTAGGTAGGGTTAGAGTTAAATTTAAGGGTAACATTAAGATTAGGAATGGGTTAAGGTTAGGGATCAGGTTATGTTGATGAGTTAAGTTGAGAAATGGGTTAGGTTAAATATGATTACATTTAATATTGAGGATAATGTTTGTGTTAGGGTTGGGATCAGATTAAATTAGGTAGGGTTAGAGTTTGAAATGGATTAGGGATTAGGTTAGGTAGAGTTAGAGTTAAATTTAAGGGTAATGTTAGGATTAGGGATGGGTTAAGGTTAGGGATCAGGTTATGTTAATGAGTTATGGGTTAGGTTAAATATGATTAGATTTAATATTGAGGATGTTTGCGTTAGGGTTGGGAACAATTTAAATCAGGTAGGGTTAGGGTTTGTGTTTGGGGTTTTGTTAATATTAGGTTCAGGTCAAGGTTATAAGTGGGTTAAGTAAGGACCAATTAGGTTAGGTGTGGTTAGGGTTGGAGTTTGAGTTTGTGTTGTCAGGGTTAGGGTGAGTGAGGGGTTGAATTAGGGATTGGTTAGGTTACATATCCGTAATTCAATTTTTTTCTTTGAAACTGAAGTAAATATGCAAATACTTATGAGTTTTTTCAAGTTTTATGTTCATATTTGGATAGTATTTTACTACGTTTTTGGTGCTCGTTTTCTAATGGGAAATTTCTTAATAATTTTCAGATTCTACTCCAAGGGGAAAGAAAAGAAAGCATGAGGGTGAAGAGGAAGTAGATTAAGTATTCAAAAAGAGATATTCTTTAAAACATTATTCTATTAAAGGTAAAAATAAAGATTTTGCAGTAAAAAACCTGAAAAAGTAAAAAAAAAAAAATCATAAAATGCAAGTTCATACTTGGTAAAAAAATGCACAACTATTGGAAAGAAGAAAATGTTTTAAAGCATTTTTAAAAAATGAATATATTTTATTACACGCACAAAAAAAAAGAAAAGAAAAAAGAAGCAAAATATAAAAAAAAAGAGTTGATGTTTGCCCAGTCTGAATTTCAACCGAAATATTTCTTCCGAGTGGACACTAACGTTTTATTTTTTAAAATAAAAATATGTATGTTTATATTGTTTATTATTATTTTTTAAATAAATGGTGTTACTTTAGGAGTCATTATGTTTCAACTATTATTTCCGTTTGGGGTCGAGCTTCAACATTATTTTTAATTTTTTCTTAAAAGTTCGTCTAAACTCTGTGTAAGTAATTGGCACCTCAGATTCATCATACAGGTTAGTCGCTTCGGCATGATCGCAAACGACACTGGATTCAATATTGGCGAACTGGAATGGTTTTCTGCAGAGATGAAGACTCGATGAGCCTGCTGGGGACTAAAAACCCTGAGCATCCTGTTGCACTTCAGCGAATGCAACAGATCCCTCTGGTTTCCATAATCAATGGTGCATTTGAAATGGCCCTTACAAATCTTTGAGCTATTTGATTAGTTTCATCAGATGCGATATTGCTTTCCGTTCTGATGAATTAATTGCTGTATAGTCATTGCATTGCTGAAATTCTGCGGGAAGCCCTTTGCAAGCCCAATATTTCCGTTTCCTATCATTCAAAATTTCTTCATATGCAGTGGTCAGGTTACATCAAAAACTTAAATAATTCAAGTATTTTCTGAATCAATAATTTTTGCCTATAATTGTCTGACACCTCAAGAACTCTTTCATTTCACCTGTGTGTCATGCCCCAGGGGAAGTCGGGTTGTGTTGTTAGTCTTCAGGATAGTCGTATATCCTGTGAGGCCATCATCCACAGCTCTTAAGGATAATCTTAGTCTTAGCACCAGTTTTATGTGAAAATTCAAGTCAATCGTGGACCAGTTCTTGCCACGTCAATATATCAGCCATACTTCCTGCATAGCGTGACATCCCCTGAGTCGAGAGATACACCGAAATCTTGGTTGATACCATCCGTCTTTTTAGCAAACTGTCCCTCAACAGTAAACTTTCTCGAAAACACTTGCTGAAGTGAGTAACATCCTCAGTGATAGTGTTGGCGAGAAATGTAGCAATTTTTATTACATGATTACAAGGACTGTGGCAGGAGTTAGTTCAGGCGACTCTGATCTGCGTTGCCAGTAGTTGGGGTGTTCTCATCTGGTGCAAAGACAAGTTGAGTTTTGTAAGGTGTCAAGAGATTCAAGTAGCGAATGGTGGTAGTATTAATTACTAAAGGGGATGCCTCTGGCAAGTTAGGGACGAGGATTTCTCCATGCCACAACCAATCACCTCAAAGATGGTGACCAGGGGCATTACCCTTCTCTATGAATCTGCCAATTTATCCTTTGGCAGTTCGCTCGAAGACGACAAATGTGCAAGTAAGCTGTTTTCCACTAGACGATTGACGTGCAAGGCCACTATTTTTTTTTTTTCCGAATAAGTCATTTTCATTTGTTTAATTTACATTTTTTATCAAGTTATTCCTATTTTTTGCTGGTGTTCCTGCGGAACGTTTTGGTTGAACATGTTTTTGTTTTTTTATTATTTCCTCTTCAGTTGTGCAGTTTTATTAAACCAATAGTTGTGATAATTATCAGGTCGGTTTTAACAATACAACTTTTTTTGGCAGTAAATGATAATTATGTTTATTTAGGTTTTGTTAATTTTTTTAATTTAGAAAAAAAAGTGTATTTAAAAGAACTTGTTTTCCAATAAATTGTGACCAAAAAGAAAAAAAAAACTTAAATTATTTTTATACTGATTGTTTTTATTCAACTTTATATTTTGTAATGTGTATAGGACAGTGTAAAAATCAGGAAGAGTTAACAATACTTGATGAATTTAAGTGCCTAAATATTTAATTAAGGAATACAATAAAAGAAAATGTATTATGTATAAGAGATGACAAATTTCTAAAGCCCTGGCAAAAAAGCCTGTGATCTTGTCAAAAGTTGTAATTTGTCAAATCCGACTTTGATTAAAAGAATAATAAAAACTATAAAAATGGATTAAAATATAAGAACTTGAGATGATTTTATTACTGGAGTTATTTTTTTGAAATATGTATATTTTGTAAAAAAAAAAGAAAAGAAAAAGTAAATTTACAGAGACATGTATAAAAGTGTTTAATTTTGTCTTTTGTACAGGCTTTTATTCTAAATCGCTTGGCACACGTCATATTTGCCAAACTAAAACTGCATGATAAAAAATTTAGATGTAAAATTGTAGGTACCTATTTATTGCTAATTTCATTCAGCTTAAAATTGCTGGTTTTGTAGAGAAGGAAAAAACAAAAAGAACAAAATATTGTGCTGTCCTTTTTTTGTATTTTCCCAAAAGTTTTATTGAAAATAGTTAATTTCAGTGGAGTTAATGCTAGGGTAGTTAGTTTAGAACAGAGTTGATGTTATATACACAAACGACTACTCTCAAAGCCCCTATAGATTTTCCTTTATATGGAAATGGCCTTGTGATTGATGATTGTATATTCTTTTTTTTAATATATACAAATATGTGTATATATGAAAGAGAGGCACTGCCCATAAGTGATTTCTCATAAATGTACAGCTTACTGCATTAAGTTTTCTTTTGTTTGCCAAAATTAAAAAAAGTTTTTAGATTAGTATTCATTATATATAAAAAATTGGTAAAAAAAGCGGAGATTATTTACATATCCCTTTAGTTTGATTTTATGTGGACCATTTGGATACAGTTTGTACGTTTTGGATATTGTTTCGATGAAAAAAAGTGCTCATAAATCTTTTGGTCAAATTTAAATAACTGTTTCCAAATTGATCAAATTACTATTTTCTTCTGTTTATTGTATTATTATAATGTACAGATTCAAGAGAAATTTAAGTAATTATAAAAGTTGTGTAAGAAAGAGGAAAATATATTTAAGAGAGATTGTATTATACAAAGACTATTTGTCCTGTCCTAGAAGTAGTGTTAAAAACAAAAAAATTGGTTTGTATGGTTATGTAATATGAAGTTGATGTATTGTCAATCTAAATAATTATTACCAAACTTTATAACTTTGGATTTTTTTAAAAATATTCACTCCTTTCATTACTAATAATTTTTCGAGCACACGGCATTTCAGCAACTCGTTTACTATCAAACATTTTTTTCTTGAAAATTTTGAGCTTTAGGTTGTAGCAATATTGGTTGTAGTGTGTAAAGTTTTAAAGAGGCTAATTCCCTAACTTTAGGGTCTTAGCTTTTAAGAATTTTTTAAAATTTAATCAAAAGAAGTAACCAAGAATATTGGAATAACACAGTTCTTCGTAAAGCTTTCGAGGGCTTCATTAGGGCTTTGAAACTATTATTAACTATTCTCAAAGTTAACAAATATGAACATTGAAGTAGGAACATGATTTTATACAAGTGAATTTTTGGGTTGATAGTGGTACATAGAACCTTGCATTCTGCAATGGAATTGTCCTAAACCACCTACGGTTTAGGGTTAGGTTAGGTTATGTAAATTCCTACGTCCAAAGTATAGAAATTATCTCAATTTAATTGTTATCAGCTTTTAATATTATTGTTTGTTAGAAAGGAAAAAAGGAAAAGCACCATTTCTTTGCCAAACTATCAAGGAATTCTCCTCTTCATTAGGAAATTGATACTTACATATGAAACTTGTGGATTTAAACAGTGAATTTCTGGATTGATATAACAAACATCTTGTCTATTCTATATCGGAATTGTCCTAGACCCCCCCCGTGGTTACAGTTAGGGTTGGGTTTGGTTGTGTGGTATTTCGCCAAAAAAGGGAACTCGATAAAATTGATATAAGCTTTAATATTGTATTTTGTATTAAGAAATTAGATATAAGACCAATTTGTTATAAAGAAAAAGGAAAACTACTCATTTTCATTGCCAAACTTTCATCGAATATATCCTTTTCATCAGGAAATTGAAGCTTCAGTACGGCCACAACCTTTGAGCGGAACGCATCCTGTGTTGAAGAGAGCCGCAGCTACTTGCTATTTTTCTACAGATTCGTTAATTTACTTCATCTTCATTTATTTATTGTTCTTTTTCTTATTTCTTTGGCAGTGCCATTCCTTTGTTTTCTTTTTGTACTGTTTTTTGTGGATTTCGGTTTTGTTAAATATTAATATTATTAATTTTGTTAATAAGTGCTGAAGGCAATCCCGGTCGACTAGAAGGAATCTCGCCTCGAGCAGGGGAAAGATTCCAGCCCCTTTGGGCTGGGATTCGATAGTCCAGACAGAATGGAAGATTGTTAGTCCCACCCTTAGGTCAGATTTTTCTAAAGTATAGAAAAGTCCACGTCTCCGTATGCTTGGCCCTCGGGGCTAAACATTGCCCAGAAAGTACAAGAAGCCCCCACCCCACAGCCGACCTGCTCCCATCCGGAACGCAGCACCGCATCTTGCCGCCCAGACATCCCAGACAATGCAACTCAAAAGTCAAAAAGAACAAAAATTTTTCCGGTGAGAGAAGTCATTCATACACAGGGGTGACTGCGCCTCAAAACACTGAGGTCCTTGAGACCCGCCCTCCAGAGCATTGACTGATCATATTTATTTTATCCCCACCCTTGTGAATTGGTATAGAAGCTGTACCTTCTGAAATTAGGGACAAAAACTGAATCATTTTACGACACACTGCAAGGCATAGATCCTCTCCAGAAATTTTTTTATCCTCCTCGTGTTCCGGGCGGTTGCACAAGGCAAAAAAAAATTGAAGCTTACATATGAAAATTTTCTTTTCATACATTTTGAATTTCTGAGTTGGTAGTGGAACAAACAACCATCTATTACACAATAACATTGCCCTAAACCACCTCAGGCTTAGGATTAGGTATAGGTTAGGGTTAGAATTGGTTAGGTAGATTCCTTTGCCCAAGGTATGAGAATCAGGAACCTCAATATAATTGATATCAATTGTAATTATTATAATTAGCATCAAAAATTAAAGGATAAGGCTAGTTTGCAATAAAATAAAAATAAAAGAAACATTACTTCGATTCTTTGCCAAGCTTTCAAGGAATGCATTCTCATCAGGAAATTGAACCTTATATATGAAACTTTTGGTTTTAAAAATAGTGAATTTCAGGATTGATAGTGGAACAAACGACCATCCATTTCACAATAGCATTTTCCAAAACCACCTCAGGCTTAGGATTAGGGAGAGGTTAGGTATGGTTAGAATTGGTTAGGTTAGGTATACTCCTATGTCCAAGGTATGATTACCTCAACATAATGAAAAAAAAAAAAAAAATTGAAGCTTACATATGAAAATTTTGTTTTTATACATTTTGAATTTACGAGTTGGTAGTGGAACAAACAACCATCTATTACACAATAACAATTACAATAATTTGCATAAAAAATTCAGGGATAAGGCTAATTTGCAATAAAATAAAAATAAAAGGAACAATACTCAGTTTCTTTGCTATACTGTCGAGGAATGTATCCCCTTCAACAGGAAATTGTTAAATTAAATTACATAATTACACATGTAACTTGTGGTTTTAAAAATAGCTTATTTCAGGGTCAGTAGTGGAATAGACAACAATACATTCTAAAAATGAGAATCGTTTTAAGTCACCACCTTAGGGTTAGTGTTAGGGTTAGGGGCGAATTAAGTTTGGTTAGAATTGTTTAGGTTAGGTAAATTACTATGTCCAAGGTATGGTTAGGTATTACCTCAATGTAATTGATATCAGTCTTTAATATTATGATTTTTTATTAAGAAAAAATCAGGTATAAGTCCAAATTGTTAGAAAAGGAAAAATATTCAGTTTTTTTAATCAACTTTTGAAGAATGTGTCTTCATCAGGAAATTGAACCTTACAGATGAAACTTTTGGTTTCAAGCAGTGACTTCTGGGTAGATATGTGGCCCCATTTTATATCGGAATCGTGTAAAACAGGTTAGGGACGTGTTAGATAGATTCGTACAACCAGGCTAGGTTTGTCTTAAGGTGTTTACACACTAATTAAATCTCTGCCAAGAAAAGACAATAAATATATCAGGCTGAACATTGGTTGCCATCTTTGGCTCGTCCTCATGAAACCAAGGGCCATGTGGAATCGCAGTCATATCAACCATTTTGATGTTACCACCAGTAGCCCAAACCTTGACCGCTTTGTTGGCTCTGATTTGCCTCTTGTACACATTAAGCAAATCATGGCCAAGAAGCCGTTGGTTGTCTTTTGTTGGCCGAGATTTGTTTTGTGTGTATGTGCCTTTAGTTATTCGTTTTGTTAGCATGTTGACTTATCATCGTATATGCTTTGGAGGAGATGGTACCTTCTCTGCTACTGCTGTATCCTATTCAGCGGTTGGCTGAGCACATTTGGAAGAGTACAGAAACCTACCTCTTCTCCACCCTCCATGGTTTTGATTCACGCTGACAAGATCCTCTGGATACCAATCTACCCATCCACCAACATTGAACACCATTTGTATGCTTTCAGCATTATTATTTTTTTAATATTTATATAAATTTTGTGAATTATTATGTTGTAAAATAGGAAAATATTAGGATATGTAAACAAAACTATCATCAAATATGCAATCATTATTGCTTTTTATCATTTTTGTTATTATTTAGTTTGTATGTACAGATTAGGTAGGGTTAGAGTTAAGGGGGGTAATGTTACGATTGGTTAATATTGAGGATAATGTTTGTGTTAGGGTTGGGAACAGATTAAATTAGGTAGGATTAGGTTTGAAATGGATTAGGGATTAGGTTAGGTAGGGTTAGAGTTAAATTTAAGGGCAATGCTAGGATTAGGGATCAGGTTATGTTAATGAGTTAAGTTGAGAAATGGGTTAGATTAAATATGATTACATTTAATATTGAGGATAATGTTTGTGTTAGGGTTGGGAACAAATTAAATTAGGTAGGGTTAGAGTTTGAAATGGATTAGGGATTAGGTTAGAGTTAAATTTAAGGGGGGTAATGTTAGGATTAGGGATGGGTTAGGGTTAGGGATCAGGTTATGTTAATGAGTTAAGTTGAGAAATGGGTTAGGTTAAATATGATTAGATTTAATATTGAGGATAATGTTTGTGAATGATTATGTTGTAAATTAGGAAAATATTAGGATATGTAAACAAAACTATCATCAAATATGCAATCATTTTTGCTTTTTATCATTTTTGTTATTATTTATTATTTAGTTTGTATGTATATATTAGATAGGGTTAGAGTTAAGGGGGGTAATGCTAGGGGTTGTAAATTAGGAAAATATTAGGATATGTAAATAAAACTATCATCAAATATGCAATCATTTTTGCGTAAACTTTGGCTTTGTAAAGCATTTTATATTCCGGAAAACGTTTTTTAAATTTTGTTATTTTTATAACGGATTTAGTTTAATATGTTTTTTAAATACATTTTTAAAGTTGTTAAGTTTTAACATTTCACTCTAATTTAAAAAGGAGAAACATTTGAAGAAGGCTTTATAAAAACTTTACAAACTTATTTTGAGACACTAAAAAAATATTTTTATTTTATGTGGAAAGGGAAACATTTGAAAATAAAACAAGACTGTAATATTTGGGATGTAAAAAGCTTTACATCCAGTGTTGCTACAAATTCTACCATAACAATAGACGAGTTTAAATTTTTTTCTTTTTTTTGTCCATGCCTGACCATTTGGGTGCTATTACTACATTGATTTATTTTACATGAAAATATAATAAATCATGTATATAAATTGTAAAAAGCAAAAACTATCACTAAAAACTGGACTAAATAGTACAAGTGGGCGTATGGTATTTATTGTGTTGTGCGGGGTTACATAACCAGTCTCTTTTGATGCTACCACTGAAAACGCTACAGCAAGAGTATTTTTTTATTAAAAAAAAAGAAAGTTTTTCTCCAGGTGCAGTCAACGTGTTAAGTGAATTCCATAGCAACTCTCAAAACGGTAGCTATCTCAGTTTTCCAAAATTTTCAGATACATATTAGCATTTTTTTTGTTGATCTGGTTAAGGAAGTTTGACTGTTCCAAATTGTATTTATTAAATTTATTTGTTGTAGCCTGTTGTATATTGTACTTTTTGGTCAATCAATCCAAAATCTATTATCCACAAGAAAAAAATTTCTTTATGATTGTACATTTGATTTTTTTCTGTTATAGTCACAACTATTTCCCCAAATATGTTAAAAAACAGTTGCTACTTTATCATATTTCATAGATTGTACTGGTAATAAAAATATCGCATTTTTAATTTGTTAAGAATTAACATTTATTACAAATAGTTACACTTTTCAAAATGTATAATAAATAACAAAATACATTTAATTGTAAATTTACCACTGCTTAATACAATATCAATTATCATCATGATACACCAAAAATAACAGTAACATGCTATCGACATATTTTAATACCTTATAATTACAAAAACGGTCTTAACAATTTTTCACACTAGTTTCTACTTAATATACAAATTGGGCATCATAAATATAAATACTTTTCAATACATAACCTCTTGTCCGAACGACAAGAACGTTTAAATAATTTAAATGGGTCGTCTATACGCTATAATTATTTTCATTGAGCAATATAATTAATCTAGATTTAGCCCTGCAAGTCTTATTTAATGATTGAATCGAGTGCTTTCTCTCTAAAAATCTTTTTTAAAAATCAAATCGGATTTTAAAATGTGATTTAATTCCTTCCCATTTGAATAAACGATTAAAGTTGAAATCGACTGGATTTACGAAAATTAAATGCGCTAAATTGTTCAATACCCAAGAACTTCCTTATTTTATTAAATGGACATTTTGGAATGCAGTATTCGGTTACAATTTAGAGCAGTATTGGTGTAAAAAGAAAAAAAAAAGTTTTTACATATACACGTTTATCATTATGGATGGACTAAACACTTTATGCAATAACAAAGTGCAAATCCAATTATTTAAAACGGATTTAATCTCGTTTTTAGTATTATTAACTAGCTCACGCAGTTCACAACACTTCTGCATCAGGCAATTGAAAATTTTAATTTCTTTTTGCATATTTGAGCACTGATCATTTTAAATGCATGCCTTAAAAATAAATAAATTTAAACATTTAGTAAAACGCAAATACTTTTATTTTAAATTGTGAAATTATGCTGGGCCTGTGAGTCAATTAAATCGATCGAACTGGTTCTTTTTAGTAGCGGTTTGCAACTGTGGAGGTCATATCAATCCCTTTTGTTTTGTATGAAGTTAGAAATACTTAAAATTGGAATGTTATATTAATATTAAAATTTTAAATTTGTGAAGTAGTTTTGAACTTTTTTTTATACCTTATGCAGCACTAGATATCTGTTTAAAATGCTCTCTCCGAATAGGGAGAAATTAGTCAAAACTTGGATATATAAAAAAAAAAAAAGTCAAAATGTTATACAATTAACCAGTCAAATTTTCATAATATAAATTTTTTTTAGCATTTTAAAAACAGTTTTTATATTTTTCATAGAATGCAATTCCGCAGCATTGGCTTTATTGACTTCATTTATTAAACCAAAGGATGAATCTGTCATCATCAGAGTGTGTTAAAATGAGACGAGATAGATTAGTTTACGAGGCAGCGGTTGACAATTTTTTTTTAAAACACATATTTCCCATTTTTTCTTCCAAAACTACCACCTTTTAAACGTCCACTTTAGATTTGTCTGAATAAATTTGATCAAATTCCTCCCGAAAAACATTTTATTTCACCCTCTCATATAGGTAATTCTATAAATTGTAATTACACAAAATGTGCAATATGCCAGTGAGCACTTGCCTCTACCTAATACCTAAATATATTATTTACAATAATATTTACAGCAACATTTCAAAGTCGATAAGTAATTAAACGTATTTAATTTGACATTCATAGACGTTAAAAAATCTAATAATCAACATTGTATACTGTTCTTTAATTGTTGTAAGAACAACTTTATTATTTTAAACTTATGGCTTACCAGCCTTACATAATCTTTATGAAAAGATTGTTCCTACTCACAGTTAGTTTAAACTAACTGTAAGTAGGAATTATCTTTTTTAGAAAGATTGAATAACAAACTCCACCATTTATCATTTCTATTAGAATTATAATTCTAAAAATAGCAGGTTCTTATAAAAAAAAAAAAAAAAAAAATCACCTTCCTATGTGATCTACTCAATTCTCTTTAGGTTCTCATAATTCCAATATGGAAGCACAAACTATAACTATCACAACATATATCAACTATGACAACAATTTAAAATTCATAAGAACTTTGGCACATCCGATTATTACATCCAACTGGTGAAATTGATGGAAAATTTTTTTTCGCCCTGGAAAGAAAGAGAAAAATTATACAAAAGTTCTTAACAGTTTATTACGCTATTGGACCTTTTTAAAAGGACTGCTCGTAATATCATGCTATTAATATAGTCTCGTTGTAATCAGTTTCTTGTCTATTTAGAGAATTTATAAGCTCTTCATTCTGGTTATGAACTGAAACAATTTAAAATTTTTAATTTTGTTTAACTTCAAACAAATAAAACGTTTATTAGCTGATTACCCATTTGGTCTATAATTGGAGCCATTCTTAAAGTAATTCCTACAAGAAGCATACAGGTCAGAAGAAGGAAACCGGCAGTAATTATTATCGTCCACCTTGCTCGTTTTGGAAGATCCTCAGGATCTACAATCTAAAAAACAAAAAGTAATTAGTATTTTGTATTAAAAAATTCACGTTTTAATTCGATCGTAAAACTTCAAATGGCTCAATTTAGCTTATTATTTATTACTGATTTCTGTAAACCCAACTCACGCACGCACGCGCGCGCACACACACACAAACACACAAAAAAATTGATAATACTATTTGATTCAATACTAAAACTTCAATATCCAGCAGACATGGAAGTTTTCGCATTTGCACATGACCTGCTAATAGAATGTGGTAAAACAAAATTTGATTTGGAAATCTTTGGAAATAAGTGCGTATTTCTCACAGAATAATGGTTATACGAAAAGAAATTGTTCAGCGTAGAAAAGTCCAAAGCCCAGAGTATATATCTAAAAAAAAGTTATGTTTATGATATGAATATTATTTGGGGAAAAAACAAAACAGGATTACTGATGAGATAAGCTACTTAGGAATCATTTTCGATGAACATTTATCATGGACTAAACATATTGAGTACATCCGTATTTGCACGATGCAGCTTATACATAATTGGCTAAGTCTGCCAAGGTCTACTGGGGCCTGGGTGCGTATGAACTAAAAATAATATACAAAGGGCAATCATAACCATTCTAACATATGGGGTCCAAGCATGGCAGGAAACCTTCAAAAAGAAAGGAAAAAAATACAGCAGGTTTAGCGCTTAATGCTTTTGACAGTTATGAATGGCTACAAGACAATTTCCCACGAAGCAGCAAATGTATATTGACTATCCATCATCCTCTTAAAAATTGAAGAAATTGTTGATGAATTTTTAATTAGAAATCGTGAGATGCAGTCTGGTGTGATGTAGGTTTCAGAAAAACATTTTCTTTATCGTGCCAACGTTTCGATCTTTATTGAGATCATCTTCAGGGCCCGGGATTTACAAACATTGTTTACATATAACAATTACATTTTATTGTGGGTCCTTTAAGGAATGAGTATATTCCGTCCTTTAAGGTTTGATTAACCCCCTTGAGGCCGGTGATCTGTCTCAAAATCAAAGGAATTTTGATTTGAAATAAAATACGAACACCTCTATTTTGTTTCTTTTAAAACAAAAATGTATTTCCTTATGAATCAAAAATGATATATAAAAAATATAAAACAACAAAACATGAATCTTTGCTTACAAACTAACAATATAAGAATAATTAGATACTATGGGAATAATATGGGCCTGAAGGGCAAAATTAAAATAATCAACCTTGATAGCCAAAATGGAAAATACCAAACAAAAGAACCATAAATGAAAATGGGCCTCACAACAGAAATAATTTATATTAATAAAAATCAAAGTGGATACAAATCTGATTTGACTGGCTTTCAGCTGGATTTTTTTCTTATTGTTTTTCTTCCAATGCCTAGGCTGGACTGAACTATCCGTTCTCGCTTTCCTGCCTCCAGCATGGAGGGGAGAGCCTGGAAATAATTTGTTGTCATAATTTTTGATGTGGAAAAGTGAATTTATACAACGCAAAATATATTTTTTATATATTCAATCAAAGTATTTCTACTCACTCAAAGTGTTTGTCTTCTGTGTAATTGTGCCATTCTTGCGTGCCGTGTCGAGAGTGCCAATGAGATTTTGCTATTTTGTGTTTATATACGTTGGATTTTGAAGATGACTGGATGTTGATGAATATTCAGCAATTAAAACTGAACCCCTGCTCGGTACTTGTAGTGTATGAGAGTGTATATTCTGAACGAGCGGATGGCGGAGGCTTGTGTGTGGAAGATATTACTGGAACTCCGCGGCACTTGTGAATATATAGCAAAATGGAACACTCATGGCACTTTACTGGCGGGGCAGGAATTGTCAATGGTATGCAGGAATGCGTCAGCTGTCGAAAGCCAGATCATTGAAGTCAATAGGACTGGGCAGCTGCGCGATGTCAAGGGTTGTGAACTTTCTACGGACCAGCACCTAATACTACCCACCGCGAAAGGTCAGATGATAAGGACCCAGATCAAACGCCCTGTCCTTGAGACCAACATCATCCGACGAAAGAATCTACCAGGAAAAGCAGAGGAAATCGCCGAGGATCCCCTGGTTGCGACTCTGGAGGAGGACTCCGAGTGGTCGCCGCACTATCTTACCAACAAGGTGGCTTTGGAAACGCTCCTGCTTCGAATTGAAGCAACTCAGACCAAAAGAACGATTGCCAAGGGGTGGAGAAAGAGGAGGTGACAACCCAGCGTCAGTAGGAGAAAGTACGAGTTTAGAGGGAGGCTCCCGTGGGAAGTAGAAGCCAGTATTAGCCCATAAATTGATTTTTACTAGGTCAGAATTGAGATTGTCAAGTTGTGTGGTGTAGATTAAGGTAGTGTTTTTCACTGGGGGGTCCGTGGGCAATTTTTGACTATAAAAAGGGGTCCATGGGTCAAAAAAGTTTGGGAACCACTGATTTAAAGTGATGTTAAACCGTTAATATGTATTATTACTATTTTATTTCCAAAAGGTGTTTGGGTTAAAAGCCACTTTGCCAACCCTTTCGTGTTGGAACTCCAATCCTCTAATTTAAATTGAAAACATAAATATGGTGCTATCTAATTTCCCTTAAATATAATACATCTGCAACCAACCATAACTTTTATGGCACCTTCTTCAAGTGGTATCTTCGAATTTTTTATTAAGTTTGCCAAGTGGGTACTGTAAGGTTGGCCCTTGGAAAACAATTAATTAACCTAGTCGGCCAACTTTAATTGTTGGGGAGTGTAGAGTATGAAAGACAATTAGTTTTAGTTTAATTTAAAGTTGTAGAAAAAGTGTATAGACTGGGAGGGAAGAAATGTGATGACGGATCCCATTTGCGGCATTGAGTCAGTCTTGTTCTAACGCTGGGAAGAAGATGATCGTGGCCGTCTTGCTGATACTGGGTGAGTGTCTTGTGTTTTGTCCCTACCAGGCTGAGTATTTTATGCAATCCTACCACTACCATTCGTAGAATAGTTTTGGGGAACTATAACACTGTAGATAGGAACCCAAGCCCTTATACCCTTATTGTATAATCGACGAGAAACAAATTCATTTATGTAATTTATTTAAAGATAATAAAATGTTAGTATAATAAGTAGTAGTTAATTGTTTTCCAAGGGCCAACCTTACAGTACCCACCTGGCAAACTTAATAAAAAATTCGGAGATACCACTTGAAGAAGATGCCATGTACTAAAAGGTATGGTTGGTTGCAGTTGTAAATGGAAATGAGATTGCACGATATTTATGTCTTCAGTTTAAATTAGTGGATTGGTGCTCCAACAACGAAGAGGTTGGCAAAGTGGCTTTTACCCCAAACACCTTTTGGAAATAAAATAGTAATAATACATATTAACGGTTTAACATCACTTTAAATCAGTGGTTCCCAAACTTTTTTGACCCATGGACCCCTTTTTATAGTCAAAAATTGCCCACGGACCCCCAAGTGAAAAAGCCACATAAGTGATAATATAAAAATTAAAAAAAAAGTTTTGTTGAATAAGTATTTTTGAAATTATAAATATATATAAATTATAATATTAATTACTTTTGTTTAAAATAAAATATAAAAAAATTAATGACTTGGATGAATGTGAAGAGATATTATGTGTGTATAATTTCTAATCAGTTTCCTTCTTTTGTGATGAGGTTCATAACGGCACTGAATTCACGTTCTACCAAATAGAAAGATGGGAAAGCATTTAACAACTTCTGTACAATAACCCATAATGCAGGATATAAAATTGGGATCTGTTTTTGTAACCAGAATTTGTGTGGTATCCTTGTTCAAACATTGGTTTATGTTCGACATTTGTGGATATTTCAATAAGCTGCTCCTGTATTTGTAATGGATTCATCTGTTTGGTATCTGAGTTTGTCCACGTGCAAAAGGGCTCGACAACCAGTCGGGAATATCCAAGTGAAGAATGACTTCAAATCTTTAGTTCAGGTCTGTATGAAGAGCCGTTAAGTGTTGACAGTAGGCAAGCAAATTTTCATCTCTAATTTGCAATTTCGAAAAATTTGGAAACAGAGCATTCTCCTCTTCCAAAGTTTTGTTTGTAAAGAACAAGTTTTGCAACAAACGCATATATTACGCTTTCAGTTTTGATTAAATTTCATTGGTAGTTTCAAATTAGTTTTGTTAAATTTGGCAAATAAATCAGACATACAGGCTACGTCATTTTTTGAGTTAATTAAATTGTGTTGTAAATCATTATCTTTGGTTTCCAGGAATTCCAACACTGAATCAAAGAGCACATAAAATCGATTTAGACACGCACTTTTATATAACCAATGTACTTCTGTTTTATATTAAATTATTTTATATTATTATTTATATTATATTATTTTATATTAAACCCTGTGCGGACCCCCTGTCGTTGTTCAGAGACCCCCAAATCAATTTTAATTTTCCACGGACCTCCTGAATGATACTGGGGACCCCAGGGGGTCCGTAGGGACCACTTTGGGAACCACTGCTTTAAATCATACAAAATAATAGAAACCCAAATGAAACGGCCCGAGAAATAAGAAAATATATAACTATACTAAACGAGAATGGATGGAAAACAATAATGTGGTTAAGGGGACGCTGGCCATCATGTCAGGAATTAGAAGTTTGCTATGCAAAAATTCCCATCAGTTACATTAAAAAGAAATGGGCTGAAAAAACATTTGAAAATTGGGAAAATACATGGAAAGATTCAGTCAAGGGTCATCAAACAAAAGAATATTTCCAAACGATAAAAGAAAGACTGTCTACTCCAATAAATAATTGTGGAGCAGAGATTCAGGCCTGGAATCATATTATTTTTTGCTGCCCGATGTACGATGTTGAGAGAAGCATTCTAATAAAAGAAGTCATTCTTCAAACGGACAAATCTTGGCCCTTAAGAAAAGATGACCATTGAAACCTCAATTCTTAAAATATGCCACCCAATTCTGATATTAAATTTACTATGATTATAACATATTGATGATTAGCGAATCAAAAATAGAACACTTTCTTGGAGAGAGAGAGAGAGCATGCTTTAGCTGTCTTCTTCGACCTTGGAAAAAGCATACGATATGACCTGGAGATTTGGTATTCTTAAGAAACCCTATGATTGGGGTTTAAGAGGGAACACAGCTAAATTTTTAAAAAGCTTCATAGAAATGAGAAGATTCTGGGTGAGATTAGGTACCGCCTTATCTAGTACATTAATTCAAGAAAACGGGATTCCTCAGGGTTCGGTTCTGAGTGTCACTTTATTTGCTATTGCGGTATATGGTCTTGCTGATAATATAGATGATCGTATAGTCAGGCCTTTATATGTCGATGATCTTTGCTTTTACTTGTCTGGAAAAAATCTCCAAAACGTGGGAAGAACTTTACAAAACGCCATTGACTCATATACTTTTTAAAAGGATAGTTCCTACTCACAGTAAGTTACTGTGAGTAGGAACTATCCTTTTAAAAAGTATTGAACACCACACTCACTCCATCATTTATCATTTCTACCATTGACACATTGTCACGAAAAGCAGACGATGTGGGTTTCAAATTATCTTTGTCCAAAACGGTATTTGAACACTTTTGTAGACTAAGAAAACATCATGAAACACCTCGGCTTTTCCTTTCTGGCGTTGAAATAAAGGAAGTCGACATAAAATATTTGGGTGTTTCTTTTGACAAAGCCCTTCGATGGAAACCACAAATAGCCCAATTGTCTAATTCAGGAAGGAAAATACTAAGCCTCGCTAATTATAATTGGGGAGTGAATAGAGACATTCTATTAAGAATATTCAGCATGTACTTAGGAGCAAAGTTTCGATACGGAGCAGCAGGTTACTCTTCAGCACGAATATCAACTTTAAAACCGCTAGATAGGATTTATTACCAAGTTATCAGGATTGCAACAGGGGCGATTAGAACAAGCCCTTTATATAGTCTCTGCAATCATGCCGGACTATATCATTCCGGATCTTTTCAGGGAGGACGCAATTCTTAGGTTTGTTGCTAGACTTTGGTCTAAGCCTTTCCATCTTCGATTTCCTTCAGTTTTCCTTAACCCTCACCAAGATATGTATTCGTTCATAAGAACTAGGACGAGACCTTTGGGAATCCGCGGTACTGAACTGTTGAGATTAGGAGGAAATAATACCTTGGTTGAAGGTTTTAAATTGCTTGATATTCCACTACCTATTTACGTTCATGCAGGGTTCTGGAGTACTCAATATTCCACCATTAACCCTCTCCCCCTTCACATTCATGCCAATAAATACACTCACTCAGCACACAGACAATATAAGAACATTGTTTCCTCCAAAAATCAGAACAGAGGACCTAGATACTCGCTGCCACGTTCAAGTAAAATTCTAATTTCATGTGTGGTGATTAGTGACCATTAATCGATATTTATTTAGAAATCGTGAGACCACCAGACCGCATCTCACGATTTCTAAATAAATTCTAATTTCAGGTGGTCCTACACACTCTGTATATAGAGCCAAGGAATGTCAACCCTTGGGACACATAAAGCAACTTTTCTCTACATGCTGGACACATACCCAGGCTTTAGCACAATTCTTATTCTTAACATAAGAACTTGTCTGCAGATCTAGCATGGCACACAACACTGCCAACTTTTTTTATTGCATTTTTTGTGTCAGACAGCTGGACTGTGGTAGTTAAGTACAGAATTGTATGTCCAGGCCTATCCAGATAGCAACAATTTTTTTGCTAAGACGCTCACAATTTGATTCATTCTTCTAGATTTATTTAATAAAATAGTTACTTTTGGCTTATTGACCAATGGTGGTCTGTTCAGCATGGGGCCGACGTTTCTACGTTTCTTCTTCTTCTTCCTTCTTGTCGCATCGCTGTCTTCTGAGTCCATGTCCAAGGTGACGTATCTCTCTTCACCCCCTCGCCTAATAAAGAGCACAGTTACGATTAGAATTTTGAACCATTTCATGATTTATTCTTACGCTTAAATATCTTTTCTTGCTTTCAAGAAATTTTACAGTGTGTGAATATATGTGAAAATATATTTCTTTGTTATGATATAAATTACACTTATTAAAAAAAATAACACAAACAGTAAACATTGGTAAATTTAAGATTAGCAATTGGAAAATGCATCTGTGATATTTGTCTGACAAGAAAAATAATGATTTTTGGAATTGATAAACTTCTGCTTGTTCATATTTTATTATTTTTTTAAACAAAATTATTGAACAATTTTTAATAATTTAATTATATTTTTAATATTTGTCACAAACCCTCTAGATCAGGGTCTTGAAGAAAAAAGCTAATTCAATTGTTTCTGCCAAGGATGAGTTGAGATCACCTACCAAAGTTAGGTGTTTGTAATCTGTAGAATTTAAAATTGTTTTGCCCTGTTGACCTTAAAATAAGTCAAAAGCTTGACAGTCACAACTGAATTTGTTTTTTTCTTCAAGACCATATCTTGATCCAGAGTATTATTTAGTGAAAAAGTGGTTTGATAATTCTAACGCTGAAAATTTATTTGCGAACAATTTCATCCGTTACTCTTCGCAAGAAGGAATTTAACGATTTTCTTGTCTGAATTCTGTTTTATTTTGGAGAATAGGAAACACTCAAAGACAAAAATACGAAAGCGGTGAATATGCTTTAAGCGAGCTGGTCAGTCTGGTCAGTGATGTTAGGTTACAAAAAATAATTTATGGTGAAGTGCTTATAAATAGCCAATAGCCTCTTATTTACAGAAAATCTACGCTTAGCTTTTGACTTAGCCGACACATTAGTTAATTTTTTAAATCAGAAAAATTGAAAATTAATAACTACAACAAACAACCAAAGCCACCTTAAGATTTAGCTAAAAGGATGCATCAGCAGTGATGAAAAAGTTTTCTTAGCAAAAAGCTTTGGTGAAGTACTTTTTACTCAACAAATAAAGCATTTTTTTTTTATAATGAAGATGAAATAATGAATTTGTTTTTTATTCATAAAGAGCAGTATCGTCTAAAACCTTAATCTAAGTTTTCTCCAGAGAGACGTCTGGACGTAATATTAGATCAAAAGTTCACTGGGAAGAATGTAGACAAAAACAATACAAAAGTAAGAAAAAGTATAGGCCAAAGATTGTGTAGTAAAACATGGTGTCTAGATCTAAAAATAGCCTACTTGCTCTGTCCTAAAACAGTTAAGACATCTTGTCACACATGCCTATGATGGCCAAAAACCTCGGAAAAGAATACCAAAAATTTAAAAGATTTAGAAAGGTTGATATGCTTTACCATTAGAGAGGCAACGTGTACTAACACTATTTCAGCGTTGAAAGAAGTGAGATTGCCACCATACCACCAGAGGATGGCATACAACTGTGCAAACAGGCTCTTAGGATGCAATGAAATAAAGCCTCACCTAAGAAAATTCAACACAAAGTCCTAAATGAAATGGCTACGATAGCGTCTGACAAAATGAAATTAAAAGAAAATTTTGACAGACACTTTCTAATAAAAATTAACAAGGGATGTTTGTAATAAAAACCCTGAAAATAATAGAGCCTTATTATGATACTCGCTGGATCCAAAATAAAACAAGGAGTGTAGGCCCCAATTTTGACCTAATGAAATTTGTAGGCCGTGTACCATCTATTTTCCAAGTTTAGATCCAAGCAATAGAACTATGTGTACAAGAAATACTTGAAAAGGGATTAAAAAGGTGCACAGATTTACATATTTTCAAACTGCTAAGCAACTATGAAGGCTTTAGTCTCCTTTACCTTCAACTCAAAGCTGGTTTGGGAACACCTACCTCCAATTCCAGGGGCCATGGACAGGCTGATCAAAAGCAGGACTTTGGATCAGGACCACTACTGGCACATGTGCCAGAGTATGCTAAAAGCTAAATTTAATGAAAGGATGGAGAAAGTAGTTCCTACACTGACCAAGTGCAAAATGATCAAAGAACATCTCAACCATGTAAATAAATTAAAAAAAAAAAAATTCAACTGATATTATTAAGGAAATAGCCTTTTAAGCTAAAGCCCATTTAATTAACCACCATAAAAATTGGGGAAAACAGAAACTTGCCCACTTTGTAATGAAACAGCTAAGACATCAGAACATTCCTATGTGACTGCAAAGAAGCTCCGAGATGTTACTGCCTCTATGGAAAGACCTCACTTACGCTTAGGAAAATAAGTGAAGAGGAACTGATCTTAAACCTTAAATTTAGTCAATTCACTAGTTTCATGGTCTGCTTGACCAATTAATATATTACAATGAATTAAGGTTTTCAGTTGAGATAAAAAAAGTCAATGGCACGAGCGGGATTCGAACCCACGATCTTCGGCTTGATACGCCGCTGCTCTACCACTTGAGCTATCGTGACCTCGATCCACTCGGAGTTTTATCTCAACTGAAAACCTTAATTAATTGTAATATATTAACTGGTCAAGCAGACCAGGAAACTAGTGAATTGAATAAGTTTAAAATGAAGTATCACTTCATTAAAGCTCTCCGTGGCCATTTCATTTGTCGCTGAGAAACAAATTGATTACACGACATTTGAAAAATGGCAAAAAGGAGGGAAAATTCAAAAGGTGTGGTTAAGATGGGAAGTCGATGTCCGAGTGGATCGAGGTCACAATAGCTCAAGTGGTAGAGCAGCGGCGTATCAAGCCAAAGATCGTGGGTTCGAATCCCGCTCGTGCCATTGACTTTTTTTATCTCAACTGAAAACCTTAATTACTTAAATTTAGTTCACTTTCTAAACAAATGGAAATAAGGAAGGGATCTTCATCACCAGTCACCCCAGGAAAAAAAATGCTTGAAAAGTTGGAAAGTATCAATAAAAAGCAGTTCATAATTATATTAATTTTTTATGGTGTTGAGTGACAGTTAATTAATGATTATTTGGAGATTGTGAGATTGGGTCTGGTGTGACGTAGGTTTATAAAAAACATTTTCTTTATCGTGCCAATGTTTCAAACTTTATTGAGATCATCTTCAGGGCCTAGGATTTATAAACATTATTTAAATTATACCAATAGATGTATGATGTGAAAAAATGAATTTTTACAATGATAGAAATTTTAGACTAAATCAGAATATTTGTACTGATAATAAAGGAAATGTTTTTCTAAACCTACGTCACACCAGACTGCATCTCATGATCTCCAAATAATCATTATATTAATTATTGGTAATAAATATTGGTTATAAATAATTAAATCAAATTTAACCAAAAAATTACATTTATTTAACAATGAACTAGGCAAAAAATCTTGTAAAATCTTGTTGTTAAATCAGATTTTACTTTTATAATCGTAACACCTTGAATAATTATTTATAAAAAAAAAAGGCGAAAAGAAATTTATTTTCAGCCACTTTTACTTTTTGCTTTTGTAAAGGCTTGAAGTCATGTTGACATGCTTGAGAGATAAATCACACTTATTAAAACACCATACTCAACGGGTTTCTCACTCGGGATAGTTATAAATAAAAAAAACAACACCTCTTTTTTAAAATTTAACACCCATGTCTGGAATATAATAAACGCCGTCTCTTTGAATTTTTGAGGATGTTTTTGTGTCTGATGATGTTTAATAACTAGAACCTTGTAAGGACCGTGAGATGAGAAATATAATTTATTCCTTTCATCCTTTTCCTCCCTTGCGAGACACAGTCATAAAATTACTTGACTTACATCGACTCGCATATAATTCCATTAGTTAGTTATTTTGTTATTGGGGAGAAAATATCTCTTAAAAAAAGGATTGATTGTGTCTTATTGTTTACAGTGGAAAATGAACATATTTCTACACACTTTAATCAATTAATTGTGGTAATTTTTTGAAATGGAGTTGAAAATAATAATCTACAAAGGTTGGAAAAACCTGAGTTTTAAAAAATATGTTAGTCACGTGAGGGGTTAAACTAAATCAACGTTGATTAAACCTTAAAAAGAAAACTTAAACATATATTAGACTCTCAATGAAAACATTATGAAAAGAAACAAAGGAACTAATAAATATAAAAAAATAATTATCAAAAAAATAATTCAAAATGAAATATTTCACATCCTGACTGGCGTTTTTCAAGATTTCAAAAGGAAAAACCTGTCAAAAGCTTTCCTGATAGCAACACCTGTTATTTTGTACAATTCGTCCACTGGTGAAAGACCAAAGGAGCCCTTACAAAATAAAAAAAAAGCTCCAATTGGCCCAGTTCTAAGACGTTGTTTTTAGCTGTTTTTCCAGCTTTTAAAAGCTTCTCAATCGACTTAGAATTTCATTTCGACAAGAAAAAAAAAAAACCACCTTTAATTAATACAGAAGTTATAAAATAAGGTTATAAAGTATTTACCATATATGTCAGTTTATGCAAATCTTTTGATTCCCATCCTCAAAATAATTTATGGGATAAACTAAATAAATTTGCAGTACAGGCAACATGTTGAAAGTACTTTCATAAATATGTACTATAAAGGTTCAGAGTAAATAAAGTAAATAACAAAAACTGAAGAATTTTGGGTTTTCCGAGAGTGCCCTGCAAGGAGAAAATCTCAGCCCTCTATTATTTTACCTTTTCATGGGTGATTCGGATTTACATTTTTAAAGATATTGTCATTTCCAGATATTGGAATATATTGAACTAACAGAAAGGTATCGTCATTCTTTTTTTTTTTACGTGAACGACATAGTCTTGTATTATTTTCAAAAAGATTTACAATTCAACTTAGATCTCGAAAAGTACTGAAACGAAAATTGTCTTTTTTTTTCCACAAAGGTAGGAAAAATAAATGATAAAGACAAGACACATCTTATGTTTAATTAAAAATCAACTTATATTGAATTGACATTGCATTGAAATTAAAAAAAAAAGTTAAACTAAAAACAGCATAAAAGAATGTTTTATATGATACACAATCATATAAGAAA